AACCACCGGTAGCTTGGACCATGCTCCCGCTACTGGTCGGGTCCTATTTTTTATATTTTTAAATATTTTTTTTTTATGTTGTAAGTAGTATTTAGAAATATAATTTATAGAGAATTTTAAATAAATATATGTAAATAATAATTTATTTATTTCTCTTACATTATAAAATACAGCAAACGTTCTACAACTAAACCTGAGACTGGTGTCTGTTGTAGGTGAAACCTGTATCACAGATCACCAGGCTCCCACTGACGCGATACAATTATTTACTGAGTTCTAATCTAATAACAAAATGTATAAAAATTAGTTACTGAGATCGAAATAATACTGATACATAAGTAGTACGTGCACAAACATTAAGGTTAAGGTGTTATTATTACAACCATCAGGTACGTACAACAAATAAAGCACAATTTCAAAGTAGATAAATTAACCGTTAAACATTTTAGACAATTAAGTACCTATATTACATATTTGTTGAAAAAAACTATTTATCTAACATTAACCTTAATACATAGCGTTAAACATTACAAAAATTAAAATATAAATAAAGCTTAAAATTAAAGAACAACCAGAAAAAGAAAAGGTAAAAGTCAAAATTAATTAAAACTAAAATTAAAAACTTGCAAAAACATTTAAAACAAAAAAAATTCGACATTAAAGATAAACAAAACGTTTGTAGGTTATTTTCATAAGTGTAAGGCGGATGTGGACGATGACCGTGCAAGTATGTGGATCCATGTTTGTGTCACAATTCAAATTAATGATAAGGTTGAGATCGATATGAAATATTTAGTAAATATGATTACCCCAAGAACAAAGCTTCTTATTTACTTTATAGGTTTGAGTAAGCATTCAGTAGATTCGTATTTAAGAAACTTGGCTTCAGGATCTTAAATACGAATCTACTGAATAAATACTAATCTACTCAAACATTACATAAACAAAATTAAATCAACTATTTGTACATCAGACATTACATAAAGTGTGGGTACATTTAAGTGTGGGAGAGTCATGCTTTGGCACGAATGGGCCGGCTCGACTGGAGTGGTACCATGGGCTCACAGAAAACCGTTGTGTTTCATCGTGTGAGTTAGGTTACCGGAGGCTCAATTACCCCTCTCCCCTTCCCGAATCTCTCCAATCCCTGAATCCCCAACGATCCTCAAACTCCTATTCCCCAAAACGCCGGTAACTGTAACTTGTAACGCCTCTGGTGTTAAAGGTGTCCATGGGCGACGCCGATTGCTTACCATCAGGTCAGCTCGTTTACCGGCTTATGCCATGAAAAAAAAAATGTTCCTTACAAAAATTGTAGCCGAACTCGTACTTTCTATTACTTTTACCATTCCTCCCTGTAGATATTTACCTTGCTAACATTTCGTATTATACGAAGACCACGACTAAGAATTAATTACCGCATTTGTAACGTTAGAAGCTAAAACAATTAAGAGCGACTATAAATTATAACACTCCCACGCTTTAGCGAACACGTTATATCATTCAAATTACGAAACTTCATTATTTATACTTATACCTACACATTTTTAGAACTCGGACATATCCTAGTAACAGTAATTCAAAGACGAGCAGCCGGAGCCACGGGAGACTTAACGGGTTGCCGGTCTGGCTCGAAGTAAGATTCCAAGCCACTCAACCAAGGCTCCGAGCTATTGGATGATTTTTCCCCTATAAAAATGAGACGAGCAGCAACATCTTCTGAATTATTGTTCCTTAAATTTATTTAGGTAGATATTTTGCCTACCAAGCGTAGGGATTAGGTCCGTACGGGGCAAGCCTTTGGTAAAGAGCAAACGTCTTCCGACTGATGATTTTATGTGAGGACTGAAGGTGCAACATTTAGTATTTTTGATCGTTTATATTATTATTATTAAAATTAAAATGCTTAATGGAGGATATGTTATATACAGAAATAATAAAAGTACTGTGTAGTACACAGTACACAGTAGGTACTTTTCGCATTCGTATAAGTATGCGAATACCAATTACAGGTTTAAATTAAATTATAAATACTAGGTTTGCTACAATTCTAGACGCCCTGCCAATAATGAGACTTTCCAAATCGGAAAACTCAATTTGCCCGACCTAATTTCTGACTTCACATTCACCTGTCTACTCGCAACTTTTCAAAATTGCGTAGGTAGGCATTTCATTCGGAATTAAATTAACTTTTTTAAAATTACCATACAAGTACGATGAGTAAGATTCGCAAAAGCAAGTAGGTATACTATAGCACCTAGTTTTGTTAAATACTAGTCCGTAGTCCTGTTTTCCGTATCGACAAAACTAATCACGTTCGATCGAAACAAAATAGGAGCTACTATGAAACACCGGAGAAATCCGAAATTAACAGCAACGCCCTCAGGCTTTTAATTAAACTTCAAAGTACAATATCTACTTGTAATAAACAAATTGTAAGGCCGAAATATTTTAATAAAATAATTCAATTAATAAACAATTTGATTGCCATTTGTTTACCTGTTCAACTCATTTGTTTGTGTTGTTAAATTAATATTAATATTGACATTTATTTTGTAAATATTTTTCCTCTTTTCCCTATAAATAGATAGGTTGTGGATATCTATATCTATATCTATACATCTATACATATAATAAAATTGTAGAAAAGTGCTGTCTGTACATTGAAAATAAAAATAAAAAAAATAGCAGGGGTTATTGTTGTATCGATGTCGAACCCAAAAATGTAATTAACTTTTTTTTTGTCTGTTGTCTGTTTGTCTGTTCACGCTAATCTCAGAAACGGCTGATCCGAGTTGGATGCGGTTTTCACGAATATGTATGTTGTGGTATGCTTCAGTTATGCTTTAGTGTTTGTTTCATGTCAATCGGTTCATAAATAAAAAAGTTATGTCAAATTAAAGAATCACGTCGTGAGTATATATTTAAAAAAAAAGCGCTGCTCATAGTCACTATTCCACGCGAACGAAGTTGCGGGCACAGCTAGTATCCAAATATAATTTAAACTTTGTCTGGATCATCAACTTTGTGTATCTAATTTTAATGAATTGTATCTTTTAAATTCTAGTAAATATAGCCTACCTACGCCATTAAAATATTACGTACTTACAGTTGTATTATAATTATGTAGGTGCCACCTACGTAATCTTCCTATATTCTTTCACATGGACTGGGTTCATTTACGTACTACCAGAGAAATATGTGTTATATATGGGTACTAGAAATACTAACAGTTATTTGTTCTGAAAGGTACCAGTGCTGTAAGTACCTCGCATTACAACTGAAAAAGTGAACATTAACAAAAATCAATAGTAGGTGAGTTCTACCTGCTCATCAATACTTACTCGCTAAAGGTACATTAGATACTTCCACCGAATCGTTCCAGTTACGCCAGGAATTCGGGCTCATACTAAGCTCAACGCAGGATAACCTATCATCACTCAGTCTAGAACACATTTTGGCAGTGAGTGATTCCAATGAATATCGAACGTAGACACTACCACCACTACTCAAAGGTTGTTGAACGATATAGGTTTATTACGAACGAGTCTACACTCAATACATTATGCATTCCACTTTTGATATGATATTCATTCCACACGTCAGCACTTTTGCAGACTACGTAAATAAAGTACCTAGGTCTAGGTAATGTAATTTTACTAGCAATGTGTGGTACTTAATATCCTATTTATAATATCTAAAACCAGTTCTAGATCTCGGCGTGGCTAGGTGGCAAAAAGAAGTCATTTTTCATGTATTTTTACTAATATATCGGAGGTATAAAAACTGCTATTAGGTACCTACTTATTATTTATCGTTCTGCTTTTCGTCATTCAGACACCATTCAACTGAGGACGCCTCGTTATAAACGCGATGGCCATTTTATCCAGATAGCAGTACCCAAATGGATGTCGGTTAAATCTGTTACATCGAGAGGACGCAATTCAATTAGATTTTAGCAAACTACCAAAGACCACCTGTCTGAACTTCTTCTTGCTCTGTTCAATATCTAACAATTGCAATGAATCGAAAACTATTCTCAAACCAATCTCCCAAAATTGCAAGATAGATTGGACCCCTCAGAAAGTACCTACCTACACAGTCCACATGGACAATTCACAAGCCATCTTTAGGGACCGTTAAAAAATGCAAAGGCTGAGCGCAGCGAGATTAGAACTTTAGTTTGAAAGAATAATACCCCTGTCTATTGTAACAATGAAGCCGTCACCTTTCACATGAAAAGCAATAAATCTGTTCAAGCCTTAACATTTACCTTCTACGACGGCGCTAGAGAATGTTACGAATGAAAATAAATCGCCCCTAATTCAGAGCCAAATCGGCGAGATGAAATTGAAATTGAGATTGGGCTGTGTAATGGTGCTATATAGAGTGATCCAAACGGGCTCCTTGCTCTCGGCAGCTCTGTAACGTAATTAATACTTTCAATTTGTACCATTTCGTAATAACAAATTAAGTGCTATTATTCTGACAGGACGGATATACAGTTAGTTGATATGATATTCAGATAAATTGACACAATAAACTACTACTAAGAAAAATTTCAAAACCTTCAATTGTCATTAACATTAAACTAAAAATTAAAACCTGTTGAATTATCAAATTAAATAATGCTTTGTACCCACAAAGAATACCGAACACAGAAATAATAATGCCCATTCTGCAGGGAAAATGCAAGAGTTTGAAGTTTAGTCTAACTATTCCAAGATACTACGTAGCTGACATAACGATAAATTGTATAATAATAACGATGAGTTCGATGATTGTGACGATATTTTAAAAGAACATAATTCTTTTGGATTAATAGTAAGTAAATGCACAAATACGTTAAATCAAAAACCACCTATGTAAATCATTAGTAAAAACATTTTTATGACTTCACATTAAGACCTTTATGTATAGGATTGAGCGATTGAAATTGAACCATTCCCACTTCGAAAAAATAGAACGCAGCCAAGCTGTCAACGTGACAGTGACAGATAACGTAAATAACGTCAAATTTCATTTCAGATGTTATGATTTCATTTTTGAGGTTATCATACAATTTCGTTTAATTTATATTGTGATTCAGTTTAATAACATAATCATAATATATTTACCATGACTTCTGCATTAATAAGTGCTATCAAAAGACTCCACATTTCGGTGGTGCCACAAGTCAGGGTATTTTCATCAAACGCCGCAGCTGCTGCAACAGCGAGCGCAAACAACTTGTCTATTACTAAAAAGGACTGGGCTTTCCAACCTCAGTACACAAAACCCCGTGAAGTATGGATTGAGAACTTGGATACAGTAGAAGAACAGAAATTGGGATTATTTGAACTGCATCCTTCGGTGTTCGCAGCTCCTCCACGAATCGACATTATAAACCAGAATGTTGTCTGGCAAAGGAAGATTAGGTTCGTATCGTGGGCTCATACGAAAACTAGGGCCGAAGTGCGAGGTGGAGGTAGGAAGCCATGGCCACAGAAGGGTTTAGGTCGCGCTCGCCATGGATCAATTCGTTCTCCATTATTCCGTGGAGGTGGTATAGCGCACGGACCTCGTTCTGGTAAGACCCATTTCTTTATGCTACCCTTCCACCTCAGACTACATGGCCTTACTACTACTTTGTCAGCTAAGTTGGCTCAAGATGATCTGCATATTGTAAAAGATTTGGAACTGCCAACGGATGACCCTGAGTATCTAAATGAATTAATAGAAAAGAGGAACTGGGGACCTTCAGTGTTGCTAGTTGATGAGTAAGTATATCTTATACAATGTTTATCAAGAATTAACTATATAAAAATAAAGAATTCCAAGATCTGTTTATAAAAAAGATCAGAATCAATAATATTTTAATTTAGTACCATTATAGACTCTTTATTTGTCGCGGAGAACCTAACGGGTAACCGGGGCTCCGGCTCGACGTGCAGGAGAAGGAACGGGGTGGTTTTTAGTCAGTAAGAGTCTGACACTCCCTCCCGCCTCACCCAGGCGGGGGCAGTCATTCGATGATTTTCCCCCCTTAAAAAAAAAAAAAAAAAAAAAAAAAAAGACTCTTTATTTATTTATATTGTTTCATAATGCTACTGTCCATATTTCAATTTACCCTTTATCAGTCTTCTATAACAAACATTTAATTATTACACACTGATCTATCTGCTAAAAAATTGACTGCTAAAATGTTTTAATGTTTCTTTCTGATTTCAGCACCGACTTAGCACCTAGGAATATAATAGCAGCATCAGACACACTGGGTCATATCAACATTATGCCAGTATACGGCCTGAATGTGTACTCCATGTTAAAACATGATACTCTGGTACTAACATTGTCAGCAGCAGAAAAGATCGAAGAACGACTTCTACATTGGCTGCATGCAAATACAATGAAAGAACAACAACCATTCAAATTGAATCAGGTTTAAATTTTGGAAAGGAAGACATTTAATTATTGGTGTAAATATACTGGTTGGGATCCACAGCAAAATTGATTTATAAGCCTCTTTTTTTAGTATAACATACTTCAGATGACAATCTAGGGGCCCTCCGGTCTCCTCACCCGGGGCCTTTCACATTTTGCTGACTTACCACCCTGTAGTTACACCACTGGTTGAAATACTAAGACCAGAACATAAATAAAGATTTAATGAATTATTTAAATACATAGAAATGTTTACAGTTTATGTTTGTCCTGTTTAATATGGGCGCATTTAAAAGTTAATATTGAACTTAAAACTGAACATAATTATGTTTATTTTAGTGCATAAGTTATGTATGTGTTAGATGTAGTCTAAAAAATACAAAAATTAAAAAACTACTTGTATTTTATTTACTTAGCCTAAATGTTTTCACATGTCAGTTGATTGAAATAAAGAAAATTATCAAAAATAATGTCAAGATCTAACAGTCCCCTGTTCTTTTTCTCTGTGAGAATCAGGAACCTGAAACAATAAAATTGAGATTTTAGAAATACACTTAACCCGTCATATGTCTAAACGTGGATCCATGTGAGACACAATGTGTTTTCTATTGCCATATACAGGCATTCAAGCGGTTAAAATGAACTTGTGAAATATCATTAAAATAAGCTTATACTTATTGATCAAGATCCTTATATTGAAAGATTGGCAGAGGTTGACATTTTCAATGTACCACTTCTGCACCTATATGTGTGCTCCATGAAATACTGGGGTGAGATTATTGTTACAAATGTTACATAAAGCATTAATTACACCCTGTAGTGTTTTTTACACGCGTATTCATATAATATGCACTTATAGTCCAGTAACTTGTTTGTATCATAGATTTTTCTGCAAGATAGGGGACCAAATAATTCATGGACTTTTTTTTTCATATCATACCTTATTTGAAGATGTCTGTTTTACAATATTTCCAGCCATTTTCTGTCTGATACTCCATCGTAAGTCTGACCAGTTGTTTTCGCCCGGCACATTAGATTTGTACTTGTCCCATAAAGTGGTGTAGTAATGGTACAAAGTGACGGGATCACATTTCTTTTTCGGTTGTTGTTTTGGCACTTTGATCACTGAAATCATTAAATGTACATGGTTAGCATTGCATTATACCAAATATAGTCATAAAAATTAAGAAAGGACTTTAGAAACAAGCACAATGCATAAATTGCAGTTATTACAAACATGAATCTAAGTATACTGCATACTTGACAATAAATTGATGTTCTGCGCAAGATTCCCCTTGTACTAAACACAAAGAAAGGTTCAATACTCACAATTATTACTAGTAGTACAAGAAGAACTCCTTTCCTTCTCCAGTTCAGACCTTTTTTCTTCTTTTTTCTCAACTCTTACACAAGAACAAGCCCGCCTAAGGGGCTTATCTTCTGTTTTTGGCTGTCCCAAGTTAGGTGCAGAGTGTACATTTCTAACATTTACTTTCCTACTCTTCTGACATTCTCTGGTACATTTTGGTATAACATTTTCGTGGCCTTTAGACCTAAGGCGGGAACAAAACGTGCTCGCACTATGCAACCTCTCTGGACCTGGCGTTTCATCTTTCTCGTGGTTTGTGGATCTGGACTGGTTCTTTTGTTGCAGGTCATACTTTATTAGCTTTTTTAAATCTGTAAATGTGTTTTTATGCATATTGTTAGTGTGCAAAGATTATATTGGCAAAGATACGATGAATGGGCAAACATATACGTTCCAACTACTTTCATAGTATAAGTAGGGCAAAACACAGTGAACTCGTTACGTATATACCATTCCAAAGTAAGTTAATTTTAGTATTAAACAATAATACCACGAGTAAAACACGTACCTGTAATAAAATACTTCAAGACCTCACCACTTATGTTATGAATACCCAAATTGTTAAGATATCTTAATATCTCTCTGGCATCTAATTCGGCAGTTAGATCGTAATAATTGTCATCCATTGTAAAAAAAAACTCCGTAAAAGTTAGTTACGGGCAAACTTTTAAAATTCGGTAACGTCTTTCTATTTTCATTCATCAATGTTTTTTTCTTTATTATGACATTGACAGACGACAGTGACACTCTATGACGCTATGCTAATTTTTTACCACAGATCACAGAATACAGGGTTACCACATAGCAATTTAGTCGTTTACGAACTTTGTTTATAACGATCAATAAAAATTAGACGTGCAAGTTAAAAGCTTAGTAAAAACATAAAAATAAATTGGTAAATAGTACATGTACGATTTTATTGCAAACGCTGAGATTAAATAGGATTGTATGCATGCGAAAAATTGATCGCATACTTTGTTGATGAACCTGGAATACAATATACACTTGTCATGTTCATGTTAGTGCTCAGCTCAGCTGATTCAACCACGCAGTCATAACATTATTGTGTTGTTAGTTACACACTAAATAGAAAAGAACTGTGATCAAATCGTTGAATGTAACACAAAAGGTTTGATTTAAACATCATTTATTTATAAACATTACAATAGCGTGATAAAATTACTCATAAAATGTCTTTCTTAACCTAATACGATGTCTGTTTTGCAACGAAAAAAAATATAGTTATTAATGTTATGTTACATTATAGAAGGATATTGTGTATTAACGACTTAGAATTTTATTATAATGTATTATAAATAATACCTTTTTTATGAGATCGATAATTTTAGGCAAAACAATTTTAAAATAAGAAAAATAAAGTATTTGTAGGTATTTACTGAATAAAAACTTATAAACCTACCGACGTGAGTAATTTAAAAAATAAAATCCAAATAAAAAAAAATAGTAATTTCGGAAAAGTACTCTATTATCAATAGAGTTACAGTAGTTTTTCTGTCTAAAACAACCCATTCATTATGGTATTTTTTTGCAAAATTTAAACAAATGACATGCATATTTGAGAAGAGAATGTATGCAAAAGATAATAGATAATAAATAAGTAAAATGATTGAACTATAAGTGAACCATAGTTTTCAATCAATGGTTGGCGGGAATTATTTAAAAATAGGTAAATGTTTTTTGTAAGCAATCTATTTAATATGTTGTAGGAATTGAGTAAAATATAATTTAATATTTATATATGTAATTTCATGTTGTAGATATTTTATCTTATAATATAGGTATTACATTTCTTGGTATGTTTTTAACATTTCAAGTAACTTAGTAGTAACTTTTTCTATGACATATTAAAACAAATTTAAGGACCCCTTTCAAGAACCTAACTACAACCATTAACTTAGGCAATCACTTCCATTACAACAACTACATAATATTTATAACTCTTAAGTCGATAATATTATTATTTGTACATACACCTACAGGAAAATAGTACTATTTGCTAGAAGGTTGTTATCACAGCGACGGCTACGCTGTCGGCCGATGTGAGCGATCATTACCACTGCAGTGTTTGCTGCGAAACGTAGGTACCGTACCATGGCTGCTAACTTCGAAAATAATCCAGCCATCGCGAATTTTGTGGAATATTTGAAAATACCGAGTGTTCAACCTGACATCAACTATGGTGAGTTCTGAGTTCAATTATTTGATCAAAGTATCTTATTATCATTGTCATAAACACACATTTTTGATTGATTATTTTTTGAATTTTTATGAACCATACCAGCTTATGTATTAAGTTTACGCTTTATATAAAACTCAGAAGTTTATTTATTATATTAAAATATGCATACTCGATAATAACTTATTATCCTTCTAACTACACCTACATATGTATGTTGTAGATGCAATTATTTTAAATACATTTTTGTGTACTGCCATAAAACTATATAATAATAATAATATTGTCCTCTAACAAATTCAAGGGCATAATCATGAAAACAAATATTATTTTAGCGCTACATTTTGACTGACTACAATAATAATAAATATAGCATATCACGGTTTTATCAGGTTGATAATGAAATTCTGTCTCCACAGTTTCTACAGCTCTATTTTGTTATCATATTCAAATAACTCATGTTACGTAGGTACCTATATAAATAGAGACAAAAGAACCTAGGTAGGTATATTGGTATGTAGATCATTCATTGGGCTCAGGATACAGCAGATTGTATCATTGACGTATCTACAACTGGCAATTGAGACTGCCCTAGCCAGTAAAATTGAATGATATCAAAGGGGCCATCTAACCAAGTGCAAAATTATGTTTGATTGCCTGTAGTTAGGGGAACTGCATTCAGTTCAACATTCCGTCTACAATTCTACATATCTAGTTATTTAGAACGAAGTTGATGCCCTGCTTTGAAATAGGTGTAGAGTACCTACTTCAAAGCTTAGGCTACACCTAGTCTTACTTTTGCCGTAGTTCTAATTTTAGCCGTAGTTAATAACAAAGGTATTTTAGTTTTCAACATTTACATATATTTTCCACAAAGAAGTTTCCACGAACAAACGACGGTACCTGTTCACAAAATGTCAAGGTCACACGTTGAACTTCGTGTTCTTGATAAGTGCCATACAAAATAGCTTTATTATTGCAGATGACTGTGTAGCATTTCTGAAAAAGCAGGCTAATGGACTTAGCCTCGCTGTGAAAGTATACGAATTAGTTCCACGCAAGCCCATAGTTATTATAACATGGCCAGGCAAAGACCAATCGCTCGGATCAATCTTGCTGAATTCTCATATGGATGTCGTGCCTGTATTCGAAGTAAGTACCTAATGATCTTTTGTAGATAAAATAGCTACTTACTATTTGAGACTACTTATCTTGTCAAGACAAATATCGATAAGTCGGAAGATGAGCATCTCTGTAATTGTGAGTAGCGATAATTTTATTGTTAGACAATAGTGTTGATAAGAAAGTTTATTGCTTGCTAGTACACCATCACACCGTTTATGTATACCGTACATGTAACTACTTAATCATGCATGGGCGTTTCTTCTTTTAACGTAGTGCTATGCTAGTCTCGATTTCTATTCCCAGGCCATACCAAAATACTAAAAAAATAGCTTTTGTCCGAAGTCCGGAGACTCTACATTGACTAGGTTTAAAAATTTAGATGATGCTGCATCTGACCTTACTTCGGTCGTATCGTTTTAGCTTCATGAATTGCTACGATAGACTGAAATTGTTTAGGGGGTATAGGCCACTTAATACAATTGTTACATCCGTTATGCCGCAAATTGGTTAAGCAATTCATAAATCTGTTGAATTATAATTCCCTGCAGAACAGTTGGACGTATCCTCCGTTTAGTGGTCATATTGACAAGGATGGAAAGATCTACGCCCGTGGCTCTCAAGACATGAAATGTGTTGGTATTCAATATCTTGAAGCTATACGGAAACTGAAGGCGGCTGGAGTGCAGTTAAAAAGGACTCTCCACGTATGTTTCGTACCTGGTAAGTAATCATTATCATTACATCAGAATACTATTAGTTACTTCTAGGAAAATACCTCTCATTAGTAACCTATGAAGCTACATCAATACATAGTGACTGTAGGAACTTTTCGAATTGAAACTAGTTGTCTAATTCCCTAAGTGACTTCTAAAATATGATCTGTTTTAGACGAAGAAATTGGAGGTCATGATGGTATGGAAAAATTCGTCGTTACTAAAGATTTCAAGGACTTGAACGTGGCATTCGCTTTAGATGAAGGAATGGCAAGCCCTAATGAAGACTTTGTATTGTTTAACGGCGAAAGGAGTATTTGGCGTAAGTCCGAAGGGATTGGAGAAACATTCATAGACTTTTATTCTTTGTTGTATTTTAATATCTAAATTATTTTCCATTCAGAAATTCACGTTCATTGTACTGGACAACCTGGCCATGGATCATTGTTGCTTCCTAACACCGCGGGTGAAAAGGTTTGTTAAAAACTTGATAGTCTTTTTAAAGAGACACTTTTACTGAATCTCGAAGTTATTGTAATTGCTTCATCATGCATAAAACCTGTTATCTTTCGGACGGGAATGCATTAAACTTTAAATGTATGTAACATTGCACTAATTGCATTGGCTAGTGGCTAGGTACATAATTGGGTAGTTGACAGGGTAAGAAAAAAATGAAAAAATATTAGACACGTATTTTTTTATTTTGTTGTATAGTAAAATGATACTTAGATACAACGAATCAAAGTTTGGGAGTGGGGCTAAAACGTCATTTCTACGTATAAAATATTTCTACATAGGTAGAAGTGACGTCACACGACATTTCAAATCAATATATCGTCAAAAGTATTCGTTTCAGTAAAAAAAACAAAAATACGTGTGTAATGTTAATAATCTACCAGACGGACATTATAAGAATAATAAGAGTTAGTCATCTACTCTATTATAGGGACATACTTACACACCTTGACACGACTGCTGATAAAGTACCTATTCATTTTCAATTCATATTACTATTTTTGTTCTAACTGTCTGATGTTCACCACATATTTTAAGAAATGACAATCATTATTTATTTAACAATAAAAATAAATATGTAATGACATCGATGATGGTAATATCGTGTACTTAAATATAAATAATAGTATTTTTTGTTTCAGTTGAGGTTTATCATTGATAAATTCATGGATTTGAGAGCTGAGCAGAAAAAGATATTGGAAAGCAATCCAAAATGGACCATTGGTGACGTCACAACGATCAATTTGACTCAAATATACGTATGTGTTAAAAAAGCTGGTGGAATGATATGTCTTCCCTATCTGTATTATGTGTATTGATTTTATTTTTTAATAAGTTCATTATTGTTCTTGTTCAGACTATATATTCATTTTTATTTATTTTGCCTTATTTATTTTCAAGCTATCCACTAAATATGATAAAAGTGGTAAGTGGGCCAAACGATATTCAAATCTGGGCATATGAAATTAGAGTGCTTGTTTAAAACAATAGATACCTACCTGCTTGATTTTAGAAGGCTAAGGTAATTAACTATTTTCTAATTTATTCCAGGGAGGTGTGCAATCTAATGTAGTTCCTGAGAAACTGACTGCAGTTTTTGATATTCGATTGGCTGTGACAGTTAACCACGAGGAATTTGAAGCCATGGTAAAGACCCATACTTTTTTATTTTAACATTTTGGACAGAGCTGAAATATTGAAACACAATCATTTAAAATTCGAGTTATTTATTCAAAGTCAAAGTCAAAGTCAAAATCATTTATTTCAATTAGACCAGTAAGGCACTTTTGAACGTCAAAACAAAATATTTAAATATTAAATAATAAGAAAAAATAAGAAAAAATGTCAGTCTGTAGGTCAGTCCTCTAGTGAAGCTATTTGCTCGTTCCAAAGTGTAGATTCCTATGGAGAAGAACGAGCAAGAAACTCCATAGGTTACTCTTTTTCAATCATGTTCACAATACAATTTTTGGTTACATTCTTCCGTTACATTGAGGTACATAATGTATGTTTTAGATAAATAAGTGGTGTAAGGAAGCAGGAGATGGAGTAACCTTCGATTTCGAACAAAAAAATCATTACGTAGAGGTCACAAAACTGGATGCAAGCAATCCTTTCTGGCTGGCTTTCAAAGCTGCTGCTGATGAGCTGTAAGTACTTTTAACAAAAAATAACTCGTAGGTAAATACAAGAATGCGTATTCAAATTAATAAGTCATAAAAAATGTTCAAAAAAGTGTATTCCAAGGTATTTTTTAGACTCGTGAACAAGGGATTCGGGTTTTTTTTCTTCCTAGGTATATCAGTTACCTAATCAGTTGCATTTTCTTTTCAGAAAACTCAAGCTCGACTGTAGAATTTTCCCTGGCGGTACTGATAGTAGATACGTACGTGATGTTGGAATACCGGCTTTGGGCTTCTCTCCTATGAACCATACACCGGTCCTTCTCCATGATCACGACGAGTTTCTAAGAGCCGATATATTTCTGAAAGGCATTGATATCTACGTTAAGCTTCTTACAGCTGTCGCTAACGTTTAAATTGTGATTTGAAATCTACAATAAGCATTTTAAAACTAATAATAAATATGTATTTAGTACTCTTCCTTCCATGCTATCTTGGCAAATAGAGTACGTTTTAAATTAATTGCATAATCCTGTGCAACTTACCACCTGTGCCTTTGTAAGAAATATTTTTTGTTTATTTTTTTTGTCATCAACATAGCTTAGGAATAAAAAATCGCAATTATTAAGGTTTATAATAATGAAATAAGTGTCATCCATATCGACGTAATTTTAAGTATTATCCAAATAAATGTTAGTGAACGTACTGATTATACCTTTAAGTGTATAATTATATTTTTCAAATGGTATTATTATTATGATGAATAACAATTATAAAATATTATTTTTGCGATTTATATCCTTTATTTTTATTTTTTAATCTTTGTGTTAGCATGTTTCCAAGTATTCTTATAGTTAATCAGTTGCTATTGTTTTATTGTAATCTTTATTGTGGTTGAAGTAATAAAATATTGATTTTAAAAAAGGTTCAAATTTTATTTTTCTTGTACAAATCGCTCCATTTACCTGCTAACGTTATTCTGCCGAGCATTTACGATTACAAAAATTGTCAGTAGCAACATGCGAGTTTGGGAAATGTGTTTTATGAGGGTACAGTTACACACTCTCCTGTTAAGTAGGAATTCTAAAACCAAAAAGTGGCCATTACAAGTTTGCTCGCCCTTCGGAAAAAAAGTTCTACATAAGTATGTATGTAATTAGAAACCGAAAATATATTTCGAACTTCTAATAGAATCGTAAAATGAAAACTTGACTACTACTTTAAGTGTGGGAGAGCCACGCTTCGGCACGAATGGGTCGGCTCCACCGGAATGCTACCACGGCCTCACAGAAAACCGACGTGAAACAAGGCATGCGTTGTTTCGTCTTGTGAGTGAGGTTACCGGAGACCCAACTATCTCCCTTCCCCAGTCTCCTCAATCCCCGAATCCTTCACAATCCTCAAATTCAAAAGACCTCTATCGCACTTGTATTGTAATGCCTTGGTTTTTCAGATATCCATGGGCGACGCTGATTGTTTACCAGTAAGTTATACGTCGGCTCGTTTACCGGCTTATGCCATAAAAAAAACTAGGTACAAAATTAATACGATTCACATAATGCAATCTTTCAGCGTGAATGACCGAATGATATTAACTTTATATTATCTGTGGGTTTATGCTTTATGGTACAAATTGTTATTGTTACCAGTAGTTGATCTGTCAAACTATTGTTACATTACGTTAAATATTGTTATTTACAATAAAATAACGGCTATAAATAGTAATGAATAAAATTTGTCGAATATGTTTAGAAGAAGGTGTCCTATCGTCTGTATTTACCAAAAATTATAATATATCACTATGTGATATGATAGAGTATTGTTGTAATATAAAGGTAAACCGCAAGTTAATATTTCAAATAATTAAAGTTTTATAAATTAAATTATTACCAGAAAACGATAATAAATACTAAACTAGTGTTAATTTGGTTTTGTAGATAAGCAAAGATGATGGTTTGCCGGAACAAGTATGCAGTAACTGTATTTATAAGATGGGTATTGCTTACCATTTCAAACAAACTTGCGAAAGCGCTGATATAAGACTGAGACAATATTTAGGACTGAGAATTCCAAGCAAGTGAGAATTATAATTACATTTACTCTTCTTACAAAAAATATGCTGCTATGTTAAGTAATTATAAAAAAAAACATATTGGTCTATTGCTGAATATGACACCAGTGCAGAACTGGCTTTATGATATAACTGGTACTAAAGTAAATACTTAGCTTGATTTAATGATAAACAATGTATTTTACAGGTACAATGATGCTTGTATAGCAACTGATCCATTTGTAAGTATCACAAAAAAATATTCTAACTAGCCAGCATACTTATATTTCTGCATTCTTTTTGTGATTGACAATTTCTTGTAGAAGTATAATAATTTAAAAAGAACTTTACTTTCAGGTGCCCACACATACAACAATAATAAAGAAATGGTAAGTTTGCATAATATTCTTCTATTTATTTATTTATTTATGTACACACATACAATATAAAGGACAACACATACATAAAATTAAAGTACAAAGGTACCACCTATTCCTATTGGAATTTCTTCCTGTGGACCTGGAGCAGGAAAAGTAATAATAATATAGTGACACAGTGTGTAGTCTTCTAGTTGTTGTTCTTGCATAATATTATGTTTTTTACAATTTATGTTTTATAAATGCTTATTTATATCATTACAGCAAATGCAAACAACAGGAACCAAAGAGACAAACTAATTATAAGAAGAAATCTGAGTCTGAGAAAATGAAAAGAGGTCCCAAACCAAAGCCTAAACAAGACCACCAATGTTATCAGTGTGATAAGCAGTTCCGATGTCAGGCACAACTAGAGATGCATGTTAGGTAAGTGAATTCGCTATATCACCTTGTCTTTGATAACAAAACTAAATAGAATATTATCTCATCTCCTAAAGACAAAGGGAATAATAACAGACTGACAACTTTCAACTAGAATAATTTATGAATTGGTTAATAAATACCTAAGAGGAGATGACTATTCCTAGTGTATATTGATAATAGTGCAATCCAAAAGACCACTTTATACGTAGAAAATAAGACTCATTAAAATAATGCAGCCTGAATAACATAACTGTTAAAATATTGCAATTAGTACCACAAACATTTTGATTTGCAATTATATCTTACTCTCTAATTAATAAATAGTTGTTCTAAATTATAAGACTGCCTGTTAATTTCCAGGACCCATACAGGAGATAAACCCTTTGTGTGCATGTATTGTCCTCGAAGATTCACACAGAAACATAATCTTACCATACATCTCCGAATACATACGGGCGAGAAACCTTTTCAATGTGAAGTATGCAGGTAAATTAAAAATATTTTTATTTACCAACAAAGTCAAAAAATTTAATTAAAATGTCTCTTAGAAAAATTACTTAAGAAGCGGTTTCCTGTGGAGGAGTATTAGCTAGGTATAATTTCAATAACAATCTCCATATTTTCTTACTTTAGTTGGTGCTCAGGTGGTAGCGCTTTCTATTAAAAATGTATAGGTAGTTTGTTTTAAATGTAGTTTAAACTGTCAAACACCAAGCGGTCACAGGTGACCACGACCTATTGTTCTTTAATTGTGTCTATAAAACCGGTACTCGACGAGTTAATAATGTTTGTAAATTTTGTATTTACTTATAAGTGTTTGTTACACTTACTGTGTAACACTCACATTTATATTTTGACATTGTATTGGTGTAAACAAATGTTGTAAATCATAAATAAATAAACAATTGTTCTACAAATAATATTCAATATTTTTTCAGCAAAAGGTTTTCAGCACAAGGAAACCTACATGCCCATTTAAAGATTCACACTGGCCAAAGGGATCATGTAAGTACTCATGCTATAAGCAAGAGTAATGGTGACTGCTAGCAATTCTTGAAGTTTGCAATTATTTGCAATTTTTATTGTAGAAGATATTTTTTTTACTTTTTATTTCATTTCAGGAATGTTCAATATGTAATAAGAGTTTTATAACTTCAAGTGAGTTAACACGACATATGAACAAACATAGAGGAGTTAGAAACTTTAAATGTGATCTCTGTGGAGCTGCCTATGTGCATTCTAGAGACCTTGTAAGTTGAAAACCCAGTATTTATCACTTATATGATAGCTGGTTAATAGTTATACAATAGTCCTTTATTAAATAATTCTTTCTTGTTTTCCAGAAATTACACAAATTAAAAAAGCATCAAATAGTTCAACAAAATACTAAGCTTCAAAATGAAGGATTTAACAACAGCGGCAATATAGATATTATAGGAATAGATGTTGGAAAAGAGACACAAATGAAAGACGTTGGACATCTTATACCACATTTGATTAATGATAAAACGGAGCAGAATCTTCCAGTTATTCCTGAGAATCAGTCACTGATGCCTTTTGAACAGAAAACTAAAGAAATGTTTCATCCATATTCCAGTAAAGTTTTTGAGGTTCACAACTGTGCTATATGTGGTGAAGACTTCGATTATGTGACTGCTTTAGCCCAACACTATTTGCATCAACACAAGGACCATGAAAATATACACTCTAAAGTCTATGGGCTGCCACAATAAAACTTTTTCTTTCATATCTATAGTAGTGCTGATGATAATAGTTTCCTACTGTCTTGTTTACCAGGTAACCATAGAAATACATTCTGTCCTTTTCTCCTTTACTTTTCAGACACCTCTGGAGTCTAATAAGCGACTCCAATGTACTTTTATGTAAATGGATTGTACATTTTAAGTATTCTGCCTAATACAGAATATTCCTTTATAACACTAAACAGGCACACTTGAATGGCAAAAATGCTATATAAATGTAGAGCTAGGATGCAGAAGAAAAGACTTAACAATATTATTTTTAATCTATTTATTGCATGGCCAAAAAGTACATAACAAGCCTAAAACTCAGGCTCTGGCAACTGTATGAAACAGGAATAAATATTTATTAAATGAAATATTTTGTTTTATTCACATAATTATCTAATTATTATCGATCTAAATAACAAAAACATACTTTTAACGCACTGGGACCCATGGCTCAAAGATATCGGCAATCTTCTTGCGAGCTGAAATAGAAAAGAAGTAAAGTCAACTTAACTCCTATACAAACTAATTTTAAGTAAACCTATAGATAGGAAATTCAGAACAGCATAATACCATAATATTATATCTCTACAAAAGAAGCTTACTATCAACACTTATTCTAAAATAAAATATTGGATATCCAGTGTGGGAGACTTGCTTTGGCACCAATGGGCCGGCTTGATCGGAATGATACCACGGCCTCACAGAAACCCGATGTGAAGACCCGAAGAACCCGACGCTTGCATTGTTTCGTAGTGTGAGTGAGGTTACCGGAGGCCCAGCCCCCTCCCCCCTTCCCCAATCTCTCCAATCCCTGAATCCCCAACAATCCTCAAACTTCTAATTCCCAAAAGGTAACACACTTGTAACGCTCCTGGTGTCAGGTGTCTATGGGCGATGCCGATTGCTTACCATTAGGTGATCCATCTGCTTGTTTATGGCATACGCCAAAAAAAATGCATTTATACCATTTAGCTGATAAAAATACTGAATTGCCAGTATAATAACAATGGTCCATGATACCTTATTTTGAATGCAACAAATCATAATTTGAGACAAATATTATTTGTCCAAGTTTCTCATACCAAACAATGGCATCAACAAAGTACCCCTAGCTTATATAGGTACTTAATGTAATGTAACTTACGAGGTTCTTCAAACTCTTCAGGATGTAACTCAAGATAATGTCTTAGTACTGCATCTTTTTCTGCAAAGTAATTGTCTCTATGCTTCTGCATATATGTGAAAGCAGTCACTAGTCCAGCCGTTAGGAGAATGTGTTTTTGAATTCCTGAAATTAGTGCAAAATCACATTACTGTTTTGGGTTATGTTATTGTCCAAAAGTACAACTTTTGTGACTCCTTGTATACTCATAGGTATTAATATTTTATGAGCAAGGGCCGAGAAATAAAATATTTACAATAATTATAACAATATAATATAATGCTAGAATAACATTCGACTGTTTTTGTTATGTAATTTCGTCTTACCACTAAAAATGGGACGTCGAGTTTGGAAGTTAATGAATGATGCGGAACCTATTCCAAAAAAGGTACCAAGTATTTGTGGCCAGAATTTAGATAGTACGGTTTTTGTTCTCCCTTCGTCCCCTAATTCAAGCAGTTCCCGAGCAGATAATTGTGAGGACATTTTCTCGAAATAAAACACTCCGTCCGACACACTTATCTACGAGATATAAATGTCAATCAATATTGTCATTGTCAATGTCACTCAATGTTATTTGACAACAGATTTTCACGAAAAATTTTCTATAAACTAAGAATAGAGATGGATAATTTTTAGATACAAATATTTAGATAAATACTGGGCTTATATCGTCTTTTTTGAACAAATATTCGTAAAAGTACTAATAAAATATTCAGTGTTTATCCATTTCATAGATACAATAATACTATCCATTTTGAGCCTTTATCCGAAAAATTTCCCATCTATGTATCACTGGTATCACGGTGATGTTTCTTGTCTATGGTGTAGCGCTGTGAGTGAGTCTTTGGTTTGTCGATTGTCAGTGTCATACACACTGTCTGTCATCCATGTGTCATTTCGTAAATCTTAACTAGGGATGGCGATTCTTCCCGAAAAATATCGATTTCGAAATCGATTCTATTCGTGATGATTGTTCGATTCACATATAATCGAGTTATTATAATATAAATATATATTTTTTTAATCTATCTTTTTTAAATAAGTTTTTACAGTAACACTGTAAATCAAATTTATAAAAAAACATGAGTAATATTTGAAATAATAATCTTTTAATCAGGACAATCAGTAATTGTCAATTTATATTTATATAAAACCTTGTATTTTTATTTTACATTACTTGATGATGCAATATCAAATCAATCACAATACAGAGATACAATATGTAAGTCTAAAATTCTAAACGTAACTTTTTTTATTGATGAGAAGTGAGGTGAAGGAGACTAAGCATATAACCATCTCGCGAGTTTTTGAGTAATTCAGCGGCAGCACTCTTGTAATACGAGCCTCTAACTAATCGTATAGTTTATACCAAGACAGAAAAAAATCGTATCTTGATTTTAGGAGGATATCTGAGATCGATACAATGTATAGGATGGATCGATTAAAATAATCGTTATGTTGCATTCGATTTCAGATCCGCATCCCTAACCCTCCTAATCTTAACCTCATTGTGTTATTATTGTTGAGATTTTAAGGTTATTTTGTGTTTATAATTCGTCCAAAATCTTTGACTAACATAAATAATACTCTGAATTCCGAAAAATGGTAAGCGTTTCTACTTTACATTTACGCTAATTAAAATATTACTATTTTATGTTTGGTAATGATCTTAATTAATTATTTTATTATACGTTTCAGGGCAAACAGAAGAAAACGAGAAAAATTGTTGAAAGGAAATTTGCTAAAATGAAGAAACTGATAAGTCTTAGTGATAACAGAATCAAACCTACAGATAGAGTTGAACCCAAGAAGAAAAAGATAGATCCACACGAGTTAAAAATCCGTGAAGCGCCACAAACAAGTTCTGCTTTATTCTTTCAATATAACACGCAGCTTGGTCCGCCTTACCACGTTCTGATCGATACTAATTTCATAAACTTCTCTATTAAAAATAAATTAGATATAGTACAGAGTATGATGGACTGTTTGTATGCTAAATGCATACCATATATAACAGATTGTGTATTAGCGGAGTTGGAGAAACTTGGCCGAAAATACCGCGTAGCATTAAGGATAATTAAAGACCCACGGTTCGAAAGAATCACTTGTTTACATAAAGGAACATATGCTGATGACTGTATTGTGCAAAGGGTGACTCAACACAAGTGTTACATTGTCGCTACAAATGACAAAGATTTGAAACGTAGAATAAGAAAAATACCAGGTGTTCCCATTATGTATGTTGCTGAACACAAGTATACCATTGAGAGGATGCCAGATGCATACGGAGCACCTAAAGGGGCTATTTAGTATTAAGTTAAAATAAATGTAATTTAAGAAACTTTACTCGTTTTTTTCTTTACACTGTGTTTATATAACTTGGACAGATGAGTAATTTAATTATGTAAGTCCGTAAGGATTGAGGAGCCACATCAGATTTTTAAAATCTGATCTCGCCATTATTTAGCAGCAGTTTAGCTTATTTTGCAGCACAAATTCTGGATTTAGCAGCAAAATATATCACTAGTTATTTTAATGCAAACATGGCTCCTCAATGTAAACGTTTGAATTGAGGAGCCACCTAGAACTCGTTAAGTAATAGATGAATATTTATGAAAATTTTGTATCATTTAGTAGTAATTTTGCACATTACCATATAAAAAATTGGCTTCTGTAGTGCTATAATTAAAGAAAATACAATACTTTTAATATGGCTCCTCAATCTAAACACGAGAGGTTTATTTCTATTGGATGTGAGCGATCAATTAATATTGATAATTTAGCAGGTGTTGTGTTTGTTTTTGTAGTATAGGAATACAATAGTATAGGATTGAGGAGCCACATCAGATTTTTAAAATCTTTACGGACATATTTAATTATATGGCTTATCAATCTGCAAAGTGTGTTCATACTCCACTCCTACTCCAAAGTGTGTTCCCACCCTGAAAGCATTAAAAGTACTGATAAGTGATATTTTCTGTAATTAGTTGTTTATTATAATTTTGTTGTATATTTTTTTTTTGTTTGTTTACAAAAAACCCCATCAATCTTTTTTAAAAATACTGTCACTGTCAGTCACTAATCAAATACTGTACTGTATCAACACAACATGGCGTTAAAATTGTAAGGCATACCTCGTACCTTTAATTATTAAATAAATAAATAATAATTCAATCTATATACAAGTGAACAAAAATTTGTTCATAAAACAGCTAGCTACTTCCGCACGGGTTTACCCGCTCTTATCGGCCTAATGATCATTGCGTGATGTTTCATACCCCTTTTTTTTATTGGGGAACATCATCGAATGACTGCTCCCGCGTGGGTGAGGCGGGAGGGAGTGTCAGACTCTTACTGATTAAAAACCACCCCATTCCTTCTGCACGTCGAGCCGAGTCCCGGTTACCCGTTAGGTTCTCCGCGACTCTTTCATACCCTATAGGATAAATAAAAGTCTTCCTCGATAGATTATCCAATACAAAAAGAATTTTTCAAATCGGATCAGTAGATGCACTGTTGCACGGTTGGTGCGGTGGCTGGGCAACCGGCTGCCGTGCAACGAGTTGCGGGTTCGAATCCCGCACGGGACAACACTTAATAAAAAAAGGTTAAGGATAATCATTGTTTATTCACATTGTACCTTCTTCAAAGCAGCAAATATCAAATATAGTACTTAAAAAACAGTATGTTTGTTCCTATGTTCTAATTTACAATAACAGTAGAAGCATTGCATTGCTCAATACATTGATCTCACTCTTGAGACTCGCGACTTCCTTCGGTGACTACTATATAATACTAGATGGTTGAATTCAATGCACTCGGAGATCCAACGACATCAATGATTTCACCGACTGGCTTGGTTTCATTGTCAGCTGCCATATTGCAGATTGAAGGCGGTATGGTGAGTGTCTGAAACAATAAAATACAGTAAATCGTAAATCTAAAGCTGAAGTGTTTGTTTGTTCAAATGTGCTAATATTAGGAATGACTGGTATGATGTGAAAAAATACTGTTGTGTTACCGAGCCCATTTACCGAGGAAGGCTATAGGCTATAAAACATCATTCTAAAATCAATAGGCGCCGAGCCTAGCGGGTGAAACCGTGCGGAAGAAGTCTTATACTTCTACACTTCTTGGCAGAAGAAGTATAAGACTAGAATATCGGTTAAAATTCTTAATGTAGAAAACAACTACCTATGTTGCTGATGTTTTTTTTTTATTGAATCAGTTGAAAGATTGCAAGCACGACTATGACGTGTGGTCACTATTTCTGCTTCATATACATATTTTTTTTATTTTGCTGTAATAGCCCAGCATCTATAATTCTAGCTTATAATTTACAGATGTCCAAGCTGCTAGAACATAAATACCAAAAGTAAGTCATTTTTAATGTTGGCATCATCTTAGAGAAATAAAACATAATATCGTAAAAATTACCTTTCCAGGATTGAGAGCTTCATATTGGTGTCTCAGCGCTTGCAGTTCAAATTCACATGAAGCTAAAGCATTCTTTAAATCTAATGCTAGAGCAAGATCAGACCGTAGCTCATTGAAATGTTTGCAGATGGCTTCAGTTGGTGTCGGTGCCACATCTGTAAATTATAACCAAAAATTAGTAGATAGAAATTGTAAAGTAGTTAGTGTTATGTAAAAAGCGGGGCAGATTAAAAAAAAAACAAAACTGTTTTGGACTTTTTGGCAGTCGATTTCTGTATTGTACAAAGTATTGGGGTTTTCAATACATAGTACACACATGAAATAATGTGTGTACTTGTTACTTAAGTTCCATGATAATCATTTTAATGTTCTGTCATAAAATGCCTTAGAATGCCTATTTTTTTTACATATTTGATGGGCCTATGTTTGACCACTATCTCGCCTGGTGGTAAGGGGTCTACGATGAAGCACGTCGTCCCATAAGCGACCTATTTAGTCGGTATTGTATGTATTATATGAAGATTTAATACAAGGCTTGTTATATTTTTAAATACACACCTATATTCATCAGTCTTAACTCTTGCTCTATGGCTTTAGTCTTCCGCTGTCCAACTCCAGGAGGAAGCTTCATCCGTTGTGACCTCATTGATACACCTGTTGCACGAGACTCAGGGAACTTGATACCAGACCATTCTACAGTCTATAAAAAGAAAACAAAAACAAGTTTAACAAATATAAGCAATCCCGCTTTTCCCGTTTCTGTGGCATTTTCGGGAAATCCTTGGATAAAAGTATTCTATGTCTGTCTCTAGACTCTAAACTACAAATTTTACCGTTTTTTAATTATAAATAGTGTAACCAATACGACTTTCTTTGATATATGTACATATTTCTTTTATGACTTTATCAGTTGATGTGCCATTCCTAAACAAAGTATCTTCCTTAACACGACACGGGCAAAGCATAACTGCGTATTTAAAAAAATTCTATTTAGAATGAGTATTAAGACTAAAGACTGCCTCGTTGGCCGAGTGATCGCAAGTGCTATTGCCGGTCTCGGGTTCGATTCCCGGGTCGGGCAAGTATCACTAGGTTTTAAAAAAAATCTCAATAGTAGCACGGAGTCTGGAATTGCGACCTGTATATGGCAATAGACCATGCTTCGGCACGAATGGGCCCGCTCGACCGGAACACAGAAAACCGACGTGAAGCAACGCTTGCGTTGTGTTTCGTCGTGTGAGTGAGGTTACCGGACGCCCAATTACCCTCCCCTTCCCCAATCTCCCTAATCCCTGAATCCCCAACGATCCTCAAACTCCTAATCCCCAAATAGCCGGTAACGCACTTGTAACGCCTTTGGAGTTCCAGGTGTCCATGGGCGACGCCAATTGTTTACCATCAGGTGATCCGTCTGCTCGTTTACCGGCTTATGCCATAAAAAAACCCCTGCTGCATAGGACTCATAACATAATTTATGAAAAGTGGGTGAAACAAGTGAAGTGAAGTACAGTGGCATAAAGTGCCGTAATGTGCACCTCCCCTTCGGGGACAAAAAGCGTAATGTTAAGTATCTAAATAGATTAAAATAAAAAAGTAAGTAAATGGAAGGAGTCTTTCATCAATAATGAAAGTCAATATTTACAATTATTGTGTTCATTACTTACAACAGTTTCCACAGCCCTCACAGGTCTTTGTTGAGCAGTCAGTTTCTTCTTGTGCAGCTTCCTGTCATGGCGCCGAGCAATACTCGAAGCATTATTAGAAGGCGTACTGGCACCTTCATTGTTATTGGTCACTTGATTTATTGGTGGCAAGTTTCCACTGTCCGCTCTGGATATTAGCTTCTGTAAATCCTGGGTCTTACGTTCTCTCTCACGTTTACGGGCTTCTATCTTCTTGAGTTCTGATATAAGCATTTGTTCCTCGTCAATCTGGAAGAAAACAGTAAATAATAGGTACTGTAATATTGAATTACTACGTAGTATTTATTAGTACTTTAGTTTTTAGATTTATTTGTAACATATCCATACTCCGAGAACTCAGCATCACAAAGCGTCTATCAACCGTAGCATAGACGGGCTTACTGTAGTACTTTGGCCATGTTTCCCGGCGTGATAACAACTCCATAGAGCGGCTGGTCGTTCAGGGGAAGGTAGAGGGAACCAGATCCCGAGGCAGATCACCTATGCGCTTGACTGATCAAGTCAAATCGGCAACAGGAAACCCAGTGTCAGACTGCGCCAAACAATCCACAAACAGAAGGAGATGGCGGGAGATTGTGAGAAAAGCAGTATTGGCATTCAACACAAATACGGCCGCCTCAACGCGAAACAACAATGCCAAGAGCGAAACAAGAGAGAAGAATTGTGTCCTCATTCGGGGAGATCTAAGTTCAGCAGTGGATATATTAGTGCCACCCGACGCTGGTAGTATAGTATAGAGTACTGGCATATTTCAGTGCATATACCACCGAGAGTGCTTTAGTATGTCTGTTTTAGTACCAACATACTGCATGTGTCTGTTTTCCGTGTGTGTATTTAATTTGTATTTGTTTTCTGTATTGTTTTGTCTGTCTAAATGTGCTTACTAACATATTTTTGTAAAGATGTTTCGTATTTTTGATTTTGTTATTAACACAGTGGACCATTGATGTCTTAAATAAATAAATGATTGATAGTGGACGTAATTGGAAAATAGGTTGCCGAAGAACGATAAAAAATAAAATATATGTAGTGGCTCTGTGTATCTATATTACTGTCCAAATATTATGTAGTATCACCGCCTTTTCTTAAGCTGGTAAAGTTTAAAGAGGTAAAAGTACTTGATTTAACTTATTCACCTGGTCTTGTGTTCTATCAAATAGTCTTCTGAGTTGTTCCTTCCTCTTCCTCTCATGTTCTGCATCATAATGGTATATCCGTTTCTCTCCATTTACCATTGTGACAGTATTGGACCATGGATTTGTTTTCACCTGAAAAAATAAAAAATATTTTTATTATTTTAATGTAATCAGTGAGTTCATGGTTTTATCCATTTTTATAAGAACATCAAGAGAAAATAATTACTGCAATAATTTAGATTAGAGAAAATAATCCTTACTAATATTATAAATCTGAAAGTGAGTTTGTTTGTTTGTTCCACCTTCATGCTGTAACTACTCAACCGATTGCTTTGAATTTGCTTTGAACGTAAAGTTAGAAGTCCGGATTTAATAATAGGGTAATTTTTAACCCGGAAAATATTGATAATCCCGAGGAAAAACAAAAGTATTGGTATAGATGGCGCTGTGTGTATTGGTATATGTCACATAGGCTACTTTTTATTCTTTTGTGACGCGAGCGAAGCCGCGGGTAAAAGCTAGTTACTTCATAAATATAAATACATACCTTGCTCAACGTAGCACAGATTCCATAGTATCGTTCTTTTACATCTTCCACAGTGCGATCCCTGAACGCAGCTCTGTCCCAGCGGTCATGGATGACAATGAACCGCAGATCGAATCTTTGGCACAAGTCCATTAAGTGGTCAGTTTCAGCCTGACTCCAATCCTCAGACTTCAAATACTGATTGTATTCTGACTCTGAATAAGATGGTATTGACACTTGCTAACGGGGAAAAAATAATTAATGTAGTAGAGTATCCTATAAAAGTTTTAGTGAGGGTAAGTATTGTTTTACTAAGGTAATCTTTTCAAAGCTATACAATTTTTTTGGGTAATGATTAATTTAAAAGAAGCCCTTCTGCCCTTATGGAATCATAAAAAATCTCATAACACCCATATGAGTTTTTACATATTAGTAATTTTTATTAAATTCACACTGAATAACCGTCTTTACGCATTGAAAATTGTTGAAAATCATCCCCTAATTTGTTCATACAAAAGTCCAAAGTCTCTAAACATTGGAAATAATGTAGTAGTTAGTGGAGAGCGGTCACCAGTGACCACTTGGGGATATACGGGTTAAGCATTTGAGTAGTTTCCAAAATATAAAAATCACTAAAGTAGAGCCAACATATTGAAAAAATTAAAAATATTTATAACTAGTTAGCATTTAATTAAAGTTTTACCTTGTTGAACTGCGCAAACGGATACTCCTTGGCTTCATCCGATGCTCGTTTCCAATGGTGAAAGACAGCATTGTCGGTCCTTGCAGGGTTTGTAAATGGAGCCCACACCCATTTCCTCACCTTTCTCATACCAAGCTTAGCCTTTGTTTGTTTGTAGGCTTTGCCTGATGAAAAATAGACATAGTTAACAAGCATACTTAGCTTAATCAAAATTGTTGATACATAACATATTTTAAGATTAAATAAATATGCATTGAATTCGATTGATATATGTATTTTATAGTGTAATGTCCAAACCTGTGTCAGTGGGCAACAGTGGAGGTAAATCTTTGTTGTCATTGTACAGCAATGCAAATACTTCTCTGTGCATTCCCTCAGGTCGCTTCACTGCCTTTGCAGTCACATACTTCTTCTTCACTTTATCTCCATGTATTATACTATCCCTACTGATCTCATTAGTTGGTTGCTCTAATTCTAATATATCAAGAATATCAGCCATTGTTTTGTGAGCTATTTACACTGAAATTTAGTTTTGGCACTTTTTTACAAAGAACAAAATATTTTTTTGGACTGAAGGCCCAATTAGAATACTTAATATTAGAAGTTATTTAGTTATGTTTAAGCGGTATAATTCAAAGAAAACACAATAAACACACTGAACTGAAGAGATCAATTTAGTATTTCAGTTTGACAGCTACTTAGCATTAGGCTATTACGTCACATGTCACAAAGCCAACTTACAGATTAAAAAATGTCATAGACATAAAAAGACCATTGAATGAATGATTATTATGATTTCCTTGCAACAAAATCTGCTTTTTCCCAGTTAGAGAAACATTTTTTCTTCAATTCCACTTTTAAATCAGCTACAGTCATTAAAGAATAAATTTTAAAGCGTTTTTTATGGAGTAAAGCGAAACCTCTAAGCGTTAATTATAATGACAAGGCACCAGCGGTGATAGCGCCATCTACAGTTATCTTTGCCTGTGCCTCCCCCATAGATATTATCATATCAGTGGCCTCCCCATTGTTTCAAGGGTCCAATGGACCATTTTCATTGAAATAAAAATATCTAATGCCAATATTTGGTATCTACTTATGACCAGCTAGGCATAATACATGTACCTGACAGGAAGTTAACTTATTTAATGGGTTTGTTTATTGGTTTATATATAATTATATATTATGGGTAATTTTTACAATATTTAATATAGGTATTTACTGAAGACAGCAAGAACAAGGAGTCACAAATTGCTCGTTCAGCTCATTGTTAACACTAGTTGTTGCTATGCTAACGACACACGCGTTATGACACGTAATTACGTTTTAGACATCTGCCATGTTTCGTCGATGTTTGGCTTTGAACCTCGGAAGCTCTCGGTTACGGTTCAATGATTAATTGTCAGCATTTTTCTTATATTGACACCTGCAAGCGCGCGTGCTGGTCAACTGTTAAAATTGTAATGAAGCTTAATTTTTATAATACCCAATTATGACATGAGTTTGTTACGCATTGATTTAAAAAATGAGGTATTTCGTGTATATCTTAACGCCATACGAATAAGAGCGCCTTCACACTGCGCCGCGTAGTCGAACACTACGCGGCGCGGCGCAGGCGTCCCTTTATCCCGGTGTCGCGACAGTGCAAGGGTTAATCAAATGATTATGCGGCGTTAGCGCCGTCATAACGCGGCGCATACGTTTATCGAGGCCTACGCTGGACAAACGCTAGTGTGATGGAGCTTTAAACTTTAAGAATGAGTATCAATCACCACGTTTCTGAAGGCGAATGATTAAATCAGGGTCACCACAACATTTTAACCGATCATGCGAGAATAACAAAAATGGAACCCAAACCTACGTTTTGTCCTAACCGGACATTCAGCCACCGTTAATAGTTAAGGTAATATCCAAGCCTACCCAAGCATACCTACGATCATTTTACACACAGAAATAAGCAGGAAGAAATAATAACATTATGGAATTATAGGTATTATTTTTATTGACTGTCTGATTCAGTTTTTACTCTCTAGCTTAATACCTAAAAGAAATATAAGTACCTCGGTATTGCCAACAAAGTACATTCTCAGCTATTTTTCATAATTAATTTATTTTTTATATTTTAAGTCATATTTTTTAGCTTCAGTTATGTACGCCCTCACAGTTTAGACAAGGTAATTAGATATTAAAATGCGACTTCAATATCACTTTACAATATTATAGATAAGCATCTGAAGCGTTGAACTAATCTTTTATAATCCCTCGTAGAATAGTATCCATTGCAACGGGATTATCCAGCGGTGCCTGTAAATATAATGAAATGAAGTTTAACAAAAAAAAAATCGCGTAGGAGAACCATGATTCAGCATCAATCGGCCAATCCGACCCAAGTGATATTACTTCTGAAGGGGCTGCCCCTTCTTTCCAAAAGGCCGGTAACCCAGTTGTGACGCCTCTTGTGTTGGGGCATATATTATGGTGATGCCGATTGCTTACCATCAGGCTCTCCTGATAACGAACACATTTGTTAGCTTGTTTGTTATAAGTTATGCTTTATAAAGAAACAAAAAAGTCATAATTGTTACCGATTGTCCAGCTACGTTCACCCAATAGAATTGAAGTCCCGTGGAGTTCCTAAAATGGCCTTCAAGTAAGCCATTCACAAATATAGGAAGCCTTGGACTTTCTAAGAACGCTGATTGTCCTAACCAATTGAGGTTGTTCACCCATTCTAATTGTCCTGAAAAATACCGTGGAAATATATTAATCATAACACATATTATAAGCATTAGGTTACCTAGTCTAATCAGTGTCCTATGCTAACCTCAATGTACCTAAGTAGGTAAGTAGTTACCTACCTATAAGGTAAGTAGTAACATTATTTTAGAATTCAGAGAAAAATATATATGGATCATCAATCATAATATCAATAGAAGTAATGGAATCAATATTTTTATTTCTAATTGAGCAGAACTTGTGTTTGACTTTCGAAATAGTTTGGATAAGTAAGTACCTTGGTATTCGGTACATAATCAATTAAGTTACGTATAAAATGTTTACCTGGTGTGTTGGATACCGCGTCCAAATTACCATTATAAATAGTCACAGGAATGTCTGTGTTATTCAGAATGTATTCAACTGAAACAAAGACAATTATTTAAAAATATCTATACATTAACGCTTGGTTGACAGACTAAGTAGGTAAGTAGCTACTGAACCCTCCGAGAAAGTAGAATGATATGCTTTCTAACGCGCTAAAGGCAAGTCATGAGCTAGCGCGCGGGCCTGCGGACGGCGAGCATGGGTGGCTCCCCGTCCGACCAGAAACAGACCCGAGCGTACGGCGCGTCGCGTTCCGCGCACGCCTCAAAGAGCCGTCAGACCACCACAGATGGGGCCCAATAGGGCCGATGCCGATTCGGAGTCGCGGAGAACCTAACGGGTAACCGGAGCTCCGGCTCGACGTGCAGAAGGAACGGGGTGGTTTTTAGTCAGTAAGAGTCTGACACTCCCTCCCGCCTCACTCAGGCGGGAGCAGTCATTCGATGATTTTGCCCCTTAAAAAAAGTCATGACCTAGCACTGGCACCTGTCAGTTATACCTACAGTGATACCCATCAGGCCTGCACGTTACTATCTTTATATCGTAAAAATGGATAAAAAATAACTTGTTTCTATACCTGAGCTTCAAACTTTAATATTATGATTTGATTTATTTATTGTAGCTGGTCTACTCATGTAACGTGGTCGAGTACTTATTTCTAATTAAATAGGTATCAGTAATGACTTGATAAAGCAATGTCGTGGTAGCCCGGAGGTTTAAGACGCCCGCTTCTCATGCATGACGGTGCGGGTTTGAAACATACCAACGGCAAGTACCAATGTGACTTTTTCCGAGTTATATATACTTTGTAAGATTATTCAGACACCACTGACAAACGGTGAAGGAAAACATCGTGAATTTGTGAGGAAACCTGGGCTTATAATTTCTAATTATAAGTTTATAATCGCTAACCCGCATTGAGCAAGCGTGGTGATTAATGCTCAAACCTTCTCCGTGTGAGACGAGGCTTTGCTCAGCAGTGGGCATTTATAGGCTGTTGATGATGATGATGAATGACTTGTTAAAATGACCATGAATGGATTTATATTTCTATCCGAAATGTATTTGTTAGAAGGATAACTTTTTGGACAACTTCCTAAACCACTAGAACTCATGTAAGTCAGGATCTACAATTAATACAACTATGAAAACTCCGGAATACAGGTCCGGCGCGTCTCAGGAACATGAATAACTGTCTTGGATTAAGTAACGAAATAAATCAGAAGATAATTTGAAAAGGTAACAACCTAGCTGCTGGAAAAAGGTGGTATAGTACGTATACCTATTTAATAGACGCCCAGGAATCAGAGACTGATGTCGGTTTTAAATACGGTTCTTACCTCTATCAACCGCCGGTACCATTAAAGTGTTTCTGAAAGCATTTACAACGTGTTGTCGATGCACATCGTAAAATATGGTAGTAGATACCCCCAACATTGGACGAATGATTATGTTCATAGTATTAGTATTCAGCTTTTTGTCAATACTTTGTAGATATTCCCATTGTCCAAAGTAATCTGAAATTAATGACGAAATATACGTATACGTAGAAAACGAATCACTTCAAAGCGATCAGTATAATTTTAGAATAAAATGTAATTAAAAGCGTAGCCTTGCCCAGGAAGTATTTACACATCCAAGTAGATCATAATTATCTTGATCATAGCCAATATTAAAGGTACCTTGAGCCCCATCAGGAGATTGTTTAGTTAATTTCTGAACAATGTGACCAAGATTAACAGCCACGGCACCAGCTTCTTCGTTAACAGCGTGGCCTAAAGTTTGAAATAGCTCAAAAGCGAGATCAGGTCTTCCTGTTATTTCCGCTGTCGATATCATATTGGTTAAATTTTCTATTGCTTGGCGTCCATTGCCATCGATATAGGCAAGTTCCTCAAGATAGAACCCAAGTTTCGATAGGGTTTGTGCTGGAGCTACTAAACCATTTCCTAAGATTACACCCTTAACCATACCCAGATCACCATTCTGAAAATGGGCAAAAATTGGAATCAATTTTATTATAAAGTTCATGTAGACCACAGTCAATTTTATTAAGAGAATGAATAATGAAAATAATATCTATAGGTTGCGTTTTGAACGTAGCCTATATTTATTCCACTAAGAACTAGATGCTATATATTTTACATATCCATTTGTTCATAATGAACAAATCTTATTTCTTATCATAACATAACATCACGCCTTTTTTACCCCCGAAGGGGTAGACAGAGGTCTACATTACGGCACTTAATGCCACTGTACAATGTAACACCCACTTTTCACTATTTATGTTATGAGTCCCATGTAATATCTCTTATTTCTAATTATAAATATATTCTCAAAACCACTTACTTGGTGAAGTTTTTGAACAAGTGCCAGGGCCAGTTGTGCACCATGCCCTTCACCGAAAACGTATATAGGAGTATTTTTAAAATGTATCATAACCTCGTAGAATGATTCCAAAGTTATTACTAAATGTTCAGCTGTAACATTCAATTTCAATTATTGTAGGATATTAGATTGGACAATAAATAAATATGTAGTGCACAAACTTACCAGCTTCATCAATATTGTTTGGAATTTTATCAATACTTAAAGGATGACTGAATCCTCTCCCCAAAGGTGCATCAATGAAAAGTAAATTGTATCGATTTATCTGCAAAAATATTTACTTCGCTTAAAATGTCATGGAGTAGTGTAAAACTAGAAGTCCTTATAATGAGGCTATCCCACCTCGTGATGGCGAGAAATTAGGACCACAGACGTTAGAACGGTTTTTTAAAAATACGTGTACGTTTCAGTAACAATTTAGGAATATTATTAGCAAAACGCAACAAATTGAGATGATGACAGGGCATGAAAATTAAAAATCTAATTAGTCCGCAAGTTAGGTACCTAATGAAAAAATATTAGACACGTATTTTTTTTTTCGGCGTATATTATAACAATACTTAGATAAAATGAATCAAAATTTAGGAGTGGGGGCTAAACGTCATTTCTACGTAAATAATGTACATAGAAGTGGCGTCGACGACGACATTTCAAATCAATATATTGTCGAAAGTATTCGTTTATGTAAGAAAATAAAAAATACGTGTCTAATGATAAAGTAATCTACCAGACGAACATTAAAATAAAAATTAGGCATCTACCCAATTGAAGGAACATTCAAACAATAAAAAACCACTTTGATTTTTGACAATTTGAAAACTAGTCCTTAATTTTTGCTTTTATATTATTATACATATATTATTTACTTTTCGGAATTGTTATACATATTTAATCACAGGATATAATATATTAGGTAATAAAATGCGTTACCCAGGAATCTGGTCTTCGTTCCAAATTGATGTCGTACATGCCAAACATTCCAAAGTTGGCCAATAAGCTGGGGGGTATGCCAGTTACACCGTCCAACCACAATATTACGGGATGATCATGTGTGAAACCAAGCGCTCGAGTGTGATGGAACCACCAGAACATGTTTCCAACCCCGTGTATTTTGGTAAAAACAGGAACAGTATCATGCAATGATGAACTGGGCACCAGTTCTGAAAAATCAATCATCCTTATCCTTACCAATATTATAAATCTGAAAGTGAGTTTGTTTGTTTGTTTGTTCCACCTTCACGCCGTAACTACTCAACCGATTGCTTTGAATTTTTGCAGACGTAAAGTTAGAAGTCCGGATTAAATAATAGGGTACTTTTAACCCGGAAAAATTGATATTCCCGAGGAAAAACAAAAGTATTGGTATAGATGGCGCTGTGTGTATAGGTATATGTCACATAGGCTACTTTTTATTCTTTTGTGACGCGAGCGAAGTCGCGGGTAAAAGCTAGTTAATAATAAATAATCGATTGAATGGTAGACGAGTAACATTTTCGGTTTTGAGTCAGACCTTTATTTAATGGAACTTTTTAAAGCGATCGGAGCACTGGGATAACGAGTTAAAAGCGTCAGCTACCAAAAACTTGTATAAATTGGTATTAGGTACATAATTCTGGTAAGTAATTGTGTCATCTTCATCCAACAGTCATAATACGGAAGGCAGTCATCATCATTGGCAATTATTTTAACGACTATCATTTTGTAATTTTTGTCAATCAACATAGGTACAAGCGTCTTCGTACTTAAATGTCCAAATTGTACTTAATTTCACGTCATTTTATCTTTTTTATTGTAAAAAATTATACTATTTAATTGATAAATCAAGCTGCTAGTCATAAATATGATTGCCAAAGTATATTTGAGTTTTGGTTGGTATAATCTCCCAATTCATTACATGTAGTAGGATGGATTCACCATGGACTTTGGGTATGATAATACGTGTTTTGTGATAGTTTTATTTCGTTTTTATTGTTAACTAGCTTCTGATTGTACTTTCCGTTCGTACGCGCACTCCCAATTTATTCTGTTTCGATTTATGGCGTAAGAACCTTCTTCTGAAAATAACAATCATAACAAAAAAAAGATCAGCCAAATCGGTCTAGCCGTTCTCAAGTTATGGCGTGACAACGGTCTAAAACTTGGATCGATCCAAAGTTTAGATTAGGATCAGTAATTATTTTCTGCCACATTACTAACGGAGTCATATCAACGAACTCTCGTCGAAGTACAGCCATAGTAGGAGTTGAAGAAGTAAAGTTGAGGGTAAGAGCAGAAGAAGAATCAAGAGAGTCCGCATTATAAATAAAATACTTACTTTCAACAGAATAAATTTTCTCTTTTATCCCATGATCATGGTCTATTAAAGCCCATGTCAACACTCCTACTACAACTATAATAACAACTACTACAAACACACCACCACTCACTTTAACAGTTCTCGACACCATTTTTGCGGTCTATTAAAAAAACATGTCTATACGACTTTAACCTTACTTGTAATGCCTTTATCACTACTTAAAATATTTCGTGTCCTTAATCAAGTACTTTTTGATTAGTTATCTTGCATCAGTAATGATTTAGATTGTACCTACTTTCATATCTCAAATTTCTTCAATAATTAATTAAGACATAGATATGCGGTTTGTGCAAACCATGTTTAATATAGATTATATTTATCACTTTATCATTGATTGGATAATATTATTATCGTCGTTTTGATATCGTTCGTATTAGCTGTTCGTATTTGTCAAGTCTGATCCGACTTTTAAGGTAGCTACCTTATTTATTTATTTGGGATAAGCCGGTAAACGAGCAGATGGATTAATGATGGTAAGCAATCGGCGCCGTTCGTTCATTCCGGATCTAGATCGTATACTAAACAAAAATATTTATGTTATTAATCACATAATTACATTAATCAGTAGTACCTATTAGTAAGTCCAACAGTACTCTTATGAATCACTGAACTGAGTTTTCATCAGTAATTGTTGAATGTAAGGCAACTCTACTATAAAGGTACTGTTACACTTGCTTGAAAATAGCAGGGTAAAATGCGTTCTATTGGGCATGGTCAAAGATGTTTAAAAATCGAACGCTTCGATTCGCAAACATGTCTGGGCCTTTAGCCAAACGCCACTTTAGCGCTTGTCTACAGAGAGAGTAGAAATCAAAATGTATGGGGATGACACTGACAAGTGTCAACATTTACGTCAATTCCATATAATTTGGTTTTCTACTCTACAAGTAGACACTCGCTAAATGGCATTTGGCTACAGCTGCTGAATTGAGCAAGCTAATTTTGAGCAACACGCGCTGTTTAGTGACAACCACGTGACAACTGTGCCAATCTTATCTTAAAGAATTCATGAAAATCTAATTATTTTAAAAATCGAACAATGAACATCCCTTATACTTAGGTGCATACATTTACGTCACCTGATTTTTCCTACGTCATTTTAAAAATGCTTGACTATGACGAGTATATATTAATTGATAAATAACTTTACATATAAATAACTATGTACATATATTTTCAGGTAAATAAAATAACTGGTGCTTAAAGTAATGATTTTATTGTAAACTCGTAAATTACCAAAAATAAGTACTCACAAATGTACCAAAACAACACTGTTTTAACGAAGTGAGTCACGCGGCTTACTAGTCTAAAAATGGACTGACATTGTGTAAATAATATGCTTCAATTTATTTATATATTGATAAAGCATCTGAATATTATCCGAATCCTGTCATGTCACGCAGGAATGCATTACTACCTTGAGGATTGTCTCTTGGCACCTGAGGAGAATAATAGAAATTACTTAACATATTCTATTGTGAACGAGACTATGATAGAATTTCTAGTGATATAGTACTCACGCTGTGGCCAGCGTAGTTTATCCAGAAGAATCTGAAGTTTCCATAACTCTTGTAGTAGCCCTCCAACTTGTTGTTTTCCCAAATAGGCATACGTTTCGCCATTTTGTACTGCTCAGCACCGGGCCATTTCAAGCGATCCACCCACAGAATTTGTCCTAAATCAAAATCAATATTTATTTCTTGACCCCAACAACTAGTCAAATCAACAATTTCATAAAATTCTCAAAGGAACTTAGTTTGAAGCTGAAGTAATGAAATATTTTACCTGGAGTATCACAAATCAGATCAAGATTCCCATTATATTTCGTCAAAATAATATCCGTTTCGTTCAGCAACTTCTCAACTGAAATTTTATTAAAAACTTTTTAATTAAAAACAAATATTTCAATGAGTTCTTATTTCAAACGCTTTGGTTGGACTAGGAACTTAAAAGTAGTAACTTTATTTTATAAAATACTAGCGGACCCAGGACCCAGGAAGCGCATATTCAGTGATGTCTCTGTGATAGCTAAGGTGAAAACCGGCAGCGATCACCGTATTGTCAGAGGCACACTGAATATCAATATCAAGCTGGAGAGGTCACGCCTGGTGAGGTCCACACTCCGTCCTGGTCGCGCCCAGGTCCAGAACCCCGAACAGTTCCAGCTCCAACTGCATAATCGCTTCCAGTGCCTGGCTGAGTGTGAAACGATTGACGAGTTAAATAATGGGTTAGTGGAAACTGTCCAAACGGTGGGCTCAGAGTTTTTCAAAAACCCACGCCGAAATAGACCTCAAAAGCTCTCGAAAGAAACACTTAAACTATTGAAAGACCGACACGAGATGAGGCTGCAGTCTTCAGTTGACATGTCTGGATATGGCAAACTTAATAGGCGAATTTCAAAGTCTATGCGACGCGACCTGCGTGCATATAACGCCGCACGAGTCAGGGATGCCATAGAGCGAAATCAGGGCGCAAAAGTATTCGCAAGGAATTCGTCTGTTGGGCAAAGCCAAATGACGAAACTGAAGACCGAAAATGGCAGCATCGTTTCGTCGAAGCCAGAGATTCTGAGAGAGCTTGAAAGGTTCTACGGACAGTTATACACCTCGACACGGCAACCCATTGTCGGTACAGCTCGGGATCCTAGAGCTAAACTGACACGGCACTATACCGAGGATATCCCAGACATCAGCCTGTATGAGATTAGGATGGCTCTCAGACAGCTCAAAAATAACAAGGCACCGGGTGATGACGGAATCACAACAGAACTTCTGCGAGCGGGTGGAAAACCGATACTTTTAGTCCTCCAGAAACTATTCAATTCCGTCATTCTCGAAGGAACTACGCCGAAAGCATGGCAAAGGAGTGTAGTGGTTCTGTTCTTCAAGAAGGGTGACAACTCTTTGTTGAAGAACTATAGACCCATCTCGCTTCTGAGCCATGTATATAGCTGTTTTCTAGGGTTATCACGAACCGTCTGGAACGCAGGTTTGATGACTTCCAGCCTCCCGAACAAGCCGGGTTCCGGAAAGGCTTTAGCACCATAGACCACATTCATACGCTGCGGCAAGTTATACAGAAGACTGAGGAGTATAACTTGCCACTATGCTTGGCGTTTGTGGACTATGAAAAAGCCTTTGATTCGATCGAGACCTGGGCGGTGCTGCAGTCTCTCCAGCGATGCCATATCGACTACAGATATATCGAGGTGCTAAAGTGTTTGTATAGAAACGCCACCATGCGCATCCGACTCCAGGAAGATAGCACGGAACCAATCCAATTGCAGAAAGGCGTGAGACAGGGAGACGTGATTTCTCCGAAACTGTTCACCAACGCATTGGAGGACGTTTTCAAGCTTTTAAACTGGAGTGGACTGGGCATCAATATCAATGGCGAATACATCACACACCTCCGCTTCGCCGATGATGTAGTCATCATGGCGGAGTCGCTGGAGGATTTAAACACCATGCTCAGCGACCTCGATGTCGTCTCCCAACAGGTGGGTCTTAAAATGAACATGGACAAGACCAAAATCATGTCAAACGTCCATGTTGCACCTGTACCGGTCATCGTTGGGAACGATATCCTCGAAGTTGTAGACCACTACACATACTTAGGGCAGATTATACAGCTAGGTAGGTCCAATTTCGACAAAGAGGTCGCCCGAAGAATCCAACTTGGATGGGCAGCGTTCGGGAAGTTACGCGAAATCTTCTCATCGAAAATCCCTCAGTGCCTAAAGACCAGGATGTTCAACCAGTGTGTGTTGCCGGTGATGACGTATGGTACCGAGACGTGGTCCCTGACCTCTGGCCTTCTGGAGAAGCTCAAAGTCGCTCAGCGTGCGATGGAGAGAGCTATGCTCGGGGTTTCTTTGCGCGACAAAGTCCGAAATATGGAGATTCGCCAAAGAACAAGAGTTACCGACATAGCTCGCAAAATCTGCAGACTGAAGTGGCAATGGGCAGGCCACGTCGCTCGAAGGACTGACGGCAGATGGGCCAGGAAAGTCCTTGAGTGGAGACCACGGACCGGAAGACGAAGCGTGGGCAGACCTCCCGCTAGGTGGACCGACGACATCGCCAGAGTTGCGGGGAGCCAGTGGATGCGGGTGGCGAGTTGTCGTTCGACGTGGAGGGCTAAGGGGGAGGCCTTTGTCCAGCAGTGGACGTCTTCCGGCTGTTAATGATGATGATGAGCGGACCCAACTGACGTTGTCCTGCATATGCACTTGAATGTATAAACAAAAATTCATTCAAATTAGTTCAGCTGTTTAGGATAAATAACCTAAATTATGACTGCAGCGCCATCTGCCGGGCTGATTTGTGAATCTAAACCATTCCCAGATCCCCTTAAACACACAAAAAAAATTCATCAAAATCGGTCCAGTCGTTTGAGAGAAGTTCAGTGACATACACACTCACAGAAGAATTATAAATATAAAGATTAGACAAATAAAAGTATAGATAACTGATATAAAAGATGTACTAACTGCTGTCTGTTACAGGTTTCATGAAGTCTACCCTTAAAGTGTCGAATACGCGACGAGCTGACCTGGCCCACTCTACGTGTTCAGGAATATTCAAAGCAGGTTTAACAAACGTGTTCATCAAAAATGGGAGGTCTATTTCTCTTTCAGGTTCAGGTTCAACTTCGTAAACAGAATTGCGTATCATCATATCCCTGGCAAATTCTGAAAATATTGATTAACTTCAAGTACTCGCAAAAAATGTAAAAGTATATGTACTTATAATTATTATCTTAATAGTTTTCATACCGTAAGCACTTCTATTCGTAGGAGGTCGACGTGGCATTTTTGTGAGTATATTGTAGAAATCGACGTTGCTCGTTGCATCAAACACTGCAGATTGTGTGGCCGACCATTGTAGTGTCGACTCAAAGAAGCGACGTTCGTTGAAGAGTCGTTCAGCTTCTTTGGCGTTTCGTTGAATGTGATTATAGCCTGCCTCGTCTACAAGACCTGCCGCTAGGAGTAGTGGGCCCCATGTCAGCGTAGCATCGACTGGAGATATCCAAGCGTTGCCCATTGCAATTCCCTTTAAGTTTGAGCCTATCGTGCCGGCTTTTTCTGCCTATAGATAAAATAATGTTAATGAAAATTGTTTGTTTTATTTATATCACACAGGGTATTTGGATATGTAACTTAAGTGGAAACATTAATTAATTTAGCTTACCTCGTTCATAGCTATGCCCATATCTACCGCCATTTTTCCTCCATATGATTGCCCATAAATATACAGGGGTACTCCTTGGAACTCCGGGTGTTTATTGTAGAAACCACGCATCAGTTGGACAAAGTCACGGGCTGTAGGAATAACTTAATTGTATAACGACTGTATACCACAACAAGTTAATTAATAGGAATTGTTTGTTACAACTTGCCTATTTCTTCGTTATTAGTTGTCAAGAAGCTTTCATCGTCGACGTAACTGAAACCTGTGCCCACGGGGTTGTCGATGAACAGAACGTTGAAGTTTTTCACCTGAAATGTAATAATCATATTGGGTACTTGTTTTTCGAAAGTACCTGAGTGGGAACTCTAAGTACACATTTGTTCTGATTTATTAGGATTAGAGCACTTTACTATCGAAAAGTGTGAGGTGTAACGTTCAAAAGCGGATTAAAGCTTAAGAGAACCATAAGCGAGAACCTCATTGGCGCCGCCACCACTCTATGCCGCTTGACCACGAGCATCTCGCGGCGTCCTTCTGCAACTTGGCGCCTTTAGCACTTGCTTAGTTTGCCTTAGGGATAATACTGATCGTGAGTTTGTATTTCCTGCTCCTTAGAGAAGCAATCGTGATGTCATTTTGTCCTTATTACTTGTATTTCCTGGGTATTATTGATGGTAGTATCACAATTGTTAGCATAACGCAGAAAGTTTACCCATGTGTAGTTCCTTTCTTGTAGCGACAAGTCCAAAGGTCCTAGAATTTCAAAATTTCCAATTCCCGTAGAAGATCCCCCGGGTCCGCCTTGGAGCCAAACTATGAGTGGTCTCTCTACATAGTTTTGGACATCAGCAGTGGTGTAGAACAGCCAGTAGAACATGTGAGCACCTTCCCTTACAGTGACATATCCGAAATCTTGTTTGAACGGCCCGAACTGACCTAGAACAATAATAATATAGTACAAACGCCAACTAGATAGAGGGACTACATCTACAATGAGTCTTTTTTGATACTTTGAACATTTAACTCAGTGGCGTGTAGTGGGAGATGTCTATATAGCCACCCCCATAGGCACCCACATGTGTGAGTATGATCATAGATGATAGACGAAAACCAGCTTTGTATATTGCCTCTTCAAAAGTTAATTGCCGAAAAGTTTTTGTGTGATATATTGTGTGATACATAAAACTAATAACAAACAAAAAGTCAAAACTAAACTATTAAATAAAAAATAAAATAAACCTACATAGATCCGTTTTGTCACTTCTAATCTACGTAGGTATAAAGTTCTAATCAATACATATTATACAAGTCCAAACACAAGGTAGTTACTATAAACCGTTGAAGAATTCCCTTAACAATTATACTTCATGCCAGACCCTTAATGCCAGTCCCACTCGATTTAGGTGTAAAGTCCTCATCAATACAAATTAATCAAGCCCAAACACAAGGTAGTTAATATAAACCGTTGAGGAGTTCTCTCGACTGTCTGTCGGCTCCATCATCAGGTCGAAACCAGACACTTATCAAATTGTAGTGTTTAAAAATCCTAATTGAAAAACATAATAGACGCATTACTTGCCCCTACATTTTTCGAAAGTTTTCCTTAGTTTCCCTAGGATTCCATCATCAGATCCTGACTTCATGGAAATGGGACTTCAAACAAAACAAGAATTTTGGAAATCCGTGACAAATGGCGGAGTAATCGGCGAACAAACAAAAAAAAAAACAATCAGCCGAACATCCTCCTCCTTTTTTTGAAGTCGGTAAAAAGTACTTTGATTAATAAATACTTACCAACGACATATCCACTAGATAACGCTATAATTAAAATTGTATAAAACAACATTATTACACTACTGTATCTACTACACTGAAATAGGATAACATGAAATATTTTATCAATGCATAATCGCTTTCTGATTACATTCTACTTATGCTTGCTATATTATATATACCTATACATGTATATAGATGTTGATATTTTTGAGGTACTTCAATTACTGTCTGCCTCGTTGGCCGAGTGGTCGTAAGTGCGACTGCCGGGCAAGGGGTCTCGGGTGCGAATCCCGGGTCGGGCAAAGTAACATAACATAACATCACGCCTTTTATCCCCGAAGGGGTAGGCAGAGGTGTAAATTATGCCACTGTACAATGTAACACCCACTTTTCACTATTTATGTTATGAGTCCCATGTAATAGGGGGTGAGCCTATTGCCATATACCGGGCACAATTCCAGACTCCGTGCTACTACTGAGAATTTTTTTAAAAACCCAGTAATACTTTGCCCGACCCGGGAATCGAACCCGAGACCCCTTGCCCGGCAGTCGCACTTACGACCACTCGGCCAACGAGGCAGTCGGGCAAAGTATTACTGGGTTTTTAAATATTCTCAGTAATAACACGGAGTCTGGCATTGTGCCCGGTATATGGCAATGGACTCACCCCCTATAACATGGGACTCATAACATAAATAGTGAAAAGTGGGTGTTACATTGTACAGTGGTATAATATGCACCTCTGCCTACCCCTTCTGGGATAAAAGGCGCGATGTTATATTATGTTCAATTACTGTATCTGATGAGTACTTATAAATTCTAGTCAACCCGTTTTGTGCATGTTTTGCTTCTAATCATGGTGTTTAGCATGGCATAACATTGTAACATAAATTTGGCAATTTTGTAAGACCTATATTATTTTTGCACGCCAACGTTGAAGGCAAAATGAGAGGACCTAAATTATTATGACATGACAAACTATCTGTACCTTATTTACGCAAATAAATATTTTTTGAATTTGTAAATAGATATATAAAATATTTGCTTCTGCCAGCGGCTTCACTCGCGTTCCCAGAGGTAAAATGTAGCCTTTGTATTACTACAGTCCATACTACATACATACAGCCGTTTTGATGTTACTAAGTAACAAAAATACACTCAAACTCACATATTTTCAGATTTATAATATCGGTCAAGCTAATTTCAACCATCGGCCCTGTAGTTACAGCGTAAAGTCCACTGCGGGCCATCTAACACTCAACAAACTTACATTTGCATATTTGCGTTTGGTACAGTAACTGTATCTAAGGATTGAGCTGCACAATTAAGTTTGTTTTTTTGTGTATTTACTTTTTCGGGATAAAAAGTACCCAGTGTTGTGCCCAACATATTAAAGTATAGTCATTCCAAGTTTTATCGTAATCGGACCGGTAGTTTTTGCATGATTCGTGAACACACAGACAGACAAAAAGTTTTTTTTTAAAGAAAAGAATGGTACTATTGACCGACGTATTTTTATAATAACTATCGTGAGACACACTAAATTAACTAAAAATCGCGGGTTACTCACGTGAATATATATAGTGCTCATGAGGAAGAACCCCTCTGTGGTTCGAAACTAGTAGAGCTTTTCTCAGTATATTCTCGTGAGTAACCCGCTATTTTTAGTTTATAGTACCGACATATTCATGCTTACCGTTTTAGGAATTGTTGGACAGACTATGCTTCATACCTCCATACAGTTAACATAATTCATTATTCTCAGCCCATTGTCGGCTTCTCTTCAGTGTCATGTGCATGTCGCGTTTAAGTACTGCCAGCACGTACTTATTATGAAACTTTTGAGTATTCATGGGTAGTGCTGTTCACTTACCATCAGGAGACTCGTCTGCTCGTTTGGTCCTGGATATCGCGTAAAAGGGCATCCTCCGTAATGAATTTACGTTAGCATGTTTTCGCTTATATTTTGGTATTGGTATTAGTAATAGTAATCGGGATGATCAAAACTTAGTGGTACTCCGTACTAGGTATAACCACACTTCTCGAATTGAAAATTAAATACAAAATTTAATTTTTATAGACTGTATGCATAGGCAAATAAAACAACACATTCTAAAAATACTTTTAATGATCATATTACCCGACTACGGCAAAGCCAAAAGGAGGGTTATGATTTTGAATGGTATGTTTGAAAAGTAGATTGTGCGTTAATAGCTTTGTCAGTAGCATTAGTAGTATTTAGACTTAATGATATACCTATATATTAGCCGAAACCAGTCATATCTCGCAAAAATGCAGTACTGCCTTGAGGATTGTCTCTTGGTACCTAAAGATAATAATAGAAGTTACTTAACATATTCTATTGTGAAAGAGACTATGATAGAATTTCTAGTGATATAGTACTCACGCTGTGGCCAGCGTAGTTTATCCAGAAGAATCTGAAGTTTCCATAACTCTTGTAGTAGCCTTCCAACTTGTTGTTTTCCCAAATAGGCATACGTTTCGCCATTTTGTACTGCTCAGCACCGGGCCATTTCAAGCGATCCACCCACAGAATTTGTCCTAAATCAAAATCAATATTTATTTCTTGACCCCAACAACTAGTCAAATAAACAATTTCATAAAATTCTCAAAGGAACTTAGTTTGAAGCTGAAGTAATGAAATATTTTACCTGGAGTATCACAAATCAGATCAAGATTCCCATTATATTTCGTCAAAATAATATCCGTTTCGTTCAGCAACTTCTCAACTGAAATTTTATTAAAAACTTTTTAATTAAAGACAAATATTTCGATGAGTTCTCATTTTGAACATTTTGGTCGGACTACGAACTTTTGATCGAAGGAAACCAATGAAAGTACAGATGACTAATATAAAAGATATACTAACTGCTGTCTGTTACAGGTTTCATGAAGTCTACCCTTAAAGTGTCGAATACCGGGTTAGATAAAGCGCCCCACACTACGTGTTCAGGAATTTGTAAAGCAGGTTTGACGAGATCGTTCATCAAAACATTGAGGTCATATTCTCCCTCTCTTGTAGGTTTGTGAACAGAATTACGTATCAACATATTTCTGGAAAATTCTGAAAATAGTTAATATACAATCTTTATTAGATTATTATGATTTATGTCTCAAGAATAATTCATAAGCATTTAGTGGCTATACGGTTATCATACCGAAACCATTGTTATTCGCAAAAGGCCAAGGTGGCATTTTTGTAAGTATATTGTAGAAATCAACGTTGCTTGTCGCAAGTAACACTGCAATTTGTGTGGCCGACCATTGTTGTGTCGATTCAAAGTAGCGACGTTCGTTGAAGAGTCGTTCAGCTTCTTTGGCGCTTTGTTGAATACGATTATAGCCTGCCTCGTCTACAAGACCAGCTGCTAGGAGCAGTGGGCCCCATGTAAGCGTAGCATCGACTGGAGATATCCAAGCGTTGCCCATCGCAATCCCCTTTAAGTTAGATCCAATCGTTCCTGCTTTTTCTGCCTATAAAAAGACAATGGAACCGATTATATTCTTTGTGTCACAGAAGAATTAATATATAAGTATTAGAAACACGTATTATTGTTTTTTGGGAGTATAATAAAATAAACAGACAAAAATAGTCATCATATACATCAGCTCGATTGGACTACCAACAGCCAGTTCGCTCATGACCGTGTTGCTGTGAATTCAAAATTATTGAAAAAATATTTAAAGTACGCCATGAGACGCCGCTCATAGTGTCTTACCTCGTTCATAGCTATGCCCATATCTACCGCCATTTTCCCTCCATATGATTGCCCGTAAATATACAGGGGTACTCCTTGGAACTCCGGGTGTTTATTGTAGAAACCACGCATCAGTTGGACAAAGTCACGGGCTGTAGGAATAACTTAATTGTATAACGATTGTATACCACAACAAGTTAATTAATTGGGATTGTTTGTTACAACGTGCCTATTTCTTCGTTATTAGTTGTCAAAAATTGTACATCGTCGACGTAACTGAAACCTGTGCCCACGGGGTTGTCGATGAACAGAACGTTGAAGTTTTTCACCTGAAATGTAATAACCGTATTGAGTAGTACTTATTTGTCGAAGGTATTTGAGAAGGAGCCTACGCTTGCTCTGATATATTAGTATTAGAGCATTTTGCTATAGAAAAAGTGTATGTTTGTATTTTCTGCTCCGTAAATAAACAATTGTGATGTTGTTCTATCCTTATTACTTGTATCACAATTGTTGGTATAACGCGGAGAGTTTACCCATGTGTAGTTCCTTTCTTGTAGCGACAAGTCCAAAGGTCCTAGAATTTCAAAATTTCCTATTCCTGTGGAAGATCCCCCGGGTCCGCCTTGTAGCCAAACTATGAGTGGTCTCTCTACATAGTTTTGGACATCAGCAGTGGTGTAGAACAGCCAGTAGAACATGTGAGCACCTTCCCTTACAGTAACATATCCGAAATCTTGTTTGAACGGCCCGAACTGACCTAGAACAATAATTAAGGTATAATAATAATATTGACTTTTCTTGTTTGTTTGTTTGATGTAATAGTGTTAATGTGAATTCAATAATAATTCAAAATTTATTTATATACCAATGTCATGTCAAATATCAAGGTGAGGTAATCGACTGGATAGTAGTTGCATTAGGAGAGATATGCTAAAATATTATTGTGTAATAATTACCGTCATTATAATAAGTACTGTAAGTAATGACTGCCTCGTTGGCCGAGTGGTCGCAAGTGCGACTGCCGGGCAAGCAGTCTCGGGTTCGATTCCCGGGTCGGTTAAAGTATTACTGGGTTTTAAAAATAATCTCAGTGGTAACACGCTGTTTAAAATTGTGCGATTGTGCCCGGTATATGGCAATAGGCTCATCCCCTATTACATGGGACTCATAACGTAAAATAGTGAAAAGTGGGTGTTACATGGTACATAGGCTATTTTTTACCCTGGGAACGCGGGCGAAGCCGCTGGCAGAAGCTAGTAATATAATATGTTCCAACTACAGGCCCTTTTGAGCACCACAAAAGTAGGTACATACTCCACTTACAAAATAAAAGGAAACATTGTTTTTATAATAACTATCGTGAGACATACTAAATTAACTACAAATCGCGGGTTACTCACGAAAATATACTGAGAAAAGTTCTACTAATTTCGAACCATAGAGGTTCTTCCTCATGAGCAGCGTGCGCGGTCGCGGCGACGTCGCGCAGACTACTAGTAGAGCTTTTCTCAATATATTCACGTGAGGAACCCGCGATTTTAGTTAAAAGGAAACTTTCAATGGTGAATATATTGGTGTTTATGAGTGACTCCATTCAAAGTTGTAACAACTCAAAAATGTTAAGGTTTGTCAAGAAAATGTTACAGTTTTTCAAAAAAGCATTTAATTAACGCTTGTCTTGTTCAGTACAGCAGTTTCAGTTCTGCGTTGTCTATCCGTCACGCACTCGTTCAGTCATCAGTACGGGAAGAAAACATAGGTAACATAATATTGATATACGTCAATGTGATATATTTATAAAATAACCTTTATATATATATTTCAATTAACAAGGACTTACCAACGACATATCCACTAGATAGAGTTATTATTAAAATAGAATAAAACAACATTTTTACTTTGCTGTATCTATTACACTGAAATTGGATCAACATTAAATATTTCATTAGTATTATCGCTTTTGATAATAGTTTATCTATGTAGTTGAGATTTTTTACGCGTTTTATAGCTATGATAGCTAATAATTAAGATTAAGTATTAAATGATAATGTGTGTGTGTATGGTGACGTCATAGAATACGTTTGTCCTATCCTTGCCGCGGGTGTCGTAGGAGTTTAGGTAATATATAACAGGGATTTTTTAATCTACTCTGTAACTTTCAATTCGAAGTACGAAGCGGTACGCCATATTGTTATTTGTGAGAATAATCTTAACCAATGACGGGCGAGAATGTAATTGGGTTTCCGGTTCACCGCACTCACACGACGAAACACAACGCAAGCGTTGTTTTACGTCGGTTTTCTGTGAAGCCGTGGCATCACTCCGGTGGAGCGGGCCATTCGCTGAAGCATAGGGCTCCCACAATTTTAACTTATAGTTATGAAGTTTCTGGACGTCCTTACTGTATAAGTTTGTAATTTTACAGTATTTAAGCCCCGTTTTATGGGATCATGAAATGAATCATAATCATCATCATCATCATCATCTTCCTTGTTCCAATCTACTTGGGGGCCAGCGCAATAAGACTTCTTCTCAATTCTTCTATCAAACCTGATCCTATCATAAATCATCTTCTTTTTAGTATCATTTCTTACACAAAGCTATCCAAACTGTCTCGTTGGCTGAGTGGTCGCAAGTGCGACTGCCAGGCATGGGGTCTTGGGTTCGATTCCCGGGTGGGGCAAAGTATTACTGGGTTTTGTAAAAAATCTCAGTAGTAGCACGGAGTCTAGAATTGTGCCCAGTATAGTTTTAACTGGTAATATTGCCTGTTATATGACATACGTTACCAATTAATAAAATACTGGTATCAGAAAGTATTTATCCGTTGCTTTGCTCCAAAGTGTCCTATAACTTTGAACGTGTATTATACGTCTTGTATCTCTATTGAAACAACCGGAATACTCTTTGTAGCATTCAATTACTCAAGTGTTACTCACATTGTTGCACTGTCAATGCCAAATTGAATGAATAGCGATGTGAAACGAAGTTCACAGATGAGTTTGAGTAGTGTAATTGTATACACTGTTACGAATCGAGCTATACGAAAAACAGTTTGCTTTAGTCTAGCTTTGTATAATCTTTTCGCATATTCGACTTTCAGTTTACACTGGTTTTCTAAAACTTAGAACTAGTCCAACAGTTTACATTAATCTGTCAATTTCTTTAATTAATTGTCAGCATTGTTACGAAGCAATAAAGGTGAATTTGCATTAATTTCATAGAAGGTGTAACTGGACGTGCTTTTGTCTATTCAATCGGTTCTACAAACTTCCTTGTTGCTTCTTGTCTTTTGTTGTGAATTATTTTTCCTGTATTGAAGACACAATTGTTTAAATTAATTATTTTCCTTTAAAATAAAGTTAATTGTGTTTATTTTCGTAATTAGTTTATTGCGGTAGGTAGTAAAAGGATAACAACCATTGACTCGTGTGAACTATTATAATTTTGAAGCTTCAACAATTTTTCCGTGCAAAAAATGTCAGTCGTCAATTTAATTCTATGAATAAAAATTATCTACTGATTGAAAAATGATCCCTTAAACTTTCTTATCAACACGGAGTACATTTTCGTTATATCGATTTGTTTTGATAATATAGGGAACATTTTCCTTAATTTTTTTTAACTTTAATCTCCTTGTGACAAAACAAGGCAAGATGAACGGTGTCGATATGTATCTGTGAACTGATTAAAATCTTATCCGTTTTAAATCATGTTTCTAAGGCAGTTTTTGAGTGTTGTTGCGACTGCGGGGGAGATTATACTTCACTGGTGCCTAGGCTCTAGGCTTCAGTCGCCTGTATATCAGCTATTAAATATGATTCATAATATTGTCTTATATCCTCCAGTAACCTTGATTTATTTAATTGCAGGATCCGAGACAGTTGTTCGTGTCACTGGAACGTAACGTAACGGATTTCATTGTTTTAGGGAGATTGACTAGCGCTAGGCTCTTGACTAGGTTTCTTTTGTATCCTGGCTTACAGGAGTTACAGTATTGGGTAAGAGTGACTTATCTTGTTCAAAAAACCCTATACCAGATTTTTTTTTAACAGAATCGACCGAAGGATCTCAACCCGTAAGCATACAGTTACTAACCGGTTTATTGCCAATATTCAGATTTGTATGTCATCAGGTATTTGACTTCCTCGTTGTTCGTGTAACAGGTGGCAAGGACAAGGTCCTAGGTCGATAATCCAGTCAAAGTACTCAAGCAGCAATGAGTTCATCTCTATTTGAGCGCAGCTAAAAGTGAAAATTAGGTTTAGCTTAAGTACACTTTAGCCTATCTTTTTCTGCTCTGCTGCTGACCTCGCTGGCCGAGTGGTCGCAAGTGCGACTGCCGGACAGGGGGTCTCGGATTCGATTCCCGGGTCGGGCAAAGTATTACTGGGTTTTAAAAAAAATCTCAGTAGTAGCACGGAGTCTGGATTTGTGCCCGGTATATGGCAATAGGCTCACCCCCTATTACATGGGACTCATAACATAAATAGTGAAACGTGGGTGTTACATTGTACAGTGGTATAATGTGCACCTCTGCCTACCCCTTCGGGGATAAAAGGCGTGATGTTATGTTATGTGGTTCATGTTAAGAAACGAAACAAACTTATTTCAGGTAATTTAGTAGTTTCAGTGTTATTCAAAAGTCATGAGACGAAAGGTTATGTACCTATAAAAAATATAACAACCAACAATAAAACCCAACGTTATTTTGCTGTATTCTGAGTTTAGTGAAATTGTTATTAACTGTCGCGTACGAATTCAGCACACACATTGAAATTGTTGATCGACTCGAATGAAATCAAGGACTTTGTATTCATTATCATTAGATCCGCTAGTGAACACAAAGGCAGTGCTAATTTTGTTGATATTAAAGTTGTTCACATAGAGAAGTAATGGTTTGCAATTAAACATGCTTTGCTACATGGTAACACTATGTTTGTAGTCGTGACGACTGGAGTTGTTCCGTAAGAATTGTCACGACAACTTCTTTTTGTAAAAATTGTTAATCACGTGTTGTTGACTTTGAATTGACTAGTGTTATTGCAACTTTTATAGTTGTATGGACTGGTAAAATGTAAATCTATCAAGTCTACAATGTATGCATATACTTAAAAGCAGCTGTATCATCAGAAGACAGTAAGTAGACTCTTGCCAACAGAGAGACTTGATGAAGACAGCTGAGATATATTGAAATCCTAGAAGTTGTCTTCTTTCACCACGTCCATATCAACTTTCGTCACTTACATTCATTATATTATTAATATTGGTTAATCGGTTCATCTAACTAGGGTGAGACGTACCTGCATCACAACATCTGGTTCTTTATTTTTTTCTATTAGTTTAGTGCTCTACTTCCTAAATGGCTATTCAACATATGTTTTGTATTAGAAGTATTCCGCAAATCAACATGTACTAAATGACTTGACTGTTCTCATTGACCGTGCATAATTAATGTATAGCAACAAAAGCCTTATCGCAAACGCTTCGTACAATATGCGTACTTCCCGCTAGTGAAGTGATGATAGCGTGTCGATAGTGAGTATCTTGGACAGAAATTCCTTGTGGAATGAAACTATTGTCTTATGCAAATGCAATGAGATAATCGATAGATAAATGATTGTCTCTCTAGCTAAGACCCTTTATTTCATCCACTGACTGACTCTAAAACAATATAGAATCTTCTCTTCTGAAATTTTCGGTTACCATACGGAGTGGAAGCGTGTTTGATGTTTGATTTTAGACAGATTCCTTTTGATATATAAGGGACTGACCAACTAGTACTTAAAATATGAGTGTACTTCTATTCTCTCTTTCAAGGACTAAAAAACAGTTAATGTATGCAATTACATTCTTGTCTCTCAGACAGCATAACCGTGTTAGTTGAGTGCAAAAAAAAAACTAGTAAATGTTGACCCTCTTGGCATAACATTTGTTTATGTTTCGTAGCTCAAAGTCACTTTGTAATTTTTGAACCGGTCTCTTTTGAATGACTGACGTCGAGGTTACTGCATCGACGCTGTCATGCCGATGGAAGATCATCTCACATGATCAGGCGTTTACGTATAATAGATTGTAATCAAGGCAGGTGGTAGGAGACTATCTGTACAGTCATTCTTGACGGCCAAGAGGAGCCAGTCGTCGATTGTCGGTCGTCGTCCGTTATTCGAATCGATACCTATATGTGTACATCGCGCTTATGTGTCGATACTCGCAGTTTTGAAACCAGTGTTTTCGCAATAACCTACCGTATTACCTAAGTACCACGGTTGTTTACGTGATGACTAAAATATCACCAGCATTATTGAAACAGGTAAGTTTTTGTGTTTTGAGTGCAATGCGCGCTTTGTTTGTTTTCTAATGGACGATGATATTAGGCGATTGGTTTGCGATCGGAGTAGTTCTCTTGCATTGTTTTAAGAATCCATTCGGTGTTATGATTTCTTTTATTGTGTTAATAAGTGTCTGTGTTTTATGTCATGTTATTATGTTCATTATAAAAATATGTTTCATTGTTATCCAAACAAACACTTTTGTAAATATCAAAATTGTTAAAGACTGTAAGCGTTAAATTCTTTTTAGTAATTTGTGTAAAACAATTTTTTTCTGTGATTTACAGGGTCTTCTCGCTAACCATTTTTTAAATTTCAATTTCGATAAACTCTAGCAACTTGAAAAGCAGTTTGGTTTGTTTCGATTTCTCGATCGACTTTGAAAGTAAAGTAATACAGCCAACAGACAGCATGAGAAACTGGAAATGTATAGACTATACAAAATAAATATTTTTTTTCTGTGATTACTAGGAAACGAAATAAAATAAAATAAAATTTTATACATAAGAACTAAAACTGCTGTAAGCTTTTAAAATGTAGTAGGTACTAATTACTCGTAGCCTGTTAATACGATTTATAAAATTATGAAATCATTTATATGTGCATTATGAAATCTTTTATATGTGCAACACCTAATTCATATTTACAATCTGCCTGGATTTATTTTTAATAAACGATAAAATATTTTATTATAGCTGTACAATATAATACCTATTGTTCATAGAATAAACAATGACTTGTCTATAGGTTGTCAAGTATAAATAAATATTTACGTAGCTATTAATTTTTATTACAGTTCATAGCGTTATAATTATTTATTATTTAGAATTTACATAACCTAACATCACGCCATTTTATCTCCGAAGGCGTAGGCAGGGGTGCACATTACAGCCCTTAATGCCAATTCCAGACTCCGTGCTACCACTGAGATTTTTGTTAAAGACTCAGTAATATTTTGCCTAACCCGGGAATCGAATCCGAGACCTCTTGCCTTTGCCTTGCAGTCGCACTTGCGACCACTCGGCCAGCGAGGCAGTCTTATTATAGTATTTACAATTGATATCTCACATTTTATCACTATCGTCTATAGCGTATAAGTGCCCACTGCTGACCAAAGGCCTCTTCTGACACGGAGAAGTTTTGAGCATTAATCACCACGCTTGCTCAATGCGGGTTAGCGATTTCAGACTTATAATTAGAGATTAGTGAAGACCAGGTTTCCTCACGATGTCTTCCTTATTGTTTGTCAGCAGTGTCTAAACAATATTAGGCTCACATTTATTGCAATGCAATAAGTTGTTGGTCTTAAGGCTACTGAACAGATATCGTGATTTAATTCCCACATCTGACATTGTAAGAATTATCAGTTATAATGACACCTACACAACTGGAGTTAACTTGATCTACAAGAGCAGGATGTTTAAATCATAATCCTCCCTTTTGCTTCGCTGTGGTCGAGTAAAAGGTACCAGCGAATTGTTACTCGTCTCCGTCTACTCCTCTATAACACTTAGAATATTACTGCTTAAACTGTTTACGAATAACCGGCGATACGGTATCTAATTATTTTCTTTCATTTATATTTTCTTTCCTTTATTTCTTTTCATCTTTTCTTCCTTTTCTTTTCTTTTCTTTTCAAACCATTCCTTTCTTTCAAAAATCATTGCCCCACATGAGGATTATTTTCTGTGTATCCTGAGTGTGTTTACAAATATAAAATTTCACATAGGAACATAAATATGACACATAGAATTGGATTTATCCATCATCAGTACCACAATGGTACAGAATTACACTTGGTTTCCTCTTTATTGTATGGGCATTGACAACACAATGACTTGTAAAATCATCCTGAAACACCGTACTCTGCCGACCCCGTTAGTTTACGTTAGGTAATACATTAGGTAATCTAATAATAGGTTACACAAAGTTATGTACTAAGTGATGACAAATGGACATTTTGTAATACTTGTATGTCCACTGTTTTTATGCAAATAGTGATAAATATATTATCTCCTATTGTGGGAAGAGATTGAGAGAAACAAATGATATCTTAAGATAGTAACGATATATTTAGGTCAATAGACTGTTTGTTTGCCATGTGACTGCCAAGGGCGTTGCTATTACGGTTCATCATTGACAACAGGCTCATCCCTGACAATAGAATGTCGTAGTGGCCTGGAGGTTTAAGCTCACTTCTCGTGCATGAGGGTTCGGTTTCGAAACTTACCAACGGCCTACCTGGCCACCTACCAATGTGAATTTTTCCGAGTCATATGCACTTTCTAAGATTATTTAAACACAAACGTTGAAAGAAATCATCGTGAGGAAACCGGGGTCTATAATTCCTAATTATAAGTTTTAAATGGCCAGCCCGCCTTAAGCAAGCGTGGTGATTAATGCTCAAACCTTCTCCGTGTGAGAAGAGGCTTTGCTCAGCAGTGGGTATTTATAGGCCATTGATGATGATAAATTTTATTGTATTGCTATCCGAGAGATAACATGTCTTCCTATGAAGCAATTACAATTGCTTCAACATTCAGTAAAAATATTATTTAGAAGACTAATAATAAAATTTTTCACCCCCGGTATTACGAACCAACAATGATCCATGGCCAGGGTGTTTCACTGCAATGAACGTAAATTGCAGTAGGGAAAATAATTAATAATAACCTAATCATCACCCTAGGGCTTGTATTCGAAGACTAACCCTACCAAAAATTGAAGGTGGTCGAGTGCTCATCGACATTACAAACCTTCACAACAACCAAATCAAGTTACTCAGAACATTCTTCTTCAATCGCTCACAACATTCACCACTACACAAAGCTATATGTCAGGCAGACTCATGCAAACCACACAAAACATATGAACACAATCAGTAAAGAACAAAAAATACAGACTTGGACACAAAAATCGCTCCATGGCCACCATCGTCTCGATTTAACCAAACCTATTGTTGACAAGATAGCGTCAAACGCGTGGTTAAAGCGAGGCGGACTGTATATTCTTTTTTTTGTTCCTGGAATTCATGCCGTATGCCGAATAAAATATTTTTCATTTCATTCCATTTCATAGCTGTTTCCAGAAACAGAAGGATTCATGTGGTCCAAGATCAAGTCATTGGTACAAAGAATTATAGAAAATATATAATCCGTGACAGTAAACTTCCCCTATACTTATTATAGTCTTTGGTGACCATTGCCGGCATTGTCATAGACAACCTGAAAGCATTCAACACATAACAGGCGCATGTTTATCTATCACACAAACAGATTACAAACACCGACACGACCAGGTTGCAGCTATCATACATCAGGCACTCGCATACAAAACCCAAACTCATCGCTGAAAAAACACCGTACTACAAATACACACCCCAAATAGTCTTAGACTCTAGAATATAAATAATGTACTGGGATAAAACCATACTTACAGATAAAACTATACACCACAACCGACCTGACATCACTCTCCATGACAAGAAAAACAAAGTAGTATATTTGGCAGATATAGTCATCCCTAATACAAACAACCTTAGTTCTACACACACCAATAAACTCTTAAAATACGCAGACCATTGGCAAGCTCACACAGTCCCTATTATAATATCTAGCACAGGCATCATCCCCAAAACACTCCATACACACTTCTGCAAAAAGCAGTTATATTAAACACTTGCAGAATCGTCAGAAAGTTTTTGTCAATAGAATAAAAATCATCTAATCATCCCCAAGGTTGATTTGACCAAAAGTCCGCAACCCTAGTGTGTTTCCCCAGTCGTGGGTGAGGTCTAAATACAAAATAATAATAAACTAAAAGTGGGTATTACATTATATTATGTGCACCTTTGTCTTTGCCATTCGGGGATTAAAAGACGTGAAATTATGTTACATTATCCAGTTTAGGTCAATGCTCTGACGTTCTTTCTTCTGTAGGATTTTTTGGTTTGAAAATAATAATAAAAATGTTGACTTTCTCCCATCCGTTGACCTTGTGAATATGACATTAAAACTTCCGTAATACCAACAATAAATGTTTACATTTCTTAACTGCAATGTTGTGAAAGAAACTACTTACCTATCACACAAGCCATTAATAGTTTTTTCCGGTTAATACTTTGTAAAGAAATCGTAATCTCTTTAAAACAATTGTTTATGTCATCGTGCCGTAAAATTAAATAGGTTGCGTTTAAAAACACAAAATCCGTAAACAGGACATGATTACTCTGACCCTGAGATGTCCTGAATTAGGTTAGTGCAGGTTTGTATGAAACCGAATTGAAACGAAAGTGAACCTATGAGACGTTGCAGGAAGCACCCTGATTAAATTAGTTGAGGCTTTCACAGTCGCATCTTAACCATATTAGTACTTTATCTGACTAGACGAAAGATTGTAAACTCGTGACGACTAAAAATAATAACATCGTTTGTAACTGCATTTCTCCTTATATTTTTTTCTTTATCTTCCTTATTTGCATAACCTCCAGAGGGCAACGTCTTACCTTGTTATAAGTTTATGTTTATTTATATTTTCGATATAAAACCAGTTCTGTTGAAGGATATGAGCCTTAAACACAAAAACCGAAGGTTAACATTAAATAGTTTTTCTAGTTAACTAATGGTTTAGTGGGTCAACAAAAGATTCTTTAGATTATATGGCATTGATAATTAATCTTACTATTGACTGTTATCATAATAGTGATGCAAGCGTTCTTAGGCCACGCGAACCACTTGCCATCAGAAAAAAAAAATTGGCCATACACATCACTTAACTTATTTTTTTAAGAACTCTTTGGTCAATGTTAGTTTTAAAAACGATGAGTCATCTCATCATTATTGATTGATGATTAAATAATAATTAAATGAAGTACTCACATTAGATGAATATTTAATGTTCTCCTGCTGTGTATACCTACTTTATTTATCTTTTGATGTTCTACTGTAGATACAAAATCAGTGCATTTTATATTTATGGAAATGCGTCTGCTTTCCCCTTATCTTTTAAACCGATTGATAAACAGCTGTCAGATTAGTTATAAAACAACTACTTGAGAATCGAGATTTTTATCGATTATTCTGTCGTGATGACGAGTGCAAAAATGTTGACAATCGCAGTATTATCTAGAATTTGTTGAGAGGGAATGTCTAGATAGCATAGTATATTCATCATTTCATCATCTGAACCTGGTCTTATCAGTTTATCATACTGTAGTCATTACATATTATTGTTTTTATACACTTCGGTCATGTTGATTAAGCGATCAAGGCTGATTGTTGGCTTATTATTGTCTCCACCTCTTATGTCAGCAGAAGACAGTCATGGACTGTTGATAGTGTTGGCCACTCGATTTTAATTTTTATTGCAGGCAAAGTATTATTGGTTATGATTTCGAAGTTCCCTGCGGGGTTGAGATAAGTTCGGTAATTGGTAAATGAATCTGTGTATTGATATTATATTGTAATTAAATGCACATAAAATAATTGAGCAGCGGTAGCTGTGAAGATTTTTGAACCCTCGTTTTATTTTTTTATAAATATAAAGACAATATAAGATATAAATGTTGTATATATATTTTTTTATTGTGCAATATATGCCTTAGCTATTCTATACATTAACTAATCAGCAAAAAGTGTGCTTTAAATAATTTCTCTCGTAGAATGATTGTACTGAGGAAGAGATATCTTTTACACTGGAAACTTTTTTTTGTTAGTACATACTTTTTTGTCCTGAGACTTTTCGTTCTGTGTATGTATAATGTGAAGTTTGTTTATTAGTGTGGGTGAAGGCGCCGGCTCTGAAACTTTGAGCCGGATTCGAAAATTTTAAAATCAACCTCAGTATAATTTTGTACACATACCTACATCCTTTTAACCTTTTCAAAAAGATGGAAGTTATAAAACATCTGATTAAAAAAATAATGGCCAACGATTGCAAGCTGAATTATAATTTAGACGCATAATAATCATGTAGGTGTCTACTTCAAAAAACGTGTTGGTAAATTCTCCTAATATCCGCATTGTGACGTCAGTAGATTTCTTTGCGATCTTTGTACAACAATTGTCTAGGAAGTTAGTAGGTAATTTGGCCAAGGTATTGTACCTTTATAGTAGACGTAGTACAAATTAGTCGATACAATTTTAATTAACGTAATTTTGCGAGCCATTATATTATGTTTTTTGGTTTAACGACTAAGGTCAAATAACCGTGACACGTGTAGAAAAAAAAGCTGCCTCGCAATTACTATCCGCTAGATTATTTTAACTGTTTTCAGTTTTCCTGATTAAGAATGACGTCATTGACTTGAACCACATTTAAGTACCTATATGTGTACCTAAGTACATAAAGTACCTAAATATCTAAGGACCCGTAAACAAAGCTCCCTCTACGCATCGCAGGAACTTGCGAATTGATTCACTTTGCGCATCAAAATCTTCTTTGTTTCTTTTTCCTGTATCTCCTAAGCAATAAAATAAATGCACACTTCTTTTTACGATCCATGTCACGACCTAGTTATCAATTTAAAATACGTTTAGTACGGTTGACGGTCGTCGAAGGAATGGTCACCCTGGGAGACGCCTTGTGGCACGAAATCGCATCGCAGCAATTCGCATCGTAATTTTTTGCGTTGCGAATTTGCATCGCATTTTTGTGTACGAGCCCTAAATGTTCTAAATCTTGTTGTTCCTTAATATTTGACATAAATCATCGTTTCGATCCACCACAGCATACAGCAATGCTTAGATTGTTGCTTAAAATTATGTAACAATGTTTATTACGTTCATCTGCATACAAATTGTTCGTTATGTGTTTAAAGATCGTGTTGTTGCTATAAAAATCTACTTCTTTCAACTTCCGATTAATCTGAGGACTCGTGTCCATGTCTTGAAACATTACCAACTAAAATATTCTCATATCTGATGGTGAATTTTGAAATCATCAGTGGTAGGTTATAACCATGTGTAGCCTTCAAGAGGTGCTCTTTGACCCAATGCTACGTGCTTGCACGTTAATCCCACGGTTTGCAAACAAAATTGTTTATGCAATTTGTGTAGTACCTAACATACCATGATTATGGATACGTAATGAGAAATCAATGGATTAATCAAGAACAATGTTATGATACTAATATTATTACCGACTTCTGTTAAATGCCAATTTTGGAACCGGAGGTTCAATTACCCCTCCCAAATCTCCCCAAAACAATCTTCAAATTTCTAACACCTAAAAAGGCCGGTAACGGACTTGTAACGCCTCTGATGATACGGTTGTCCATGGGCAGTCAGCAATCAGGTAAACCGTCAGCTCGTTTACCAGCTTACCGCATGAAAATGATTTCTCTCAAGAACATCCTAATTGTACAGAAAAATCAGGATAAAGAGTATCCTATCTGACTTCGTAAAGAGTGAGCTTTGCAATGATGAATGAGTTTTATATCGATCCAGTAGTTAGGCACTACTAAACGGTTGACTTAGGTGAAAAGATACATTATATCCCGATGGGATAAGACAGGAATCATATCATACGCAAACGAAGTCGCGGGCAACAGCTAGTAGATCATAAATTAAGAAATCAATGGGTTATGAAGATATGATGTTTTACCAATCTATGTATACCAATAATGATAAAAGTGTAGGTATATCCAAAACTTGATTGACCAGGTTGTGTCATTAACATTATATGATTATGACACGTGTTAAGAATGCATTTAAAAATATACTTATACTAGACATATTTATATATCAAACGTGCGTGTGTGTGTTTCCCCAAAACGAATAGATGTATCTTTTTTCAATATGTAGCCTAAATGTGATTTCTATTTACTACTATTTTAAGATAAGTTATCCACTGATTAGAGATAGGAAATAAGGAAGTACACACATATTACGATAGAAATGTCTTTGAAATAAAATCTAACGTGTAGCTTGATTACAATCTATTCACTTAAAACTCTAAACGTAACGCAGACTATACGTACGACGTAAACGTAATAGACGTAAGTGGTAAATATATTTTTATATATTTACCTATATATATAGGTCATACTGAAGTATTTCATCTAATTGGTTACATAAAATGCACAACAAGAAGATGGTTACAGTTCGAATCTGGTTAAAGTCATTTATTTCATTTAGACCAGGAAGGCACTTTTAAACGTTATACAAAAAATTAAAAGTGTCAGCATGTCTGTTAGTCCTCTAGTGAAGCTATATGCTTGTTCCAAAGTGTAGATTCCTATGGAGAAGAACGATATTCCCACAGAACCGGGAGAGAAAAAACTAGAGTTAAATAAAAAAACCCGTCACATGAGAAGATCGATCAACAAGCTATGAAAGCCAGAAAAGGATAATAAAGCACCCCATTGTTTAAAATAAAGTGTAAATCCCGATGTGAAAGGTTGTCACGCGAGTGATGCAGATGCTGGTACACGTGAATCGTTTTAAACGCAATCACGTGGCGTGATGGCCCTCTTCCGTCGGTCACGCCACGGCCAGATGCACCCAATTGTATATAGTACAAAAATAGCGACATGAATGGCAAATGGATCAATTTATTAAACAAGTTATGTAATGTACCGGGTTGTTATTTTGACTAAAGGCCGTCGTGAATACGCGGTACATAGGTAATGTTGTATAATGGATTAGGTTTCTTGTTGTATATCAAAATGTGTTCTGACATAGAACATAGACTTACTGCCAATTTCAATAACCGATCTCAATCTATAAGGATTAAGAATGATTTTTGACAGACACTCCTTACAACTAATGTCAAAGGTCGATCCATATCCACACACATTAGTGGTGAGTCAGGTTTTAACAAATAAAAAATGTTGTCTTGATATTGAAGAATTCAAGAAGATAAAGATCCTTGTTGGACGATTGATTGCAAAATTTATTTGTTTCTGCAATCACTCGTCCACAATCAAGCTTGGCCTAATTACTCCGCTACCTAATCTCCCCAATCCCTGAATCCTCAAAAAGCTCAAATTCTTGGTCTTCAAAAGGCCAGTAACGCACTTGTACCGTCTCTGGTGTTCCGGGGAATTTTGGAACCGAGGGTCTCATTCCCAATCTCTCCAATTCCCCATCGCGAACAATCTTCAAATTTGGATAATCCCTGGTGTTCCAGGTGTCCATGGGCGGTGCCGATTACTTACTATCGGGTGATCCGTCTGCTCGTTTACCAGCTTATCACAAAAAAAAGTTTAAAATCGGTCTCAGGTTCTGTAATCCTCTAATTGTCTCCATAGGCAGGTTGACAATGTGTATTTATTCTATGCTGCCATCATCACACGGTGTAATTTTGTTAATGTTATGTCAATATTATGATAAGCAAAGAACAAGTTTATATGTATAATAGAGTATGAGGAGACACAATCAATTATATGTTCATCATCACCAACATCATATCAGCCATAGGACGTCCACTGCTGAAACTCCTCAATCACATGTTATTATATTAAATCTGGATACATTATTATATATTAAAATTTAGACTAATTAGTCTAATGAATACTAACAATAATCCTTTATAATCGTATTAGTTTGCGGTATTGTTAGATAGGTACAATACCGCGGAACCATATACTCATATTTTCCGTCAAAGAGTTATGCAAACAAAGGGATAATCTTTATGATATTATTTTCTTCAGATGAAATTGTATGTCGACTGATATGTATACCTAAATGAATGTACAGTAAGGGATTTGAGTTAAATTCTTGGCAATTTTTCGAATTCCTCAGTAATTTAAAAGAGTATGTATAAATTAACATGACCCTAGTCACCATTAACGTTCAGCTTTCCTCAAGATATTTCCTTCAACCTTTGTACCACTATTCTGAATGGAAATTCATCTTAATTCCAGTTATGGCTCACGTTTGGCGCATCGCTGTCGTTCCTAATCATCGGCCTTGTGAGGGGCTACTCCGCCTCCGCAATACCGTCCATTGAAGCCAATGATCCAGAAATTATACAGAGCAGTGAACAGAAATCATGGATGGGTAAGGATCTTTTATCTTTTGTATGAGTTTAATCATATATATATATATATATATATTCTTCATCAGACCCTTTAGCTTACCCAGTAGGTACCCTGAACTTACACAAATAATTTCTACCATAAGTATGATCTTTCAAGGGTTTAAATTCAGTCATCAGACTACCACAGATAGGGCCAACTAAAGCTGATGCCTCGGAGGTCGTAACGGGTTGTCGGGGTTCCGGTTTGAAGTATAGGAGTAGGAACGTGGTGGTTTTTAGTCAGTAAGAGTCTTACACTCTGTCTCGCCTCATCCGGGCGAGAGAAGTAGAAGAAGAGAAGAAAAATAGGTTTTAATTCGTAGTGTGATATAAGGAACAGTGGGTTTGTGACCAGTTGGTGCAAGAAGTAATACTGACACATAGCTAGCTGGACTAGTAAATATGAACAAGACACTACGTGGGTGGACTAATTTTAGGAACAATCATACCGAATGGTCTTATTTATGTGTATTACATACTACTGTTTGGACCTACATATTGCGACTAATTTATTATCTAATACTTACTGTGGTGTGTTAGTTTTTTTTGTAGATAGATAAATGCTTTTTAGTTTCGCTAGGAACATTATGTTTTGAAAAAAGATGCGTATTAAAACATGTATTGTTCGTTATTTCATTTACGACTACTTAACAATAGAAAGTATTTTCAACATGATTGTAGTCTTCTTCAAAGAAGTGAATATTTATTTAAATTAACTAGCTCGTTTCTGGCACTCATGTGATACATAGGTAGACTAAACGAATTATGTAAATGTATAGTGCTTTCTGAGTGATGTGAGTCTTTATTAGACATAGTCATTGGTGCGATAGTAAATAATAGGTAGCTAAATTATTTTTGAATAACGTCACGGTCAAAATTGTGTGTAAATACACATAAGTAGGTACTTCTCATGATTAAGTATAATGATTCGGTTGAATTTTTTATTTATGTCTATATGTCTAAATCAATGATAAATAATCAATGTTAACTGCGATTCCTTGGTTGGGCAAAGTTAGTGTTTCTAGAAGGGCTTAGTAGTAAAGGTTTTTTTTTAAGGGGGGAAAATCATCGAATGACTGCTCCCGCCTGGGTGAGGCGGAAGGGAGTGTCAGACTCTTACTGAGTAAAAACCACCCTGTTCCTTCTCCTGCACGTCGAGCCGGAGCCCCGGTTACCCGTTAGGTTCTCCTCGACTCCGAATCGGCATCGGCCCTATTGGGCCCCATCTGTGGTGGTCTGATTGCTCTTTGAGGCGCGCGCGGAACGCGACGCGCCGTACGCTCGGGTCTGTTTCTGGTCGGACGGGGAGCCACCCATGCTCGCCGTCCGCAGGCCCGCGTTTACGGTGGCCGGAGATCGTCCCGCGATCCCCGACGCCCGGTGTGTCATTCGCGATCGCTGGGTTGCGAGGAGGCAGCGCTTCGCTGCCTCACGCGTCCCGCCTTCTCCTTAGCTAGCATGACTGCTTCGCAAAAGGAGGAGACGGCATCCCAGTCCCTCTCGATCCGCATCGTGGCCTGCACTAGGCCCGGACGCGAGAGGTCGCCATCGCCGATTACTTCCCTGAGGGCACGGCGGTGCTCAGCCCACGCAGGGCATTCCGCTACAGTGTGTTCCACCGTGTCCTCAGCGACCGCGCTGAAGCTACTATCTCTACCTTTACTACTAATCAATGCGTGGACCGCCACGCATTAATTAGTAGTAAAGGTAGAGATAGTAGCTTCCCTATATACCTTTTCGGGAAATAAATTCATTGAAGATATGTTATAAAAAAAAATACACATGGCATGTGTGTCCAAATATGCAGCAAATATTTATTGTTGAGGAACTCGTGAATCCATATTTGTTTTATCATATTAAACACATGTTATTGTATGATTTTTGGGGATTTTTCCCCGAAAACGGTTCCCGTTATTCGTGAGCATATTTATTTTGCGTACATTATGAATTGTTGTTTATTTTATACTGAAACATGCGATATTTATTAATTGTTATATTAATGCAGCGATATCTGTTATTTAACTAAAAGTCATTAATTTGTAATTGATATTAAATATCAATTTAATATGTTAAACTCTTCCGCTAATGACTGTGTGGGTGTGTAACTGACAGGTGCACAACCGAAACTGCTACTCATAGAAACTAAACAGCTAAAGTAAGTATATGTCTATATGGAGAATTGAGATTAGGAAAGCCCTTTCGTAGAACAGGAAAAATGGCATATTAAGTCGTTTCACAATCAATACAATACAATATTTTAAATCGTCGATTTTATTGGTTAAATGTAAAGAAAATCTTAATGCATAATGTTGACGCACTTTCAGATACCTATGTGCCTACTTGTACCTACAAAGATTTGATTATAAACAAAATAAAATAAAATAATGTTTATTTCGGACAAGTGATACATCCATACCATTCGGGCAAGGGGTCTCGGGTTCGATTCCCGGGTCGGGCAAAGTATTACTGGGTTTTTAAAAGTTCAAAGCACGGAGTCTGGAACTGTCCCGGTATATGGCAATAGGCTCACCCCCTATTACATGGAACTCAACATAAATAGTGAAAAGTGGGTGTTACATTCTACAGTGGTATTAAGTGCCGTAATGTGCACGTCTGCCTACACCTTTGGGGATAAAAGGCGTGATATTATGTTATGTGATACATGCATAGGATGGATCACTAGTAATAAAAATAAAAAAACTAGAATTTTTTTAAAAGTTAGTAGCATATTTTGTTACAAGCATACTGTTGGGAATACATTTTGGCACGATACTATGTATTATAGGTGAATCGTACCTCCCTGCAATGGTTTTCAGGATGGAGTTGGAACCGGCCCACACCCTGCAGATCTACGATGCAGACTTCTGTCTAACAATGGCCTGGAAGCCACTGGAGAAACGAGGCGGTCCCATCAATATTCTGAACCAATTATTATTTGTAGGGAAAATCTTTTTTGGAAACAAATATCCTCATTTACTTCAAGGGCTGTATATATTTACAGCTTACTTACATAACTCTTTGACAAGGAACTCATTAGTTTCAAGCCATGATAGAGGCGGAGGAGGAGGAGGATTCATGAGCAACATTCCGCTACCCGCGACGTGGCGATTGTCGCGCTGTTACATAATAATTAATTAGTATATCTCACGAAAGTTTTAATATGTAGAAAATACATTTATTTTCTTAGTAAACATCTAATTTTTCCGCAGGTGCCATACCTCCTCTGGGTGCGTTCCTGGGCAGCATGATATCAGGAACTCTGATGCAGCACTTTGGTCGCAAGCGCACGTTACAATTGACGTCACCGATATGGGTAGCCGCTTGGCTGATCCTAGGTTTCGCGAAGTACTACCCACTTCTATTAGTGGGTAGAATTATCACAGGAGTAGGTGTCGGCTTCGTCTTGGCTACTGCGCAGGTTTATGTAAGTTTTATTGATTTTAGACGATCAATTAAATATGATTATTATTTTAATTGAAAAGTTCATCATGACTACATAGTTGGTTTAACGGTGGGAAAATAGCTCGGTCATAGACTTAATGCCCGAATTAGTTGTAGGTACTTTAAAAAGAGGGCAACCGAATAAATTCTTTGAAAACGTACAGATGTAGATAGTTTGTAAAGTCACGAGGTAAAAGTGCATGAAACTCTATACGCTTCGAAAAATCGCGAGAATCAGACAATCGCGAGTCTACTGAAAGTTCTATGTAAAAGATTACCTAATTAATCATGCAAGTTTCTAAGACACGTGCAAATGAGGCTCACGTGTTTTCTATGAATAAGAGCCAACTCATTAAGATCATTGGACCAAATAACTGCAAACAGATCATATTTTGCACGTATATATAATTAAGTCTTTAATACAGTCGAACAGTTCCCCTGACCTCCGTTGGTGTTAGGATCATTGTTATTATTAATAGAATATTGAACAAACACACGTTGTTTTGATAAAACAAGTGCCCTCACATTTTCCTTGAGTTTAGTATCTACACGAATTCACGAATACTTTATGTAGGTTAAAGACACTAATCAGAAATTTCGATCCGTTTTTCGACTTGGTTTCAAAACCAAAGAACCTCGCGCCTATTATAATCTGACATTGAGTGAATTTCCTTGTGATTTCTGAGAACTTTCAAAATCAAATATCCGGGAATTTACTCCGCTCAGCTATTGAAGCACCTATTTTTTTCTTTCTCTTTATTTAATTAGGAAGTTTTGTACATGTACACGACAGTTCCATTTTACCTTATATCTTACATGTTAAACTTACAAGTTATACAAACAAAATCCTCTTAATATCTATTTAACAAAACGTACACTTGCAAAAGATAAAGGGGCAGCGAAGCACCTATTTAAAAATTACAACAAAATATAGAGGTAGTACCATTTTTTCCTCATTTATATTCTAGGTAAGTGAATGCTGCGATCCTGAGATCCGTGGCCGACTAGGATCCCTACCTACCCTCTCTATGTCTCTGGGGATCCTGATCTCATACGTCGCTGGTAGCTGGCTTTACTGGAGATACCTCGCGTTCCTCTCGGCTATATTTTGCGGTAAATATTACAATCATATTTTATACATACGTCGGGTTTATGTCTGTGATTTATCATTAGGTTACGTTCTCATTTATTTCAACTTTGTCCTGTTTTTTTCTACAATATAAAATAGAAAATGTTTGGGTCTCAAGTGGGAAATGAGGTTGAACCAGCCTATTATTAAATATCATAATAATTGTTAAGTAATATTAAACAGCTTTCTTAATTAGACCAACTAATTGACTACCTTATAATCGACACACGCGCCATCTGTTAAATGCAAAACTAGTTTGTTTTAGTTTATTGGTGTTAGTCACGTTTTAAATTATGTTTTGATAAGTAAATTGTTTTATGTTTTAAGCGTGCAACAGACTGAACAATTACATTTCTTTTTTTCAAAACACACATTTTTGTTTCCAGTGGCACTGTTTGTGGTACTGCTGCCGCTCCCAGAGTCTCCAGTATGGCTGCAGTCAAAGGGTTTAGATGCATCAGATTCAATAAAGTGGTTGCACTTATCTGCACGCGCAACAGCTACCGTAAAGGAGGATAATCAAGAGTAAGTAGTATATGATGGGACCGTTTATTCTTTTCTACGTAATTTCTGTCGTTGGTTTGTTTTAGCTAATATTGTTTTACAAAGGTGGTTCTTGATGTAGGTTCAGTGAAGTATTATTTCTCTTAGAAGACGTAATTGGTTACTATGAGATTAGCTAGATAAACATTAAAAAGCTAATCCCAGAGGTACCGATTATGTGGTCTGATTCGGACGGATGATGGATTCTCTATCTATTTTTCACCTTTCATATGTCTTGCGCACGACACATGTGCATCGTTAGTGGAATATTGGCATTCGACACGAATCTAAGACTGCCTCGTTGGCCGAGTGGTCGCAAGTGCGACTGCCGGCCAAGGGGTCTCGGGTTCGATTCCCGAGTCGGGCAAAGTATCTATTACGGGTTTTAAAAAAAAATCTCAGTGGTAGCACGGAGTCTGGAATTGTGCCCAGTATATGGCAATAGGCTCACCCCCTATTACGTGGGACTCATAACATAAATAGTGAAAAGTGGGTGTTACCTCTGCCTACCCTTTCGGGGATAATAGGCGTGATGTTATGTTATGACACTAATCTACCAGTAGTAAAAGACTCAATGGTAAGGCTGTTTTTAAAATTGTATTAAGTATAGAAAAACATAACATTTTAATACACAAAATTATTTTGTCTACCCGTGCCTCGTAAGGTAAGAAAGTTTGACTATAAATACACCTTATTCTAAAGTCAGGTTCTTTGCTGTTGCTTTCTTATTATTTTTAAATAAATACAAGCGCAGTCAGTTTCAGTCTTCATACCAGTACCTAACATGAATAGTTACTTGAAGTTGCAGTCAAAGTTTGTGAGGCGGCGTGGTAGGTAACTATATAAGTTAATTTTGTTCTACGATATAACGGCCGGTGGAACAATAATTAGCATCACGAACATGTTCATCGTGTAATAAAGAACTATCCACACACATCTCCCCTCTACTCCTTATAGCAAGGTTTAAGCGAATTTTTTGTGGGCGTTGCATATAAAATGACACAGTAACCAGTATTCTGTATTTAACTTTCATATTGATAATTGGTGGTAGTAGAGGAGCCCACGACGCTAAATTTGGATTTACTTGAGCGTCGTTGGGACCTACTGGATTTTGAAGATATGCTGATAGAAATAAGAAATGGTTTAGTGGCAATTTCTTCCACCGGTGGGGGAAGGGGAAATCCAAAGATCTTTGAAATTGTTAAGCGTAACTTTTGTTCTAGTGGTCGAACGTGTCAGATATTGATAGTGTACATGCTCCATGTGTATTTAATAATAAAAAAACTCTTAATCTGCCAGTTTGCATGGTGGGGTTGAATGTTCTGGAGAGTACAAACGAGAACCCTTCAAAATCCCCCCACTCTTGCAAATCAAATTGGAATAGGCAGATTTTTTAAACGCACTTCCTTTAGCATGGTATTGACCTACCTTCACTTAATCTGACGAAACTGACTTTATTTAGTCGGACATTTTTTATTTTTTGGTCACCCCTTCTAATCAGATCGGATATATGGTGGGAATATTCAACATGATACTAGGTTTTCCCCATATGTTAATCTGACGCGCTCGAGTAACTACCGAAATCCCTTCATGGGCTCCCCTACTATGGGTCCTGAGTTTGGTAACTAGATTTGTATGGGTCATAGTCCAGACAACTTTGAGAACCACTGCCTTATAATGTTACTGGCATTTACACTTTACATTACACCCGTATGATTTAGTATTTCAGTTGTTTGAGATTTGAGTTCTTCTTCGTTTTTGATTTGAGTATTTGGAGGAAGGACTTTGAATAGAATCTGCTAGGCATGGGGTCTCGGGTTCGATTACCGGGTCGGGCAACGTATGACTGGGTTTTAAAAATATTCTCAGTAGTAGGACGGAGTCTGGAATTGTCCCCGGTAGGTATATGGCAATAGCCTCACCCCCTATTACATGGGACTCATAACATAAACAGTGAAAAGTGGGTGTGACATTGTACAGTGGCATTAAGTGCAGTAATGTCCACCTCTGCCTACCCCTTCGGGAATAAAAGGCGTGATGTTATGTTTATCTGGAGGAAGCTCATCTATGCACGAATATCCCTAACAAAATTTATCTAGATCTAGAACTAGATACAATTCGAGAAAGAATAGAGTGTGAATCTAATGTCATCCACACTCCACAAAAGTCGCACTGGTCTCACCTTGATGGTTAACAACAGAGATCTGTAGTAATTGCTACCGGTCACGTTGTTACCTCTCCTAAGGTCGGCCGCAATAGAATCCTACCTATCTATCATAGATACAGAGCTACAAATTTTTGGCCATGATACACAGGTGTATTCATCGTAACATTTTATTAGTTATGTGATGAATCCCATGTTATACAGGGTGAATGTATGACAACTTTAACACATTTTTTTTTAAAACAGTACTTAATAATTATTCTGATTCGAATACTGAAACTTCTTGCGCATGAGTAGCTCAAGCGCCAAGACTTGACCAATGAGGCAACTCATACCTATTAATTTTTTTTTTAAACGTTGCCCCGCACTATTATTTTCTCCTGTGTCGGGTGCGTTTACAAACATACAAGTTCACATACACTTTACACCCAGACCCGGAACAATCTGTGGATCACACAAAGAATTGTTCCGTAATCCGTACGGGAATCGAACCGTTGCGCGGCAGTCAGTTGCCCAACCACCGCGCCAACCGTGCAGTCATTTATTGAGCAGTCAATTATTGAGGATATGATGCGACAACTTACCGAACAAATTAAATAAATTATTATTTGCGTGTCGAAGAGGATATTGGTATGATCGGCTAATTTTAAACAGGTTTTTTTTAAATGGGTAATAAAGTCATCAAAGTAAGTAATACCTATTATGTTTAGAAAAACAGGAAAATAAATAGAATGAATTGAAGTTTTCTAAATGAAATTGCTCTAATAGATACTTAATAGTAATAATGTTCTAGGATAGGTTGCGTTTATTCTATTTAAAAATAATTGCAAAATAGAGATTATTATACAACTAGCGACCCGCCTCGGCTTCGCACGGGTGCAATATGCATGTATTACACATATAAACCTTCTTTAAGAATCACTCTATCTATTAAAAAAAACGCAGCAAAATCCGTTGCGTAGTTTTAAAGATCTAAGCATACATAGGGACAGACAGAAGGCGGATAGCGACTTTGTTTTATACTATGTAGTGATGATGCCTAACACGATAACGTGTGGTTGAATCATGCTTCACATTCATGCATATGCATATGCACATGCATTTTTTCAGGCCGAAATACAACGGTTTTGACGTAAGGTACCAGAGGCCCAGTTCTCCATGTCCTTCAAATATTGGCAACTGTGACAGATGTCCTTAGGCAGTAGGTACTGATCGGGAGATTGATTAATTTTTTTATCCCATATTCGTACGTGTATACTATTTTTTATTATCCTAATGGACAAGTACGAATGACATATTTTGTTTCCTTTTTAAAATAACATAACATAACATCACGCCTTTTATCCCCGAAGGGGTAGGCAGATGTGCACATTATACCACTGTACAATGTAACACCCACTTTTCACTATTTATGTTATGAGTCCCATGTAATAGGGGATGAGCCTATGGCCATATACCGGGCACAATCTCTGACTCCGTGCTACTACTGACAACTCAGAAAAACTCAGTAATACTTTGCCCGACCCGGGAATCAAACCCAGGACCCCTTGCCCAGCAGTCGCACTTGCGACCATTCGGGCAGCGAGGCAGTCTTTTTAAAATAATATTGAATTAATGAGTTAATTATATTATAAACATACATGTTTTATTATTCACCCCAGTTGGACTCAGCTGTGCATAACTAAACTGTTGGGACAATATAATGTATCACAGATGTTGTGGTGCATAATTAATACAATGGTTTTTCAATGAAATCAGCTTAAAGTTTTAACTAAATTATTGTGTAATTTTATATGTGTAGGTAGGTACTACCTACATAAATGTGTGACTCCCTTTTTGTCACTGACTGCTTGATCCACAGATTTGAGTAACCGTAAAAATAATAATAGCAGGTAACTCTTGCTGAGTTAGCCAGTCGCACGAATAATCTTTGAACACAAATATATTAATCATTGAACAAAATTAATCGTCGTAAATAATCTGTTAAGATGTATAAAAAGGTTTTATCTTACAGAAAAGCTGAGGATCCAGCTGGACTTCCGAGCCTGTTCAGCCGCAAGGTGTTTTTCTCAGCCGTGGTGATGAAGCCCATGGTCATTGGGTTTGCCCTGCTATTTTTCCAACAGTTCAGTGGAATTGATGCTGTTATATTCTTCACTGTTGAGATATTTAGAAATGCAGGTGGGTACTAGACGCACTACAAAATAGATTTAGAAATAGCCTAGTGATATCAGAAACGTTTAAAAATTATTACTTTCCTTTAAGTAAGTCAAGACGGTTCTTACAAAAACAACGAACAAAATGCTGATTTTTAGTTATAAAACTTTGCATAACATTTAAACAAGTCCTGAAAAATATCTTGGCATTTTCGTCAACCTTTTAGTTCCCAGGTTTTAAAAGAGATGGCGTTACTTGTAGTTACACGTATTGAGTTACACATATTGTGAAAAGTTTTTAAACCAACTTCAAATTCAAAAACATTAAGATAAATAACAATCTTCCAAACAACCAATTCTTTGAAAAAATATAGGTATTCCTTTTTTCCAGGCAGCACACTAGACGCGATGACAGCTACCGTCATCGTGGGACTGGTACAACTCCTCAGTAATGGAGTTAGCACAATGCTGGTAGACCGTGCAGGCCGTAGACCGTTGCTGCTCATCTCTGCAGCTGTAATGTGTGCTTCCATGGCATCCATGGGAGCTGCATTCTATTTTCAATTGAAGGAGGCTGCGTGGCTCGGGTAATTATGAAAATTCATTAAATGAATAAAAATTCAAGGAGTTTTTCAACTTATTTTTTATTCATAAAATTTGTTCCCCGTTTATTTCCTAGTTTTTTAATAGCATGACAAAAATACTTAAATCATAAGAACTTTGTACCATCAACCCCATCAACAAAAGGTCTAATATTCTCGGCATTTATGTATAGGTATCAAATTATGATTATAATAGACGCTTAATATAAATCCTCGTTTCCTCTAGGTATCTCCCCATTGTCAGCCTGGTAGTGTTCATGCTGGGTTTCTCCCTCGGGTTCGGTGGCCTCCCGTTCCTGCTACTGGGCGAGTTGTTCCCAGCTCAGTACCGCTCCCAACTCTCAGCGATGGCCAGCGCAGTGAATTTGCTATCAATGTTCTCAGTCATCAAGTCATACCACGCACTTGACGTAAGTATTTGTGACAATCAGTGGCGTAAGTTTTTTTTTAATTGGGGAAAATCATCGAATGACTCCTCCCGCCTGGGTGAGGCGGGAGGGAGTGTCAGACTCTTACTGACTAAAAATCACCCCGTTCCTTCTCCTGCACGTCGAGCCGGAGCCCCGGTAACCCGTTAGGTTCTCCGCGACTCCGAATCGGCATCGACCCTGTTGGGCCATCTGTGGTGGTCTGATGGCTCTTTGAGGCGCGCGGAACGCGACGCGCCGTACGCTCGGGTCAGTGTCGTAAGTATAGGGTGGCAAGTCAGTAAAATGGCATGGGCACCAGCTGAAAGGGGGATACAGTTCGTTGGGATTAGAGTTTATGTAAACCATACTCCTAAATATTTTTTCAGCATGTGAATCGACACGTAGTCCAGTATCGTTTGTTTATAGTGCCAATAGTGACTACAAAATATAAAACCGGCTTATGGGATAAACGTCACTCAACTCGTCAATTTTAGCTCCATATATTCTATATTTGGAGCGCAAATTGTCCATATATTCCATTTCCATATATGAAGCTAAAATTGTCTGTTCTCGTAAACATAGAGGTAATTGGTTTTGATTTGTTGGAAACGTAACAGTACTGTGTAATCTGGGGAAAATATTGATTTTTAGGGTTTCACACTCAATACGTAAAAACAGGAGCCCTATTATTAAGATACTAGTGTTAGTTTGTCTGTCTGTCTGGATTCTGGATAGCTAGATAGTTGTGGACAAATAATGTGTTTCTGTTGCCGCTATACCAAAGATGAAATGAATGAAAAAAATAAAACAAAATTATAGGAGGGCTTCCATATAACAGTAGTGGTTTTTTGCCATCTCTACAACAACAAGAACAGATAGAAACTTCAAAACAAAATAATTTAGACTTATATTTACGAGTATTTTAAAAGAAAGAATGGTACGGAACACTTCATATCCGACCCGCACTTGAATGGTTTTTGCTAGAATGGAGCCAGTCAGATTTTATTGTTAAAAAGGAATTTGATATGAAAAATACAAATGCTACTATTTCTCTTTATTGACTTTGCGGTTTTTCATTACCGACAAATAATAAAGAACAACCGGTTTAAGATATAAATACTAAACTGAATTATGTCGATGATGATGTGAAATAGTTTTATTTAACAGCTGTAAATAAATCTGATGATTTTTATATGACACAACAAATACAGGAACAGACAATTGCATTATCAGTTAAACTACTCACGCGAAACGCTATGTAGAACCAAAGGCTTTGACAAGCTTATGTCAATATTATAAGATGAGTATTAAGGTCTACATCACTATGTATTATTGAAAAATCATAAGCTGAAATATGGAAACGGGGAAGTTGTCAAAAGAGGTACATCTACCTAAATAAAATAAAAAATCATATATATACAAATAGGTATGGACAATCTGGGAAGTAATTAAGGAATTAAAATTGAAACATTTCCCTCAATGATTATATTCATTGAAGGAATAAAAAAACATATACATAATAAAAAAATTACTGTGCAAAAGGGAAAGCATACACATTTTTATTGGATACGATTTTTGTGCAAACATAATATCTACCTAATTAATTACCGAACACAGTAACTGTTTTGCGATAATAATACTTTTCGGCATTAAATGTAAAATTACTGTGCAAAAGGGACATTATTCATACCTATTATATGCATATGTTATTTAATATTATGTAGTTTGGCTGAAATAACGCGTAACTTCAACAATTAATAGCATAATTTATATTCGGAATATTATTTTGTACCAATAACGTTGATATGGTAATGTCTAATGACGATACGTGATTTTAAATTCACAATGAATAAGGGCTTATAGAAACACACTATCTATATAAATTGTTTTAAAATGTACCTAAATGTAAAATTTTTCAATATTGAACTACCTACACTGATATTTTCAAGTTTTCAACCACCTACGAGGAACATGGGGGATGGAAAAAATAGATACTGCTTTTAAGCAGGAGCCATTTTGACTTCAAGCCTACCTTTAACGGTGTCATCACTGCGAGGACCGTCCTTTTTTTTTTTTTTTTTTTTTTGTTGACGGGGGGAAACCTTCCAAAGGCGCCTAGCTTTTTGGGGAAAAAGACTAGGGAGTGTGGGATTCTTACCTCACTAAAACCTCCCCGGTGGCCACCATCCGCACTTAAAGGGGGCACCGGGTCCTCTTAGTAGACCAACTCCGGTGCCCTCATAGTGCAACGCCTGTGACGGCACCTCCCTATGGAGACCTATATGTCTCTCCTAGAGCCTCTCTGTGCACTGCACGGCGGCACGTGACCACTGTGCCGCCGTCATCCTTGAGGTCATTAGGTGGGCGCCTAGATTCCCCACTCTGTGCGCCCATGACCCCAAAGGTTTGCCTACCAATATTGTAGGCAGGAAATCGACATATTAGGCGCCGCGGCGGTTATTTCCTCGACGCCTTCGACGTGTGGGATCGGCCCTCTCACGATCCCGCTCAGCAGCCTCCTTTTGGGACATTACAGTCTCACAAAAGGTGGCAACTTCTCTCCAGTTTTCTGTCGCTGCCAGCATAGCCGTAACTACTGCTGGCAGAGACAGGTCTCGCCCGATCCTGGCAACTAGGACCCGCCGCTCTGAGGCCCACGCTGGGCACTCTTCAAGCGTATGCTGTGCGGAATCCAAGTTGCTTTCGCAATGGTGGCAATTTGATGTAGCCTCTCGCCCAATCTTGTTCAGGTACTCACCGAAGCAACCATGTCCGGTCAGCACCTGAGTGAGCCTGAAGGAGATGCGCTCCTCTTCTTCAGCCAGGCTTCGAAGTGCGGCAGAATGGCTTCGACAACGCGCTTGCGTGAGTATTCCGGCTGTTCTAACCGCTCACGCCACCGCTCAAGCGCGTGTCGCCTTTCCCGCCGCCTCAGCCTAACGAGCACCGTTTCTGGCATCCTTCCGCCGTTTTGGCGGATTGAGCGAATTTGGTCATAGACTTTCGCGTCCATATCCGCCAGGATATCCAACGGCGGAAAACGAGCCAGTAGAGTTGCCGCCTCAAAGGACACCGTTCGGTATCCTCGTGCGATCCGAATGGCCATTTTCCGCTGCAGACGATTTATTTTCGTTCTGCAACGTCGGACACCTGACAGTCTAGTTGACCAAACAGGCGCCCCGTAAAGGACCATCGACCGCACGACACCCGCATAGAGGCGACGAACTTCTTCTCGAGGCCCCCCGATATTTGGCAGCAATCTGTGCAGAGCACCCACTGCCTTTTCGACTCGGGGGACCAGGCGTTCAAAATGCTCTTCGAAGCCCCATCGACCATCCAAGGTTAGGCCTAGATACTTCAGGTATCTGCTAACCTGGACTAGCGCATCACCCACTCTTACCGACGAACTGGGTGGCTCCCTGGTCCTCGGCAGCTTGTGAAACCACAGCGCCTCAGTTTTTTGAGGCGCTATCTTTAAGCCCAGTTCGTGTATTGATGAAACGACTTTTGCCACACCGAGCTCTGAAAGCCGGATGGTCTCCTCAAAGGTATTCCCGCTGGCCATAACCAGAGTGTCGTCAGCATAGCACACAACATGGACGCCAGCGGGAAGATCGACACGCAAGACCGCGTCGTAAGCGAGGTTCCACAATAAAGGACGCGAGGACCGTCCTGAAGACACTGTGGAACAAACTTTAGCAAAATGCCCTGTGTGGGCTGAGCACCGCCGTACCCTCAGGGAAGTGATCGGCGATGGCGACTTCTCACGTCCGGGCCTAGTGCAGGTCATGATGCGGAGCGAGGGGGACTGGGATGCCGTCTCCTTCTTTTGCGAAGCAGTCATGCTAGCTAAGGAGGAGGCGGGACGCGTGAGGCAGCGAAGCGCTGCCTCCTCGCAACCCAGCCATCGCGAAGGACACACCGGACGTCGGGACGATCTCTAGCCACCGTAAGCGCGGGCCTGCGGACGGCGAGAATGGGTGGCTCCCCGCCTGACCAGAAACAGACTCGAGCATACGCTGCGTCGCGTTCCGTGCGCGCCTCAAAGAGCCATCAGACCACCACGGATGGAGCCCAACAGGGCCGATGCCGATTCGGAGTCGCGGAGAACCTAACGGGTTACCGGGGCTCTGGCTCGACGTGTAGGAGGAGGAACGGTTTTTAGTCAGTAAGAGTCTGACACTCCCTTCCGCCTCACTTAGGCGGGAGCAGTCATTTGATGATTTTCCACCTTAAAAAAGCCTACCTTTAATGCAAGTAAAATCAAAATAACATAGACATTTATCCATTTTTGGACATAACCTTAGCAGACTGTATTACTTAGGCTCTATAACACTTAAAATATTTTAATAAATCAGTATTAATTGTTTACAGGCGGTACTTACATCAGCTGGTACATTCTGGTTGTACTCCTGCTTCTGTGCTGTCGCCTTCTTCTTCGTACTCTTCATGGTGCCAGAGACCAAAGGAAAATCCCTCGCGGAAATTGAACAACATTTTCGAGGTAACAAAAAAGGGAAAACGGAAAACGTGAATATGCAAACAGTATTTTAGATTTAAGATTATATAATAAGAATAATATGTTTGAGATAAATAAACTCACAGATTTATTTTAATAAGTTCTGAAATTGTTATGTACAGTGGGCAGCAAGTCAACATACTCTTTTCTGTAAAAGTTTTTTATTCGATTGTCAACTCTATCGTTAAGAAATAAAGTCGAAAATCTAATGGCATAAATTGACACATTGGAGTAGATTGATGTGCTGAACACTGTACAACAGTCCCTATGCCATCAAACTACCCCATACTGATTATTATCAATAGATTTTTTACTTTATCGTAGAAGTACAAAGTTGATTGCGGTTTTTACATATAGCTTTATAGAGAGGTTAAGTCATAATATATGGTTTTTTTTTACTTTGATAATCCGATCTACGAAGGAGCACGTCGTCCCATATCAACCAAATCACTCGGGCCTTGAAGATTCCCAGGTCCCTTCGGGAAATACATACTCTGACAAAGAATTCCACTCCATAGCAGTACGCACAAGGAAGCTTGATGCGAAGCGCTTCCTGCATGTGGGTCGGACATCTCTGCCATGAATCGCCGATTCTCTTGTGGTACGATTATGGAAAGGACTAGGGGGTATCAAGTTGTGGTATCAAGTTGTGCAATTCCCTCGCATATTCACCGAAATATATACGGTAGACAACCGAAAGGCTTGCAACCTTACGCCTGTGTTCGAAGTATGCATGTATGTACATGCAAATATGTATACCTATAGCCAAGTAATTTGTATACCTACCTACCTCTACTTACAGCTTAGTAGGTAAGTTGCATACGATTGTTATATTTGACAATCTACAATTGGCCATGTTAGGTCAATTGTAGATGTAAGTTACACATTACGAATCATTTAGTAACGATATCTTTTGATTTGATTGGCTACCTAAACATTTATAAAAATAATTTTACCTAGAAAACTCAACAATCTGACCTTTAGGTACAATCGTCATAAGTCCTTGACTATGTCGAAAGACTAAGTCCTAAATGGAATAAATTTGGTTAAGATGTAAAATAACTTCGGTAGTGCCACTTGTGAATAAATAAGTTTTGCCATTTTAGAATTAAAATCTTTTGCGAGTTGTCGAATTCTTCAAAGTTATCTTTATTTACAATAATTATTATAGTTATTTCATATGTCTTTTATGAAAATGAACATTTCATTATCATTATCATGTTTTCCTCACGACGTTTTCCTTCACCGTTTGTCAGTGTGCCTGAATAATCTTAGAAAGTAGATACATATAACTCGGAAAAAGTCATATTGATGCTTGCCGTTGGTAGGTTTCGAGCCCGCACTCTCATGCACGAGAAGTGGGCGTCTTAAACTTCCGGGCCACCAACACTGTTTCCAAAAAAGTTTCATTCCGAACAAGAAATCTAAGAATTGTAGTGTCATGCATTATTGTCCAAGTACAAACTAGTTTTTATCTAGGTAAAATCACACAAAAATCCACCGTTGAGATAAATAAGATTTTTTTGTAACAAGTACTCGGTTAAACCAGCTCCTTTCAAAAAAATATGGCGTGCATAAGCTTTGATGTGTATTGCTAGTATTCATAATTATTTTATTCAATCGATGTTATAACTTATAAAGAATATACCTCTAGTATTATTTATATCGACAATTTAATGTGAAATGTTACTGTTTAAATATATGATAGTTTATTATTTAAAATGATAAACCCATTGCAATATATACAATATGTACAACAATTTATACATCAATGTATTTATTAGTGTTGAAGTATTGAAAAATGTATTTATCTAATATATGATTAATTACTTGAAATAGTTTATTTAAAATTGTGGTCATATTCAAATAAGGAAGATACAATCTTAAATATTTATTATTATTAATTTAGCATGTTTTACCAATGTGAACGTTTCGTTTTTGAACGATGTATAGGAATTAAAATACCTGTCTAATAACATTTTTAGATAGATATTTAACATTTAATTAATTCCACCAATTCAATGTACTAATAGGTATGATGACGGGATATGAAAATTTAAAATCTATTTTGTTCACTCAGCTGGGTATAAAAATATTAATATTACAAGTATTAAAAAAAAACAATACTTAGGTACATAAAACGAATCAAAGTTTAGGAGTGGGAGCTAACTACGTCATTTCTACGAATAAAAAGTACCTAGAAGTGACGTCAAACGAAATTTCAAATGAACATATCGTCAAAAGTATTTGTCTCCGTAAGAAAATTTAAAATATGTGTCTAATGTTTTAAAATATTCTATCAGACGGACATGTTTAAATAAAAATTAGTCATCTACCCTATGTATTATAATATTAAATCTTACATATATGTATAATATTTAACTTTACATTAAAACCCTCCTAATTTTGAGTCGGTAAAAAAGCTGTGCGATAATAATATTTCAATACTGTAAGAAAAGATATTATTAGTATCTTTAGTAGGTAATAAAAATGTAGATATAATAAATAGGTAGTACCTTTTAACTGTGATAGATGAGGTATCCTAATAATTAAACAAAACTTAGTGATTAAAACATACAGAGAAAAATAATTTGTTTCATTTTGTTAAGACATTTAATCTTAATACACAGACGTGAAACAACGCTTGCGTTGTTTCACGTCGGTTTTCTGTGAGGCCATGGTATCACTCCGGTCGAGCCGGCTCATTCGTGCCGAAGCATGGCTCTCCCAGACTTTTTCTACCAGTTTTGAACCACAGAGGGGTTCTTCCTCATGTGCAGCGTGCGCGGTCGCGGCGATGTCGCTCAGCCTTCTTCTCAGTATTTTCACGTGAATGACCCGCAATTTTTAGTTAATTTTGTATGTCTCGCGATAGTTATCATACATTATAGTTGCTTTTTTCTGTTTAATATTATTGTTTTGTTTTGGAATTCAATACACATATTAGATTTACTAAAAGGGTTTGTTTACGTTAATTTATTGTTCAGCGTAAGTGTAGGTAATGTTTGGTCTAATTACATTTTTTCCAATAATTACTAAGGGACTGCCTCTACTACTCTACGAAGGAAATACTAAGGGAAGAAGAAGACTGCCGCATTGGTCAAGTGGTCGCAAGTGCGACTGCCGGGCAAGGGGTCTCAGGTTCTATTCCTGGGTCGGGCAAAGGATTACTGGATTTAAAAAAAATATCAGTACTGGCACGTAGTCTGGAATTGTGCCCGGTATATGGCAACAGACTCACCCCTTATTACATGGGACTCATAACATACCTAAATAGTGAAAAATGGGTGTTACATTGTACAGTGCCATTAAGTGCAGTAATGTCCACCTCTGCCTACCCCTTCGGGGATTATGGGCGCAATGTTATGTTATGTTAATTACTACCTAAGGGTTGGGGTTAACATAGGATCACCTTTATTAAAATTATTCTTAATATCTACAAAAGTGCTTTCGAAACGTTAATGTTATTTTCTGAAATAATTTGAATCATTCTCGTAATATTGTTTTACTGTAGATTTGGAAAGTGTAACCACAGATTGTGTTTACGTTTTTCTTAAACCATTTCATTTAACTTTATTTTTTTATAGAAAAGAACATGGGTATCTTATTTTTTTTTTGTCATATCAACCGGTATTGCCGCGGCAAAAGTTTGGAAAAAACTTCCATAGGCAAGTATTATTTATTTTATTTTATAAAGGATGGTGGGTGAGAATGTATGGGCGGCGTACCGAACTACCCACACCGCTACAGCTAGCTTCTATTTGGAAGGTATCACAGCCAAGGTTTACCTATTCTGTCAAAGCTCATTAAATTCTGTCCTGCTATTTGTGTAAATTATTCCCGATTTATTTTCTTTGTATAAATTGATGTATTGAACTGAAGCAGTAGTTAGGAAGAGGTAGGTATATAAGAATCGTAGCAATTGACGTTCCATAGCGAAGTTATATATGTAAGACATTCATACAATTTTAATTAACGTAACAACATTATTTTTTAATTTGACACAAATTGGTTATAATTGTATTGTAGGTATGTAATGAAATGTAGATAAATATAGATGATGAGATTATATTGATATATTAAAAGTTTGTTTTATTGTCCAACCCACAGTTGGAGATTCCTAAAAACCCTTTCTTCTTTCCTGGATTCGTTGTAACGAATGTGGTGAGGTTCTCAAACATGACATCACGCCTTTTATCCCCGAAGGGGTAGGCAGAGGTGCACTTTTCACTATTTATGTTATGAGTCCCATGTAATAGGGGGTAAGCCTATTGTCATATACCGGGCACAATTCCAGACTCCGTGCTACTACTGAGAATTTTCAAAAAAACCCAGTACTTAATACTTTTCCCGACCCGGGAATCGAACCCGAGACCCCTTGCCCGGTAGTCGCACTTGCGACCACTCGACCATCGAAGGTGTGTGAGGTTCTCACATACTTCAAAAACAGAGGCAAATATCTTTATTATTTCAAAAAATTAAAAACCCATATTTCACTATCCTTTGACAGGTATACGTTTGTGTAATTCACATTAACTATATTTTTAAGTCAGTTGATATGGAATACTTTTAATTGACTGATGGCAATCGCAAGCGCAACAGTTTAATCTTACTATTACTAATATTATATGTAAATGCGACAGTTTATGACTTTGTGTGTTTGTGTATGTGTTTGTTAATCAAACACGTCATTACAGCTGGGAGGATCAGAATGGATCAGGGATACATTATGGTCTGGATTAACGCATAGGCTATTTTATCCCCCTAGAACGCAGGCGAAGCCGCAGGTAGCTAGTGGGTAATAAGTTCAAAAGTTGTGACTCGGATTTTTAAAGTAACAAACTCAAACTCAAAAGCATTTATTTCAATTAAACCATAATTTCGTACTTTTGAAACGTCAACAAATATGAAATAAATAATAGTCTGTCAATTCGAGTGGAGAAGAACGAGCAAGAAACTACATTCGTTACTCTTTAAAAAAAAAACTTAAAAATTGATTGGTATGCCTAGTAGTCTTTTAGTTCGGTGAAAGAGTTGTCATTGACATGGTTATGTTTCTTCGACCAGTAACGGATGAAACACCACATACCTTACCTACTTACAAATACGAGATCACAGATGCGTAGAGTAAATAGCAGGACAGTCCAATCTATTTAAGTGTATCTACAATAGTACGGACATTCGACAAAGGGTCGTCGGTTTGAAGCGATGCGGTGCCAGCATACGTCATCAATCTGTCTCGCTGACCCACTTTCGAGTATATTGACATAGAGTGCAACACAATTGTACCAGACTACACCATAACGATGTAGGATTTATGCATTAGGAATAGCTGATAATGATGAACAATGAGCGTCATCGATTCTCAGTAAGTCCGCTAGTGACTCACGAATCATATTACTGCTTATTAGGCAACGCTTACATGCACAGTTCTTGGGAATTTCGTGGCTTGTATTTGATTTAATTCAATTTAATGTACCCATTATGTTATTAGATCCAGTGTTTGTTTGTCTTCTTGGTGACATTACCATCATCAGCCGAAGTACGTATGTCGGCTGAATGAAAGCCTGCATTGCTGAATGCTGCTCGTAGAGATAGGCGTAAAATATCATGTATAAAATACTAAAATAAACTTGTAGATGAAACCACGGCGCACAACAGTTTCAAATATTTAGGCTTAAAGGAGTAGTTTATAGCCTACGTCGAGCGCAGGATCCTATTGTTATGGCTTCGTTAAAATCAAAATAAGCCTAATGTATTATTATTAACTAAATATCAACGTACAACTTATGTGGCAATAGAGTTGGAGTTGTCAACTGGTTTGTTGCTGACTATCGAACCAATGACATCCACATCAGGCATCAGTCCAAATGATCGATTGATGTAGTTGTACAAAAAATGAGGTTGTACATGTAGGTACAGTCAGATACTATTTATGGTAAGATGCGACACTTGATGTTTTAATGCAAACAAAATATTTTTTTTATCTTTATTACAGGGTTTTTTCTTAAACTGTTAAACACCAAGCGGTCACCGGTGACCGCAACCTATTGTTCTTTAATTGTGTCTATAATGAAGGTACTCGATGAGTTAAAATAAAACGTCACCCCGATTATTGAGTACAAAAATAACAAAAAATAACACTTAGTTATACTTAGACTTACATTTAAACTGTCAAACACCAAGCGGTCACCGGTGACCGCAACCTATTGTTCTTTAATCTATATATATAAAATTCAAAGGTGATTGACTGACTGACTGACTGACATAGTGATCTATCAACGCACAGCCCAAACCGCTGGACAGATTGGGCTAAAATTTGGCATACAGATAGATGTTATGACGTAGGCATCCGCTAAGAAAGGATTTTGATAATTTCCACCCCCAAGGGGGTAAAAAAGGGGATGAAAGTTTGTATGAAACTTTGTCAGTTTTTAACTGATCGGGTTGAAATTTGGCATGCAGATAGATGTTATGACGTAAGCATCCGATGTGAAAGGATTTTGATAATTTCCACCCCCAATGGGGTAAAATAGGGGATGAAAGGTTGTATGAGGCTTTGTCAGTTTTAAACCGATCGGGTTGAAATTTGGCATGCAGATAGATGTTATGACTTAAGCATCCGCTTTGAAAAGATTTTGATAATTTCCACCTCCAAGGGGTTAAAATAGGGGATGAAAGTTTGTATGAGACATTGTCAGTTTTAAACCGATCGGGTTGAAATTTGGCATGCAGATAGATGTTATGACGTAGGCATCAGCTGTGAAAGGATTTTGATAATTTCCACCCCCAAGTGGGTAAAATAGGGGATGAAAGTTTGTATGAGACATTGTCAGTTTTAAATCGATCGGGTTGAAATTTGGCATGCAGATAGATGTTATGACGTAGGCATCCGCTGTGAAAGGATTTTGATAATTTCCACCCCCAAGTGGGTAAAATAGGGGATGAAAGTTTATATGAGCCTTTGTCAGTTTTAAACCGATCAGGTTGAAATTTGGCATGCAGATAGATGTTATGACGTAAGTATCCGCTTTGAAAGGATTTTGATAATTTCCACCCCCAAGGGAGTAAAATAGGGGATGAAAGTTTGTATGAGACTTTGTCAGTTTTAAATCGATCGGATTGAAATTTGACACGCAGATAGATGTTATCACATAGGCAACCGCTAAGAAAGGATTTTGATAATTTCCCCCCTAGGGGGGTAAAATAGGGGATGAACGTTTGTATGAAGCTTTGTCAGTTTTACACCGATCGGGTTGAAATTCGGCGTGCAGATGGATATTATGACGTAAACGTCCCTTTAGAAAGGTTTTTGAACATTCTCACCCCAAAGTGGGTAAAATAGGGGGTGAAAGTTTGTATGATACTTTGCCAGTTTTAAATTGATCGGGCTGAGACTTTACATGCATAAAGTAACTATGACATAGGTATCTCTTTAGAAAGGATTTTGGTAAATTCCACCCCTAAGGGGATAAAATAGGGAATGAGAGTTTGTATAAATCTTCTTATTCAATTTAGAATCATTGAATCTTTTTGAATTATATTCAGTAAAACGATGATTTAGGACTTGGGTAACGTATGATAGTTTTTTCACAGATGTCTCACGAGAACGGGAACTATGCGTCAATGCCCCAGGACTCTCTAACTCTTAACCACTGAACTTATTCTAGAGAGATTCGGTACAACAATAGTCGATAGAATAGTTTTTATTACTCAAACCTTATGTGATCGGGCACTGTACTGGTAAGATCCCTGCGGGATTATTTATTTATTGAAACTACGATAAATCATTTTAAAATAGGTAAATCTTACTTGGGCACTGAATTGATTCTGGTTAATTCTGTCAGAAGTCATTAATCTACGCGGACGAAGTCGCGGGCAACAGCTAGTTGTGTCTATAAAACCGGTACTCGACGAGTTAAGTTAACCTACCCGCAACCTAGTACCATACAAAATATTGCTAATAACATTTTGTGTAGTTGTTAATGTTTTTAACTGAATCAAAAGAAACATTGATTAATTTTGATAATCATAAGCGCAACTATCGAGCTAGACTTCTTGCAAATTATGATAAGGGTTCAGATTCTCAGAGATATATGACATATGAATTTGAAAAATAAGTACCTAGCGTGGAGTTTGGAATACACGCAAATCAGAACAAAAGAAAAATGAGTACCTAACATTTAACATACTCAGATTGCTCAGACCCTAAATAAGAAGATTTTTTAACTTAAAAGTAAAATCTTAGTCTTAATCATGTTGATCACCTCTGCAATAGAGCATCCTATGTCATTATCTGTGAAACAAGCTAGCAATGTCCATAAAAGTCCATAGTCCATATTCATTAGATATAAAGCCTGCTACTGAATCAGTAATCACGTGAAGGTTCAAAATGTTTATAGAAATATAATTCATGTAGTAACGTACCAGTTCTGGCCTACGATTTTGTTCGCAAATTAAAGTTGTTTTTCTTTCTATTACTGTAGAAAGCAAATAATTTTGTTTAGGCTGTTGATAGAGCGTAATAACAGTTGTAATACGGTATTTCGCTATTAGCATTGTAGAGAGAATGGACTCCATTTTAATACCAGGCTATGTTACAATTTGTACTGTAAGTAAAGACTTCCTACAGCGTAATCAGGAACATTATGCAAAATAATAAATGACAACGACGTATTTATTCCTCGCAGAAACTGCGTGTGAGACGGTAATAACCATAAATACAAAACATTATGTGAGACACATAACGACTCCAAATATCGTGAACTCATAAGGATCATTATAAGTGTAAAGTTTCGCAGTACGTTATCAAAGCGTCGCGGCGCAGGCGCACGGGGCGGCTTGCCTCTGTTGCAACGCAGCGCACGACTCGCTAACTAGCGAGGATGACACAGATCACCGCACGGCTCGACATCACGGATACAATGTTCCATTTATCAACAACCATCACATATATATTTGTAAATAAGCATTAGGACTCCTGGTTTTGCCTGAATGTAAGTTACTTAGAGGTTGCTTTTTTAGACGATTGCTGTTCAACAACGTAACCAACAGTGTCATGAAAACAAACAAACAGATAAAACTTTGTCTCGCCTTAATAAAATAAGTAATCATTACTAACTTGATATATTAACGTTTCCAATTCTTTCATGTGCAAACACTGAATGGAATATGATAACTTCTATTCTGAAACTGATGAACACCCAAGAAGATCGAACATATTTTTACACATACAAACTCGTGCTTGGATTACTAGTAAATTAATGTTTGACAATTTGAAATAGTACTTAAATATAGGTAAAATAATATGTAATGATTTCAAATAATAACTGTAAGTACGAAGACACGTAGGTTTAGTGATAGTAACTGCATCGATGTCACTCACATGGCCTTCGTAAGATAAAAATATGGTGTGCCCACGTCTAGTCTGTTCCTCTCTATACCACGCAAGATTGCATCCCAGAGAATTAAACTATATAGGTATTAAATTTCGGTTTATAGCTCAAAATAGGATTTTACGATTTAGGATTAAGATAAACATTAGGCCTTTAACCTCGATGGAGAAGGCAGATGTGTATATTGTAACAAATTTAATTTAACTCTACTTCCAATTTCCTTATCTCCTTTTTGAACTCATTGATTTCAAAAGATATATAGGAGAAAAACTGAAATAACAAATAAACGCCGCCTATCAATACCATATTTCATTAAAAAAATATTGTATTGCGTGCAGCGTTACTGCGTATTGCACACACCATATCGTTGCATGGCGTATCTAACCTACATCCATTGTTGTCAACACGTGATATTTTTAACAAATAACAAATTTATCAGAACAGTAGAAAAAAAATGTAAAAAGGAAAATGACTAATGATAAATTTCGTAGAACAAATCATTTATTAGAAACATCAGTGTGAAAACAAAGAATTAATAAATCTCATAAATAGTACCTAAACATTTGATATTTGTGCTATACCTACCGTAAAATATTATTTCCATGCTCATAAATTTTGCTGCACGACAGACGTACAATTTATCTAAAATAAATGGGAGTATTTTGTCGATACCTATTAATTGTGTGTTCGTCACGTAACGGAGTCATTATTTGCTGCATGTGGCGCTGGCGTTTGTCCGGGAGTCCCACGGTGACGCGTCGCGGGCGCCGCTCGGTGACGGCCGCTAGGCAGATGCACGAATCTAGGTGCAAAACTCACGCGTGAGCTCTTGCATCGTATCAGTATCACGCTCACTACCACCGTTCCTATATAAACAGCGACTATTCAAATTTAATGTATTCCAAAGCTAAAACTTAGCAAAGTAACACATCTTCAGAGCTTTGCTAGCTTTAAGGTTACATGAAAACTCCCCAGTGATGATTTTAGTAAGTGTTTCTATTTACCTATAGATTCTTGGTACATATGTATAATATTTATTGCCTTGTTGTTTACCAAGTAGCATAGCAAGTATGTACCTACTTACCCCTCGTATGAGAAAATGTATTTTTCGATCTTATTCCAAGATTCCCTTTAATGGATTTCTCAATATCTATCATAAATAGTCCTAAGTATTTACGAATAAACAACATTAATAAAAGTAAAATATAACTATATAACTTCTGGGGATGTGTCACTTTGTATTGTGTTTTAAATAATTTTACTTTTTTCAGTATATATTTTTGCTCACCGCTCTTGCGTGGCCGTCAAGCAGATGTGAGCCCCCTGTAAATAGCTACCTCCCTCCTTCTGGCTCCGGTAGTAGACCATCGTCACAGTATGGTCCACCAGGGAGTAATGGCGGACCATCGGGCGGGTCTCAACCAGGTGGTGGTTTGAGTCCAAGCGGTCAAGATTCTTACTCAAATGGACAAACTGGACCATCTATTGATACGCAATATGGTCCACCATCTGCAAGAGGCAATGGTCAACGATCACAGGGTTTTGGCTCTCAACAAGGACCTGGGAACTTCCAAGGCGGTCAACCTGACTCACAATACGGCCCCCCAGGAGGTGGTAATGGCCAGGGACCTAATGGAAGAGGTGCCGGTGGTCGAGGCGGCCCTGGTGGTTCGAACGGCGGTAGAGGCCGACCTCAATCGTCTTATGGTCCGCCCAATCAACAGGGGGGATCCAATGGAGGTGGTTCAGGTTTCGGTCAAAGACCAGACAGCTCATATGGACCACCGCCTACTGGAGATTTCCAATCTTCAAGCAACGGTCAGTCAGGAAACCAGCGCCAAGGATCTCAAAGTGGGCCTGACTCAAGCTATTTGTCACCTAGCGCTGGATCTCAAGCGTCTGCTGGTGGATTTAACGGCAACGGTGGTCAGCCATCATCGTCATATGGTGTTCCTGGATTTGGTGGCGGCCCTGGTGGCTCTGGAGGTCAAGGGGGAAGAGGCAATGGTCGTGGATCCAACTATGACGATGGACAATCTAATGTAAGTAGTTTAACTTGTTTTTAATATCATTACGGCAGCCGACTGTAGTACTATATCAATAACTCTTTATTTGATTTTGTTATGCATCAGGTTATTGAATAAGAATAAGAATAAGAATTTTATTTGCTCAAACATGTGTGTGCATACAGAATTAAAATAATACAGCATGCAAGATCTTAGAGAAAAGTGGCTCACGACATGTCTGCCATTTATCATGGCGTGCAAATATCTATTATATAATATTTTTTTTTTGATGACTGAATTATTACATTAATTTTAAAATTTACACTTATACCTACATTAAATATCTGCAGTATGGCAATATTATTATCAATATCAACCCCGGGGTCAAATTACACTCCATGGTCCAATCAGACTAAGTATTTTAGAGGACCCAAATTGGCTAAGAATCTCTCTAGTCTATGTGAGAAACTTGTAAATAAAACTTCAACTTTGGTACATAATACCATTATACAAATAAATAAATGATTATCATTAATTATTCAATTTCAGGAGCCGGCTAAATACGAGTTTAGTTATGAGGTGGACGACGCTCAGACAGGTACTAAATTTGGTCATTCTGAGCAGCGTGATGGCGACCTGGCCACTGGGGAGTATAACGTAGTGCTGCCCGATGGCAGGCGACAGGTTGTCGAGTACGAAGCCGGCCTGCAAGGATACATGCCTCAGATCCGATACGAGGGTTGGTTCTTTGTTTTGGTTGGCGATGCGACACCTGTATAGCTTACGCTGCGTTGCATATCAAACGACTCAGTATTTTTACATTTAGACATCTATTTTATTTGAAAATGTCTCTAGGTAGGACTTATACGACTAGTCTTTCATCCCTCCATCCTTGTTTAGAGTAACTAACTTCTAGAAATATATTAAAATAAAATTGAATATATTAATATAAAAGTAGATCAGTATATGCTATAAAAACGAATGATGTGACGCCCGATTACATTATTGCTATTTGATCCGAAATCAAAACATATTTATGTTCAAAATAATACACTAAAATCGACAGGTTTAGTCTGGAAAATTGTTGTTGTTGTCAAATTAGCAATTTTCGTAAAATTTACGTAAACTAATGAGTATTGTACTAAAAAGCTGCTGTTAGTAGTTGGACTTTATTTGCTGTTTCCAAGAACTTCATTAAAGGTAAAACTAATTATTTTTTCATTTTGATCAGGTGGCGGCAACGGTGGCTCTGGAAACGGTTTTGGTCGTGGTGGTAATAATTTTTTTACTCTTTTGTAAAATAGTATAATAAATGTATTGTAAGTATTCCAATAGTTAGCTTACTTTTGATCTTAACAAATATGAAATTGTCTACCAACTCTCCGAAGAATTTGCATTAAAATAATAACAATATTCACTCGAAAATTTCTCAAAATTTTGTCTGAAAACTAAAAGGTTCCTTGTTTAAATATAATGTCCAAGTATTTAAAGTATCATTATTCAAATCTGTCATAGGAGGTGGAGGTGGGCAAGGCGGCGGTCAAGGCTACCCACAAGGCGGTCCCGGTGGCAGCTCCGCGGGAGGTGATAGTGGATATCCAAATTCAGGACAAGATCAGTCAGGGAGCCTTGGACGATACCAAGAAGGTGGTTTCGGTCAGGGCGACTCAGGAAGCCAAGGATTTATGGGTTACCCAAGTGGGAGACCCGGTGGCAATGGACGGAATGGCAATAGTCGAGGAGGTAGCCAGGGTGGCCAGTCAGCTTCTCAGTTCCCGTCTGGCTCAGGCCTAGAAGATTTAAACGGCGGTGGACAAGGCAACGGATATCCAAGTGGTGGTCCACAGGGTGGTCGTGGCTTCCCAGGTAGTGGCTCTGGAGGTGGAAATGGTGGTTACCCCAGTGGTGGTCCAGGTGGAAATGGTGGAGGGTTCCCTGGAGGTAATGGAAACAATGGCAATGGTTATCCAAGTGGACCTCAAGGTGGTCGAGGTGGATCTGGAGGCCAGAATGGAGGTAGAGGACGTGGATCTCAAAACGGGGGAAATGGAGAAGAAGGCTACCCTAGTGGTGGACCAAGTGGTCCGCGAGGATCTGGATATTAAAATACAACAACGATAGCAACTCCTTAACGATAGACAGAAAACGCTTCAGTAAGTTCCATACTTACACACCTAAATGAATTATAAAGCTTTGTAAATAAACGAAATATAAAAAATGCTCGTTTTATAACTCACTATAGTTCCTTTATTTGTAAAGTACAATCGTTGTCATGCAAAGCAGTCATATCACTATCACAACCTTTCTAATTAGTATGGTGTAATCACACATTAATATTACAAAAAGTAATCAATAAAATAATATTTTAAATTTATGTAAAAAAAACCATATAAATTATTTGATTCGAATGCATCAGTGTATCACGAAAAGAAAACATAAATAAAATATAATATGGATAAATTAAAAGTGGAAAAAGGGATGAGATGAATTAACTATACTCACATTAAGCAGTTTGTGACTTGAACTCACTCATGAAAACTTTTTTATTAGTATCATTTTGTTAGTTGGCTGTACCTTAAAATGAGTACCAAAGCCACTGCTGATGTACTAGATAAAGTACCTACTATTAACCTCATATGTCAAATCTCACCCTATACTTGATGCTTTTTAAGCATTATTCTATCGAAAAAACTTTGGTCAGTTTAACTTAACAAGTCGACATCTTTGTTTTTTTTTCATGTTCTTCACTAAATACTTTGAAAGTCGGAATTTTCAATGACCATTTTTTTCGTTGTCCAAACGACCACTAGATTAACATTCTATTCTTAATTTACATACAACTGCAAGCTCATAATACTTATATTTCACGGATACAAATTAAAGCCATATAAGAATTATTATTATTATGCTATACAATTGAATATAATTATTTATCAACGCTGTTCTAATGTTTAACACCTCATTACTTAGTTTACAAGTACCTACACATTTTAAAATCTACATCGAAAAATAACTTACGTCTTCATTTATTTCTTATTTGGAAGGTAGCCAAAATGTGTATTATTGACGATTACGGCCAGTGCACATTTTTTGACCTTAAATAAAGTAGCATCGAATCATTTAATTAATTTGTAACTTAACAAGGCCTTATCAAGCATGGAGCTCACAAATCATCTTAAAAATAGGCATACTACATATTTCATCCTTATCGGTTCAGCAGTTTAGGTGAAGTTCACTGACACAAAAACACAGAATCTGAATAATGATAAAGATTTCATTTATTTGATTCAAGAGTGGCATTAAGTGCCGTAATGTGCACCTCTGCCTACACCTTCGGGGATAAAAAGGCGTGATGTTATGTTATGTTATGTCATTTATGTAGATTTTACCAAAGGAAAATAGTCAACTGAAACTTGTATTTTATTAAAAGCGACAACATCGAAATATAGTCTAAAGATTTTTCGCCAGCGAAAAGTGCATTTTAACAGAGAGATCGAAAATAGTTTTGCTTGGCGACTACTACATTTTATTGAGAAGGAAATGAAACACATCGAGCCCACAATTTGTCTTTCTGGCCACAATCGCACTTTATACGTCGACTGAGAAAAAAACCTTATACTGGTCTGTAATACCCATAGAAATATTAAACACACTATTTATGAAACTTCATAGTGAAGTTAGCTTTGTTCTTGTACTTTTTATCTAACAAAATATGTTTGTTTTCCGGCCGAAATATAAATTTCTTTTGATTCTGTGAAAATATTGGCATAAAAAGTACCCTACGTTACTCATAAACTTGAAAATAACGTGCCTATTATAAACGACTTTTTTAATCTGTCTATTAGTTTTAAAGCAAACAAACAAATAATCAAATCATATTGCTTTAAAAATAACAATTTAAATGCTATTGTTGATACCTCTATAAACCTATGATTGCAAAATATTCAGGCTAACATTGTGTTTATTATTTTGGTGAAACAAACCTGCTTAGGTACTTACATAGTATGATTTTTTTTAGATTTTATTTAATTTTATGATTGTGTACTTTATTGTTAAGATTAGTTAAGGTGGAAATTTTATCAAAAATAAAGATGCTAATGCATTGCCAAAGTAACGCCCTTATTATGGCTACAGTTCATTGAAAGTATATAGAGAAATTCTCCTTAGTATAATGCGTACAACTTTCGAAGGGAGTATAATTGTAAGGTTCCGAAACGAAACTACATATTCAAGATTGCGAGCGCTTTGCTTCGTAGTAGGACCAACTTCCCTAGTTAGTTGCACATAGTACACATGTACATATGTATACATGTACAGCTAACCAACACGGATGTTTCCTGATGTTCAAGTTTTGTGGACTTCCAAAGAATTGTTTAACCGTATCTAAAGCGTCCTACATTGTATTCACCACGTCTCGCCACGAAACATTCGAAATGTGATCCGTAAAAGATTTGTCAAACAAATAATATAAAACTTTTTCTACACATTTCTGACCACCTACACTTAATTGTTATATCACGATACTATTACATTAATATTAACATCATAATTGGTACAATTATAGTTGCTAACGTATTTTCCACCGACGAGGCGATGTCTGAAAATAAAACAACAGAATATGTAAGTAAAGCTTTTAATGATTTCCATATTAGATGTTACACACACAGTTAAATCTAAAGCTATTAATTAGTTTTATAAGATGAACATTACAGTCAACATTTCATTTGCTAAGCAAAATATATTTATTTATAACGATTAACAGAAAATTATAGCAGTTTGTCTCAGGTTGCAGTGAAAGGCCGTGATTAATATCACTAATTATGAAGAACATGATGAGCAGAAGTGCTGTTGCTACATATTATGTGAAGTAATTTATTTGTGAGTCCGTACACTGTTGTACACCTTTACCTACCTCTGATCTCCTTTGCCTCAGGTGGATGAGCGGCCATAGAAAAAGGTAGAGATATATAATGGGTGGACTCCGTCTCTCTTTGGTAGAGAGGTGCAATCGTAGCTTGGCACTAAAACAAATATAAATAAATGAATATGCAAGCGTTTTTGAGATAGCACTGCCAGTTTAAAGCGAACGTACAAATAAAAAGTACCTAGTCAAAAGATTCATGTGTGCAGTGAACACAAATTGCAATTTTGGAAAGATATACAGCTGGCTGTTATGCTTTTGAGTAAACAAATGAGGTGAAGAAAACCTATGGTACGTGTGTACAAATAGTACATGTATATTCTAGCTGTGATCGCTTTGGCTTTTATTCGAGCCACATAATCTTCTGAATCGAAAAGTTCTTTTTAGTTTTGATAGTTATATTAAGGCATGGAGTAGAGGTACTTGATGGTTATGACATTACAAATTAAAATAGACTTACTTTTAATTTGATAGCACCATTAACAAAATCAGAAGTGGTTGCAAAGAAACTCAGCTGCAGAAAGGTTTCAGCAGCATCAGGTCGTTCAGCCGACACTCGGTACCAGGGTCCCAGAATGTAGGAGGAGGGAGCAGGCTTGTCGTTGACGAGCCATTTTAAATGCGCCTTTGGACGAGAAGGTGGCAGCGTACAGTTGGCCACAACCAGGTCATCCAGATTATATTGCTCTTTGAGACCAATTACCCGGGGTCCACCTTTTGGTAGCACTGAAAATGATGACGCAAGAATAATAAAATATATATGTGTATGTATTTGCTTGAGGAGAAAAGAACGGGTAATAAAAAAGTAAAGGTAAAATGTATTTAAAAAAACACAAGCTCCCTTTTTTGGTTCAGTTAATTTAACGTGACTAAAGTGTTACAGTTAAATAGAACAAACGCTAAACTTAAAGTTTTATTATTTTACTCCAAATTCGAAACTCAACACCTTGGCGTCGTAAAAACCAGAAAATAAACATGTTTACTCTGTGGTCAACATGGCCGGCGACAGTTTTGGCATAATTTGACTTGGTTATGTTAATAAGGGCACGAGTGTGTTTAAGTATATAAGGTGTAGAATAAAGTTAAGGACTTACAGTGTATGTTAATGTATTTTTGTCTGTATACGGTGGCAAATGAAGGTGCTTCTCCGGACACTTCGCAGCGGTAATGTCCTGCAGACTCCTGTGTGAGGTTCACTAGCGCCACCACAGTGTTTGAAGAACGTCCTATCTGTAATAGGAGAGGTTTCATTAATTGATAAGTTGACCATTAAAAAGTACATACCTCTATATAACTACGTCGTCTGCGAGCGTGTGATAAAATTATCCCCGGTCTGTTTCAGGTGTAATTCCTGGCCTGTTGTCGTAGACCGTTCGTGTGAGTTGCGAGAAATATTCAATCAATTTGTTTTGCACATAAATCGGGTTAAAAATAAAAATAAAAAAGAAACTTTGTTGATGTAGACATTGACATTTTAAGTAATCAAAAATAGTTATTTAAATTACACCATTGATTTACACTTTTGACAATGTGCTAAATTTTAAAATTATCATCTTATAACTGAAGCTCTTACATGGAATTCCTATAAAAGAGGTCACAGGAGTGTAGAGACGTACTGTCACAGGCAAAAGGTTGTTTTCCAAGAAACCATCTCGAAGCTAGGTAATAATGATTCACAGATATATCAAAATGGAAGCCAATAGTAATCACCTTATAGACCTTCCCGTTCGTGTGTAATACGTACAGATTTATTGACAAATTCATTGACTGCTGACACAGAGACACCTCACTAATTGAATATGTCGTATTTCAGTACAATGCATGTACAATGAGGTTCATTTCAATGAGGCTCTCCTATAGCTTCTCAAAATTCATTACAATAGGTTTGTTAATTCTAAATCAAATTCAAATTCAAATCACTTTAATCCATCTATAGTGTGTACAGGGTGGTTTACAATTTTTGACAAAATATGTTCCAATTATAGGCCCTTTTGGGCACCGCAAAAGTACTCACTCTAACATAACATAACAAAACATAACATCACGCCTTTTACCCCCGAAGGGGTAGGCAGAGGTGCAGACAGAAGTAACACCCACTTTTCACTATTTATGTTATGAGTCCCATGTAATAGGGGGTGAGCCTATTGCCATATACCGGGCACGATTCCAGACTCCGTGCTACTACTGAGATTTTTAAAAAACCAGTAATTCTTTGACCGACCCGGGAATGGAACCCGAGACCCCTTGCCCGGCAGTCACACTTGCGACCACTCGGCCAACGAGGCAGTCAGTACTTACTCTACTTACAAAATAATAGAAATCATGAATATTATTTAATTAATACAATCATTTAATTATTTTAAAATCTTATATAACTATTGTTAAGAATTTGTTTAAAGTTACAAAACAAAAATTAAAATATTTCAACTTATTAACCTAATATGACACTAAAACAATATCAAATACTATATTAACTATTTACATACCAATTTAATATAGCACTCCAATACTTATCATTTCATTATACATGAGATCATTAACACTACATAACAAATACAAACAACTACATAAAGTGAAAGTAAATTAGTAAACCCGTGGTATAAGTAATACTATGGAATATTGTTAATAAGTTAGTTATTTAGTTATTATCAGTCCTGTGTACATATTATGTATTTATCATTCATGTATTCGTTTAGGGTGTAACAAGCCTTTTCAACCAATATATTTTTTATTTTACTAATTAATTTTTTGTCACTGATCTCGGCTTTTAATGATTCAGGTATCTTATCGTTATGTGTTACAGTTTTTTTTCTAGCAAATTATTATGTTTACTGTTTACAATTATAACTACCTACATAAATATTGAACCGACCGCTTCTTCGTAAGCGCATCAAACTATTTATACTGAACCCACTAACGCACATCTGCTACCTCAGCATGTCAACGGGTATCTTCCCGAGCTGCTGGAAGACGGCGGTTGTAGCGCCGATCCACAAAAAGGGTGCCAAAGACTGTCGCAACAACTACAGACCTATCTCGTTGTTGTGTGTCACGTCCAAGACCTTTTAAAAACTTGTCAACGGACGTCTCATTAGCTTTCTCGAGAGGCATAGCTTTCTGTCTGAGCGTCAATACGGATTTAGACGTGGCAGGTCTACGGAGCAAGCTGTGGGGCTTCTGACGGACATTGTATCCTCAAAACTCGATGAGGGCCAACGAACGGTTGGTGTCTTCTTCGATCTGGCTAAGGCATTTCACACCATCTCAACCCAAATGCTTTTCAAAAAGTTGGAGTGGATTGAGTGACGCGAGAGCCTTTGCTTCTAGGTCCCAGGGCAGAGATCCAGATAGAAGGGTGGCTGCCTCGAAAGAGATCGTGCGGTACCCCCTTATTACTCTGACGGCTATCGCGCGCTGCGGACTTCGCAGCAAAGCAACGTCGCGAGTCCGTCTTCCCAAACTGGTGCCCTGTAAAGGGCCATAGACCACATGATCCCCATATACAACCACCGGCAGCAGGAGCCGGCTACCACCCTCAGTTTGGGAACCAACTGTCGAAAGTGGGGCCCGAAGTCCCATCGACTATCAAGGACTAGTCCGAGATATTTCATTGTCGATTTGACAGAGATGTGAACCCTCCAATTACAATGTGTGACCCTGCAGGTGGACCACGCCTAGACTACAAAAACATAAGGCTTTAGATTTATTGAGAGCCACCTATAGGCCCAGATGCCGGAACAACGTTATGATCCCCTAATTATGCGTCAAAGTACTCTTCCGCATCTCTGTCACCGGGGGATGTACCCAGAAGACTGGCAGCATTGCCACGTTGAATGGCAATGCTTATTTTTTTTTTCATTTTCATTACAATATAATTATATTCTATATTTTTGTTTGTTCATACTTTCATAACTTTGTATGATGAAGTGATGAAGAGTGTTTATAAGTAGTTATGTACATTTGACGTAAAGACCAACTACTTAGTAAGTCGGAAAGTTGTTCGGAGTATCGCTGATATTCGAAATAGTTGTTTGCAAGTTATAGATAGCTTTTTCCATGACGCCGACGATGAAGTTTGTTTGTAACATGTTCGATGAAATATAGAAATCAGAGTCACCTTCTTTTTCTACGCTTGTTTGCAGAAATATATAAGAAGAATACGTTACAATTACGTAAAACTAGTTTGTTGTCTACGAATTTATCTGCGTAGAATCTGGGAGCATTTAATCGGTATAAAAAGTATCCTTTTACCTAAGTCAACTCATACTCTGCCTGTATACCAAATTTCATAAAAATTGTTCAGTAGTTTCAGCGGATTTCCAGACAAACATGCGAACAATTGCCATATACCACGGCACGTTTCCAGACTCCGCGCTGCTACTGAGATTTTTAAAAACCCAGTAATACTTTGCCCTAGCCGGGAATCGAACCCGAGACCCATTGCCGCACTTGCGACCACTCGGCCAACGAGGCAGCAGAAACTTTCACATTTATAATATTCGTGTGATACATAGTTATATGCATTTTTGCTACATGTAAGTGCGATTTTTATTTTTGTGTATAGATTATTTAAAGATTTTAATAGATTAAGTAACTTTACATCTCTGTCCACCGTTTGTAGTAAATAACCTATGTGGTTTTTTATACTATTTATAATCATTCGATGCACCAAGTTTCATCTAAATCAGTTCAGCCATTTTGGCGTCTAAACTCAATAGATTGTCAAAACTCCACTTGCTTATTACAAATTATATTCATACAAAAACCATGTAAACATTCGTATCTTTTTATACATACGTTTAAAAGCAACGTACATAATTCCCGTGTTAAAATAGGTAGATAGATAATTATGTATATCAATTCTCGCCAGTGACGTCATTCTCTGTTCCCACATGTCATTGTTTCTATAAAAAGATTCATAATTTCACGTACGTTATAACTGACATTGAAATATTTATATCATTTTATTGTCCACGTTTCTACATCATTACACTAGAGTAGAGTAGTGTGTTTATTCTAACTACGAGTTAATTGGAACAATAATTTAGGTCGATGTTTATTAAATCATTTATACATTTATACTTAGTTTATAATCTTTCTAAATCATGGCTACTTATCCTGTATAGAAGGGACACGTTACCTTGTACCACCCACTTGTATTCATTGAGTAAAAATCTTACATATTCATTTCTAATTTACTTTGATGGCCTTGCCACCGTAACTACGGGCCTGCAGACGGCGAGCATGGGTCGCTCGCCGCCCGACCAGAACCAGACCCGAGCGAACGGCCCGTTGCATTCCGTGTGCGCCTCAAAGAGCCATCAGACCACCACAGATGGGACGCAATGTAGCTGATGCCCATACGGAGAAGTGGAGAACGTTAGAGCGAAGCGCAGGTGTAGTCCTGTAGCGGTTTTTAGTCAGTAAGAGACTGACTTTCCCTCTCACCTCACCCGGACGGGAGAAGTCATTGGATGATTTCACCCCCTTAAAATCAAAACTATGATGACCTGCCATATGAAATACTACATATCTAATGCAGAAAATTAAACGAGAGTGTATCATGTATCCGGTGCACTCTATTGTCTATCAATAAAACCATTCCTTACAAGTAATATGTTCTGATTTCTTTTTAGACTTTTAATTACTTTTTCTTCTTCTCTTATGGCGTTGATTACCTATAATCTTATGTTTCCCACATCGTTAAGATAACCAATAAAAAGTTGATTTTATATCCTATTTTTTTACTCAGCTTAACAGATTTGATATTTAGTCACAATACTATATTTCCGGACTGTGCTTGCTTCTAGTGTATACCATTGGTTTATCTCTTCATCCCCCAAAGGTTTGGCTGGTAGAAAATACACACGGCATTTAGCCCACTTTACGTAGCTATACATACACATTTTTGTGCAAGAAGTGTTTTAAATAAATAAAAATATTAATTTAGCACCACTCACTGAAGTTACACAATCGGGCAAGCATATATGTACGATAATAAATAATTGACTACTATTAAAATTAGCAATGTAATTAGTACGTACCCACGTCATACATGTGGTACATGCCTGACCATTATTACTACGAAACTTAATATTGTTTCGAATAGTAGCATGGCGCAAACAATAAAAAAAAAATCGTTTTAACTTATTGGCAATTCAATTTAAAAAGTCCCGGTATAAATGTTATGTATTTTCTGTTTCATATAGATAAGTGAACAATCCATTGACTGCGTACATTGCCGTATTTGTTTACTGTGTAGTATTCGGCAAACATGTCTGCCGGGCGGTGTATGAAAATCGGGATATAAAAACACATCTTTTTGGTGGTTATTGAATACATTCAGTTAAATATTTTAATATAAACTTTTGGTTATTAAGAAAAAAACATTACATATGGAGCGGTGGCGGAGCGGAACAATTGTGAAAGTTTTTTTTTTAATTGTTTTAAATAGTAATCTACTATTTTTTTTTTTTTGTAAAATATCACAATGTAACATTAATATTTTAAAGATACGGTAAACGTACAAACAAATGTTTCCTCTTTATAATATTAGTATAGAAGTATGTATAATAGATACCTATAGAATAGATAATTATAATATTACTGTACTATTTTTATATAATTTTGAGAATCAAGCCTTTTACCAAAGTCTAGACACAATTATAAGCTGTGTACTACTAAACAACATTTTGAAAATTGAAATTAGAGTGGGTGGATTTGTTTTGGTAGGTATCTACGTATGAATATTTTTTGCTGACACGACGGGAAACCTCAAAACTTCAGATCAACAGTCGCATTACCGAACATGTGACTCGATTAGTCCTAGTAAACCAATTTAAGTATCATAAATCTTCATATTGCATTAGGTACCTAACTACTTGTCTTTTACAGTGCAATGAAAACGTTCATGAATAATTCATTTGATGCTTTATTGATTGGTACTCGCTTGGCATTAAGATGAAATCTGTCACTAGTTTCCTCACTCAGTTACATCGCTTAGTTGAATGTTAGGGAAGTATCTATCGTAAAATAATATAAGTAGCTGATAAATTACAAAACTCTTCGAATACATTATTGTATGTATGAAATCACGTAAAATTTACAATATTTATCCAATAGTTGCGGAGCTGGATGCTGCCCAAAAACAGAAACTCATAAAAAATTATACTATTAGTTCATCAAAAGAAGTTTTTATGTCGCCTAGCCACAGACTATTCTAAAAGAATAAAAGTCTTTAAACCCATTTACGAGTTTTAGTGAATAGAGCATTTTCCTACTTCCCTGGGGATAAATGTCCAAACATTTTTTATTGTGACCAGGTTATGGTAAAATCGTTTGTGTTCTTCAGAATACAAATAATATTCAGGTTCATAATTAGTATTATAGTATTGTGCATTGTAAGTATTACTTACTTCAACGTTTACTCCAGGTGTTTGGAAGTAATATACAGGAGGATCATTTTTAGGCACGAAGCGGTAGAACTCGCGTCCGTCTTTGTACCATTTGACAGAATACAAAGTGTCCCCTTCTAAGTCGTACTGGCAGCCAAGAAGAGCCATACCACCTTCTGGCTCGTGGGTCGGTACACGGAGTTCCACGAGACGCAAACTTCTAACTGCATCTGGAAGATAGTGCAAAATGGTTTTAAAGTACCTTTGTTGCCGGATAAAATAAATTGCAATTGCAATGATACATATTATGCATTATAACAATTCAGGATTAATCGGGTGTCAAGAAAACAAAAAAAATCGTATTGGTACGTAATAAATAAAATATGCTATTATAGATTTTCAAAATTTGTTGTAGTAGGTAAGGTTTTGTGTATTTGTGCAAGTGCAATAGTCAGAGTAGATACTATTTATACACGTTCCACAACAAATAATATAACTATTCGAAAAAAATACAAAGCGAATATCACCACATCACGGTACTCATGTAGGTACAGTATGGATGCAAAAAGGTAAACGTTTTTGTTATAGCCTGTGTTAATTAACAGAAGAGCTCAATACTCTTTGTTCGCATCGAGATCACCGCTCAGTCGATGTCTGTTCTATAAAACACTAATTAGTTAGTTACTCTATATATTTCATTGTTTTCAGCAACATTATAATTATCCGATGTAGGGTGCCTGAGTTTCCTAACTTAAATAATGAAAAGCCTGCAATATATGTCATCAGACAGATAAACCACGCGGCTTTTGTCAGTGAGTATAATTGGTCATGACTCATTCATAGAAAGTAGAATCGAACTACTACGGCGGCTATAGAATTGAATGTATATGTAGGTACTTATATCTAAACGTCATGCATGCACCTACGCTCATAGTGCCGGAGTGCACCGGCCACGCCAACTAAAACTACGGCAGAATTAAATACACGAGCTACAGTACCTTGCGTCCACAATAACAACAACACTAGGATTGTTCTCCCGAACATGTTGATGTAGTACAGTCAGCAATCTGTCCTCATAACCACACGCGCTCACAGTACGGTGACAGCTCTCACTTCACTTCACTCCACTCCACATCCAACCATCACTGATAAATCACTGACTCGAATAATTTAAATCAACATCAATAACAATTGCACCTTTGAATTCAGTTAAAATCTTCCGTTTGCGGTGTCTAAATAGGCCAGCGAAATTCCGGCGACACGAATCTAAATTTAAAACTGGTCGCCACTGAACTGTCTAGCGCATGCGCCGCGCTAACAACGCACTACCAATACCAAGGGTTTGTGTGCCGATGATTAATATTTGCAATTTTTATTAAATATAAAGCGTGCACTTTTTTCTGTAAGCGTACACGCAGGGAGTGGGGTGGCGTGAGTTCAACGAGTAATAATTATTCGGGTGCACACGTGTGACTCAGGCCAAATACATGCAGTAATGTAGAGGTACACTGTGGTGTGTGGTGTGTATCACTAGCGGCATTAATTAATATGATAAAACACTTTACATAGCTAATAGTTTGTTTGGTAACTATTAATTATTCTGTTAGGGTTCACGACACGCACGAGTGTCAGATTATCGCGACTATCCACTATCACGATAAATTTTTAGACTTTTATTGTTTGTGGGATCAAAGGCTATCCTTTTGTTTCATACAACACGTTTGCAGTTTTTATTTATAAAACGAGAAAATAAAACAGAGCTGATTGTGAATGGATTTAATTGGCATACGCGGCTGCGATAATACATAATCGTTAGAAAATAAAGTTTAAGTAGTTGCTTAATTAAGTATGAAAGAAAATATTTTATTGTTTTATCATTTTAGTGTGTGGCGAGAGGTCACGGTTGAGCCAGTTATCTGTTCGTGGTAAATTTAATGTTTTTGTATCGTATTATCTAATGAAAACATTTACTTGTGATAAGTTCAAGCTTCGGCACTCTCGCTACTCATTCAATGTAGTTTAAATTACTTCATTTTGGTCAATGCAGAGCAGGTAAATGTTATTGGTCTATTTCGCGTAGGCGCAGTTTTTCGCAGCAGCAGAAGGTTTTCATTAAATTACGACTTCTAAGCCCTGAATGGGGCCTTCAGTATTTTGCTCACGAGATGGCGCTAGCGTACCTATCGTTCTTCGTCCAATAGGGAATTCGTTAGTATCACACCATTTGACATTCAATAATTGACAGTTGCTGTGATTGAACTGCACGATTGGATTCGACTGCACGGTTGGTGCGGTGGCTGGGCAACCGGCTGCCGCGGAACGTGTCGCGGGTTCGATTCCCGCAAGGAGCAACTCTTTGTATGATCCACAGATTGTTGTTCCGGGTCTGGGTGTGACGGGTACGTGAACTTATATGTTTGTAAACGCACCCACGACATAGGAAAAAAATCTAGTGCGGGCAACGGTTTTTTTTAAGTGAAGAATTGGACATACAATATTTGACAGTTACTGTGATTGGACAAAAAGCCCTACCTATATTTGCGCCATCTGATGAGGAAATAACGTTAGCATCCATTTTTTATGGCATAAATCGTAAACGAACAGACGGATCACCATGGTAAGCAATCGGCGTCGCCCATGGACACCTGGAACACCAGAGGCGTTACAAGTGCGTTACCGGCCTTTTGGGGATTAGGAGTTTGAGGATCGTTGGGGATCGTTGGGGATTCAGGGATTGGGGAGATTGAGGAAGGGACGACGGAAACACAACGCAAGCGTTGCTTCACGTCGGTTTTCTATGAGGCCGTGGTATCACTCCGGTCGAGCCGGCCCATTCGTGCATGCCGGCCCACTCCTACACTTACATTGTAATTTGTAGCATTCATTTTTCTCCAAATTCGGTCAACAATAGTCATAAATAGTAATTTCTTTTTTTGTTTAAGCCAGTATGATTCATAATACACACATCACACATACATCTGCATTCTTCACGTATAAAAAAAAAAATTAAATCATGCTGTTGTATTTTCCATTTGAATAGAATACGCTTTATTTTATTTCGCAAATATTTCCGAGATCCACAATTTGCACGGAGTTTTTAAAAAATATTCAACAGGAGAAACATTATTCGTTTATTCTTTATAAATCATGTTGCGTATATTTTATTTTTTTTATTCATGAAGTTATTTTAAGTCGCAACTATCCAGAGGGATTGTATGTTTTCATACTGACAGTATTTCTGAAACGTTTTTTTTTATTATCAAAGATTCCGCTCGAGTTAACTGGTTTACAGTAGTTTACTGGGTTGCGTTAAGGGTTGATTTTTCCAACGCCTAATACCTACATTTTAACTGAGGGATAACTTTGAATATTTGACTGTTGTTGCATACTAAAAACTGTCATAATATATGTCAAAAATTAACTAATGCTTGAAAAATTACCCCAGAGACTCGGTTGCCAAGAAGAAAAAGAAATCAGGCCTAAGTCTTCTCAATTTTCCGGGTTTCTAAAATCTTGGATAATATTTTCGGCTATCTGAATAAATACGTCAGTTTTATAGGACGAGTTTGATTCCAAAAAAAAATTTTACATAACAGATTCATTTATTCAAATAAAAAACTTAAATTAAAAACTAACTATTACTTAAAAAAAAATTAAAACTAAATATTACTAAATTAAAACTAAAAAATTAAAACTAAATATTACTAAATTAAATACCTATATACAACTAAATTAAATTAGTCTAAATAGTTCAAATGAAGTTGTCAGTAAACTGCACAAAGTCTGGATAAATAACATACCTTTTAGCGATAAGAAACATTCAAAGACTTATCTCTTCTCAGAAATGTATATTTAGAAAATAAATAACTGTTTTTTTTAATTGATTTTTATGACGTAGTTGGCATCCGTAATTCCATGCCGCAATATTAGAGGAGGACTGTAATTTTTTCGACTCCTTACTCCTGTACAAAAGTCTGGATCAAAACACTGTATCAACCTAGCGACCAACTAAAATTCAGTCTACCATAGGGAATCAAAAATCTTGATATCTTAGATCCGGCAAATATTTTTAAGACCTCATAGAAACGTGTTTAGTAATTTCAGGGGATAACAGTGAAAAATGAACAAACTTTCAATATAATATAAATATACAACTCTTGGACCTATAAAATAGTAGTGGTATATTTGTAGTTATGATGACGTCACAGATTTATTTGCATTTTGCTCGTAGATAATGAACAGATTATTCTTATACTGTCCATATGGTAGTTATTTCCGTTGGTCTGTCATGCGGTATGTATTAGTTCGAGCGTAGTTCGCTAGATGTCGCGGCCTGTCTGTTTGTTGAGTTATATTTTAGTGGGGATGTTTCGGAAAATTGAAAATTGTAGTGATACTTGGTTTGTTTTTTAAATTGATGAGTAAGTAAGTTGATATTAACGTAGCATCTTACTTAATGATTCTCTTTTTTTATACACGTCGTCCTAACTTAATTGTTAAGTTCCTAATTACCTACTTACTACTTCTCGATAGGTACTTCAATTAAGTAAGTAATTCAAATATTATAAGTAAAACAAATTCACGACAATACGTTCAAGTTGGTGCATATAAAAAATTAAATATAAGTTCATTTATTTTATAGGTCCTTTTTTTTAACATAACATTATTAAAAACACGACACGTGTGTGACAACACATTAAAAACATTCACTGTTCGGTACTCAAGTTACAAATAAGTATGCAATACAGAAAGTGATATAATTACCTGATTTTAACTTATTTTCGATTTCAAAAGTCTTCGTTTTCCTAAATAGTATTTAGTTTTTATTTCATCTTATCTTTTAAGATTAGCCTCGGGATTCTAGCCTTATTCTTATTTGTTTTCTAGAGGTGAAAATAGTTCTTGAATGGCTTGAGATTGTAGTGTGCTGGGAATCCCGGCTCTTAAACTATTGTAGTGTGTCCAATCCTATTCTGCTGTGGAGCACATTTCGGTGACTCGGACGTTGCAGACAAGGGGATTTTGTTCTGCGGATTATTTTTTCCTGTGCAATTTTGTTGCATCCTGCATAATATGTGTAGGTTTGTTAAAATCACTACATAGTATAAAACAAAGTCGCTATCCGCCGTCTATCTGTCCCTATGTATGCTGCGATCTTTAAAACTACGTAACAAAATTTGATGCGCATTTCATTAGATATTTTCTTAAGGAAGGTTTGTATGTATAATACATGCATATTGCATCCGTGGGAAGCCGGGGCTAGTCGATAGTTATTTATATATTTTGATTTATTTCATTTAAGGTCCTGGTCCAAACCGGTACGAATTTTTTTCTTAACATAGAGTTGGGTGACGTCTACTAGAGTATCTACGTTATTCAAAGTTTGATTAACTGCTTAATATCAGTGCCATAAATGTTACTATGATTATAGATCAAATATTAACTCGTTCCAAAGACTTAATAAAATATATTAATGTTTAAAGACAAAACGATTACACCCCAGCGCCATTCCCAAATTATGTCATTCGCGTATTTAAATTTGAAAATGGCACGAACGAAATAACACAGACATTACAAAGTTCAACAGTACACCCTCATATAAACGTAACTACTTGTTTCAATGTACTAAATTCCACACGTAATCTTTTTATTTAATACCAATTTGCAGTTTAAAGGCGGCCACCGCGAACGTAATTGTGTTCCTAGTGATGTATGTACAAACGAATCGTAACCACATCACTAACAGTTAACATTTAGTTTAAAGCGGTTGCCCAGCTAACTAACCTTGAATTTGTACAATTCAGTGTACAACAAAGCTCTGGATATCTCAATTAATGTCGAGTTGTGGTGCGCGTAAGGCACGGTCCACGGCCGACATATGGACAAATAAGTCTATTTGCGAACATTTAATATTCGCTTCGGGCCCGCGTTAATTAAGCCGGGTTTGTTGGGTCCGCCTGCCCGATGCCCAATGCCCGCACCCTCGAATCACCCTCGACTCAATAAAAGAAACAAAACATGCTACCAACATACAGACCGTCACC